GACTCCAGTGCAGCACAAACGCGTTTCGAACACGCTGTTTTTAGGCGGAGCCAAGGCAGCACAAACGCACAGATGCGTTTCAAACACGCTGCAATGAAAGCGGTTTCAAGTCAAGGAGCGTTTATGAATATGTGGGCAATTCTTTACTTTAAGTGTGCCCTCATTGTAGTGACACACAAACTGAGAATAAAGTTTTGCCCTCCCAAGACTTAAGTTAACTTGTATGAAAACATGCAAATTAAAGGGTTGGTTTTTGTTCGACACAATATACAAACAGAATTTGAAACCAAGGACATTAAATAAACTAATTCAGCTAAGAAGAACAAAAAAAATACACAGGAACAAAGCAGAAAATAGACGCATGACAGGCACTTCCAAATATTATCTCCTATATTAGCGTTAGCTGCCCATCTGTTGCTTTACATTAAGTTGGGTTGTGTATTTTGACAGAACTCATCCAAAATTACATGTGCAATGAATGGCCACCAACTACTGTGATTGTGTCCAGGTACAATGGCCACACAAGAGAAAGTGCCAAGCAATTATAGAACAAACAGACCATAGTACAGAATATGAATCACTATTACTTTTGCACAAGTTTCATTGGCCGCTTATGCCCGTTCTTCTTACGATGCCCAGAACATATTAAAAAATCGACCACCTTTTCGCCCTGCAAAGGTTAATGTCCAGCCACACATGCTGATGGAGACGTGTTTATATTACTTCAAAGTAATGGTAGTGTTGAACAGTTTGTGCTTAGTATGGTAGACCATGATTAGTTCCACAACCATTTTCAGCAACACAAGTTTGTTCCTCTAATCGAGCGTTGTATTCACGCTGTTTTAAGGTGTCTAATCACGATGGTCTACCAATCACAGGCTTATAATAACTGAATGAGTTGCTAGATGCGTCTCCCATATATGAAAATAGAAAACGCACGGGCAGGAGGAAGGGCCGCATGATGTCATTCAAATCTCTCTGAATCTCTCTTCTGAAGTGCGAGCAGCAGCAACCTAATACCAGGAACATTTGGGAGGCTGTTCCCACTGTTCACTGGCACAGGCACCTCATCACCCAGTGTGTGGTTTTGATGTTTGTTTGTTGGTTTGCTTTATTGAAACGAATACTGAGCTCTATGCTGTAGCAAAGGAAAATATTCCATTCGCCTGCAATTACTAAAGGTCCCCTTGACGACAAAGAGGTCAAATTATATATATATATATATATATATATATATATATATATATATATATATATATATATATATATATATCATCAGTCTCACTATGCCCACTGCAGGCCAAAGGCCTCTCCGGTGATCTGCCAGTCAACCCGGTCTTGTGCTTTCTGCTGCCACGCTATACCTACAAACTTTTTAATCTCATCAGCCCATCTAACTTTGTCTACCCTTTGTGTGCGTGCCTTTACCGGGAATTCAAGTAGTTACCCTATTTTGGTTATCCTGCTCACACGCTATGAGCCCAGCCCATTTATTTTTTATATATATACGTATACTTTTTGACAACTTGTAACTAATAAAAAATTCAAAGAACTTGTGTTTGGTAGCCTTCAACTTTTAGAATTTAACAAATAAACTTGGTCAACTTGATCTGCTGTCTCAAAGGTTTACATGGACAGAAACAAAAGAGATCTGCGAGGCGATTCATAAGCTGAACCATAATATGGCTACTTGTGTAAAGGTACATTGGATTCAAGGCCATGCTGCGAACCCACACAACATTGCTGCTGACCAGCAGGCGCACTGCCCTCCAGACATAGACCTTCTAGCCATTCCCCTTCGACCTCAGCCCCTAAACTTGCTCCATACCCGTAAAAATGTTATCCGGCAGGATACACATGCTCCCCTATTCCACTGTGTGTCTGCTCTCTCCCCCCTCACCTTACTAGGGCGGAAGAAGCTGTGCTTAGGAGGCTTCGGGCAGCGGTAGCCCTTACAACAGCCGTTATATCGTCATGGAACTGGTCACATTTACGAGCTGGTAATACGTGTCCGTATTGTCCCACTCCAGCGATTCAAGCAGATACATACCAACTTTTATGGACATGTAAAGGGTTGCAGCCAGAACGCTTCCATTACCTCGCTCAAGCCGGCCTTCGCTACAGCGACACCGCCAGTTACAACCGCTGGATACATGCAAACAGATTCCACAAGACACTACTTCACTTTATACACAACATCAGCCTAAGCCCACATTAACAAAAATATTATGCCTTAAAGGCAAGTCTTTGTTGCAATAAAGAAAGAAACATAGATAGACAGATATAGCTGCTAATAATACCTATAGAACAGTGCTCGGTGGCATCAACATTTGTACGAATGCATATTCATGATAATGTTATAACACAGAGAGGTGGAGTTGAAAAAAAAAATTATATGCAAAAGGTGGTGGTGCTCAGCAGGCAAAAAAAAATTCTTCCAGCACTTCAGAAAAGATTGTATTCATGTATTTTGCACAAATTCATGTATCAATGAAAATTAAATGAACTGAAGCAGAAAAAGAAAGAGGAACAAGAATAACAAAATACCATGATCACTGGTAAAATAAAAACAGAAGTAAAAGTCAACAAATATAGACAATCTGGCAATCAAATTGATCCCTTCTGAGCCGCGATAACCAGATTTAGACGCAGCCATCCCATCCAGTTTCTGTTCGTCCGGAACCTCACACTGCAGCCATCTCCTGAACCAGACTGAGGAGATGGCTTCCTAGGTCTTCGTCTTGCAGAGTCCATGACACACATATTGCCCTACTCGAGGCGTCATCTTCTTGCCCACCCACTTTGACCAATGCTGAGGCAACAGCAATAGAGCCATCGGGCAGCAGTTGTACGCCCGGCAACCGATCCCTCAGACGGTATACAATGCGTCAGCCAATACAGCCCTTGGAGAAGCTACGGTAGTGGTAAATCGTATTTGATGGCTCGTCAAACCAAGTTCCTGCATGGCCTGTCTAGAGTCCAGTAGCCGCACTCCACGATCGTGCATTACAAGAGCTCCGTGGATCAACTTCGGTCGCTTGCTGTCCGAGCCCAGCGCATGTTTGAGCAATGGCACCGCTACGTCGATGGGCACCGTGTCAGGTGTCTCGATGACTACAGTCTCGCCATTAGCTGGCATAGAGCAGTCGATGGCAAACTCTTGCCGGATCTTTTTGCGCAGGAAGTCCATTTTTCCTGCTTCGCCATGGACAAGTAGCACGTTGGCTGGCTCACACTGCTGGATGAGCTGCATAATGCCCTTGGCGTCAGCGTGTGCACTGAAGGACATGTATTGCACTGACATCTTGACCTCAACAACCTGTCGATTGTCCAGCTCCACCTTGCGTGCACCACTGAGAATCTTGTGTCCTACGGTGCCAGCCACGCAATACCCTGGCATGATGACCATGTTTGCTTCGAAGGGAGCCCACTTCTTGAATATTTGCAGCGACAGCCCAGCATGCAACATCCCAGGGGTGGCAAACACTACCATGGGCCCTGGGTTGTCAATGAAGGCTCGATCGAAGGGCTTAATGTGCTTGAAGTCAAACATGTTGCGCTGCACGAAGGTTTTGCGGATTTTCTGGTTTGTCCACGTGATGAACATCTTGTAGTAGTTGGTAGCCTTTTCGGTGAGGCCAACGGCGAAGTATATTGGAACACGAAGGTTCATGCGGTCCCAGTACGTTTCAAGCAGGATGCAGAGTTCCTGGGCACGACCTAGTGCAAACACGGGTATGAGAACCTTGCCGCCTTTATCGATGCAGTCGTGTACTTTGGTCAAAAAGTCGCGCTCGCGGCAACGTTTGGAGTCACGTATAGTGGTGGCGTACGTCGATTCGGTGATGAGCAGGTCTGGTCGGCACTTGTCCAACCAAGCTGCACCAAGGTGCCGGTCAGGGGTCATGTTGTAATCGCCGGTGTAGACCACCGATTGGGAGCCAACTCTAATGCGGAACATTGCAGCTCCCAATACGTGTCCAGCATAGTACGCTTTTATCTCCAGCTCATCGTCCACTTGAACAGCCTGATGCAGGTTTACTGCGACCACCTTGCGCATGCAGTCGCGGATCATGGCAGATGTGAAGAAGTTTGTCTCGCCTTTGCGGTCCACAGTGATCTTACGGAAGTCTTCAAGCAAGATGGGACAAATCGCCTTAGTCGGGTGCGTCATGTAAACGGGACCCGAGTACCCCACCATCTCCGTCATGTAAGGCAGGGCACCGCAATGGTCCTAGGTGAAAGTGACTTATGATAACACAGTCTAGGTGCTCGTTGAGCGGGCCCTCCTGCGTTATGTAGCTGAAGTCTGGAAATCGTCGCTCGTCGTTGAAGCCCATGTGCATGCCACAGTCCAGCATCACATTTTTGCCGCCAATGCTCAGTAGAATACAGCTGCGTCCCACGTCCTGGCCAGCACCCAGAGGAGTGACACTTATTTGAGGCATATTTACCGGCGCTGTACACTAACGTAGGTGTATAAGGCCAAACCTCATAAACGCGAAATTGCTCGCGACAGCGACGAGCGACGCGACGTAGATGCCAACCACATCCACACGTGAAGTGGGTTAGCATTTAAGTCGCCTTTCTACTAGCACAAAACAATGTGTTGATCAGGTTCACGTTGCTAGAGCGCCGAACCATGCCACACCATGCACGCGTTCATGCGCAATTGAATAACCAACAATAGTTAAGAAATGGGTTGTTCAGAATACACAAGATTGTGGAATCGTCTAGTGTTATCGTCCGCTGCGCTATAACGGCACTCAGAGAAAGTTGGGTCTCTTCAATAATACTATGTGTATGCTAAATAGAAGTAGTTCAATGAATAAGAATACGTTTTTATAAATTAGCTTCTTAAACAACAATTATATTAATAATTACGCAAAATTGATTTGATAATTACGTGAGGTTGACAAAATCTTTAGACAATACAGCGCATTATCTGGTAACCCTGATTGGCGCGGAAAAAGCACAACAAAAACAAAAGAGCATGACACTTGTGATAGAAACCAACTACAACGAAAGTAGCAACGGTGTGGAAAAACCTCGGCCGTCCGTGGAGTTGCGCGTGCCTCAGCAAGTGCGGAAAAAATGAGCGTATTTTCGCGGCCAACAGACTGTGTCAGGGACGCAGCTGCCGCGTCGGAAGGCGCGTTAACCGTGACCAGGCAGCCGAGAGGAATGCAACGTCAAATATGAGAGTCGACGCAGCAGTAGTATTCTCAACTTCAACGACAGGTGACATCGGAAGCTGCCATCGAAATGCTCTCCGTGTGGTTCACGTGCTGCGCGTTTTGGGTCTGCGCCCACGGCAGCTCCCCGCCGCTGCTGTTGGTTCTGTCTCTCGACGGCTTCTGGTACAAGTACCGCTCTCTTTACAGAACGCCGCACATCGACCGGTTGGCCACAGAAGGCGTGCAGGCCGAGTACCTGCGCAATGCGTACGTAACCAAGACGTTCCCCAACCACTTCACCATCGCTACTGGCCTTTACGAAGAGAGTCACGGTATCGTCGGTAACGCAATGTTCGATCCCGTGCTCAACGACTCGTTCGACGAGTCGAGCCGCGATCCCAGGTGGTGGGACAACGGGCACTCCCTGCCCATCTGGGCGGCGAATCAACTGCACGGCGGCCGTAGCGGCAGTATGATGTGGCCTGGAGGCGACGTGGCGATTCACGGCGTGTCAGCGCACTACGTGCAGAGCTACGACCCGTCCCTGAACTTCAGCGATCGCGTGGACCGCGTCGTCAGCTGGTTCCTGCATCCGAAGGAGCCGGCCAACTGCGTCTTCTTCTACTACGAAGAGCCAGACGCGACGGGCCACGAACACGGCCCAATGTCTCCCGTCACCGGTGCTCGCGTCGAGCAAGTGGACGCCGTTAGTGGGAGAGTTGGTGGCGGCGTTGAAGCGAGCCAAACTGTGGGACCGCATCCACCTGATCGTGGTGAGCGACCACGGCATGGCGCCCGTGACCAGGGTCTCCGCATTGGACGAAGTGCTACCGCCGGACTCCTTCCGCGCGTACGGCACCAGTCCCGTGTGGAACATACTTCCGGCGCAGGGCCGCGAGCACGAAGTGTACGCGAAGCTGCAAGAGGCGTCCGCGCGACTCCACATTCGAGTGTACAGGTCCGAAGAGATTCCGCCAGAGTACCACTACCGAAACAACGTTCGTATCCTCCCCATCTTGGCCGAAGCCGAACCAGGATGGGACTTGGTAATCTCAAAGAAGTCGGAGAGAGGGAACCGCACCTGTAAGCACTGACTGAACCGTTAGGTTTATGGAATATATTCGTCATTAAGACACAAACAAACAGCGCGGACATTGGACGGTGAAAGAACGACAGGCGGGGTGCTGAACTAACGACCATTGGTTTATTGCCGAAAAACTCAATATATATACACAAGCTTTGCTTGTAAGATCAACAAAAACTCGGTACTTGCACAGAGATAGGCTAGAAATAGGCAAGTTATGCTTGTCGGCAAAACAGGCCATCACGTTTTTAACAAGTAACTAATTTTCCAGTTACACAAAGCAATCAAAAGCGCACTGACGCGATCGTTTCCCAGCGTATAAATAGGGTAAGCTTTGCTTACCTCACACTCAGATTCATCATTCTAATTATCAGAGGCACATCTCAAGCTTGTGTGGTGTGCTGTACACATTACAATGTTAACACACTTGCAGACACGAAGAAAGAGATGACAGAAGTGCGCAGTTGCTTCAAAAACGTAAAACTATATCATGGAGCCATGACCTGTCTTCTGTATTGAGCCCTCTTGCACTGCAAATCGTAAACACCGGGCCACCTTGCCTAGTATTTTACATTTTATATATTAGGATGTCTCGTGTAGGTCAAGTTACGTGAACACATAATTCTGACATGACGGTGTTTGCAAAGGTGTTGTGTAATGCCTGGAGATTGTGTAATATGGAGCATGCTAAACAACACAAACTGCAGTGGATTGTTGCCAGGTGAGGATGCTGTGAAGAATGCAGCATAGAAATGACAGCATTGCATATTGTTGCATTCTGATATCTGGTCGCAATGTTCATTGAGAAGACTGACATTACATTGAAAAGACTAACAGCCATGCATGTGACTTTAGTATGAAGTTATAAAGCTGAAAACATTTCCAAAAGAAAGATTTCGGCCAATCAGACGTGTTACCTGTTCTTTGCAGCTCTCATCTAGTGCTTTCTTTCATCTTCTTGCAATGGTCATTGAAAATTATATAACTGGGATAAAGACACCTTCATTTAAAGCAAAAAAGTGTACGACATACTTTCGATATTTTCAACATACTCTTGCACAACAGCGAGACCGTTTGCAGTGTGTGTGCACTGAACCAAGCATTATTTTATCGCAGTTCAAGAAAAGATAATAGCCTAGTTCATCTTGAACCAGGTCATATTCATTTGCATAGCAAAGAATAATTATAGGGAAAAATTATGTTATTATATATCTCCACAGAAATTCTGAACTTCACAAAATCACCTAAAAAAAGAAAGGTAAAGTCTACAAATATCTACAAAAAGAATTTAAAGTAACATTTCAAATGGGAAGCATTTTCATCCAACAACTATTTGCTCGGCAGTCATAAATTTCTAATGCTTACTAGTACATTGTTAACGTGCCTGCTTGCAAATATAGCTTGTTGAAGACTTAATTAGCTGTGCAACCACGTCTAGAATAACAAAGAGCATGTGTGAAGTTGTGAACTACAACTTCTTGCTGTGCATGGATAAAAAGATTAAGAGAAATCAACCAAGTTATACCAAAGATATTCTTTTTTCAATGGGGAAATACAAAAAGATAATGTTTTATTCTGCTTGGTTTATTGAAAAATTACAATTTCTTTCTATTCAGTTTTGGTTCAATATGCTAGTGTTATGGGACTTACGCTTTTCTGCATAATGGTGCAGTGGAGATTTCAGCCAGGATTAGTGTGAGCTTATCATGTACTCTGACCTTAAAACATCACAGAGATACAGTCCATGTGGGTATCATTCTACTTGCTGAAGAAGAAAACAAAAAGGATGGGTGTCTTTGTAAGTAGATTCTTAGTAGACGTGTGTTTAAGATTGAATTCAATACGAATAGAATAAGCTAGAATTGAACCACATACTTTTAGAATGGTTTTATTAATACTGAACAGCTATTTTTACAGTTAATACGAAAGAAGTCACATTCTGAAATTTATAATTTGAAAATGACAGCTGCAAATAGAACGTCGGGAACCAATAAGCACATTCCTCACATTCACAAACTTTGGAGAGCAATTTATGGCCAGCAAAGTCTGGCTTCTCAAGTGACATAGCCCACTACACTATGAAAGATCCCATGTTTTATGCCCATGCTGTGCCCATGGGAATGAAATCCTATATTCTATTAAAATTTTGTACCAGCTTTGAGTTTATCGTGTGCACTTCACATTTTGAAGTAATTTATGTAAAAAAAATACTCGTATTCATAAAACATGTCAGTTTGACACAGAGGCTGAATCAGATGCCGTATTTGATCCAATATTCAAAATTTGAAATTTTCACATAATATTAAAGGGATACTGACACCAATATTCATAGACGAGTTTACTCTGTTATACAAAAAAAAAACACTGACATTTTATTTTGACATTAAAGTTATTTTCACATGGTGAACGTACTGTTGTCATAATCACTATTGTAATGTAGGGCTGCAGTGTCGATTCTGGTGACTTCACACACCAGTACGGCTAGTTGTGGCAAGGTTGTGCACAAAAACATTTAAAATGGCCGCTTGTGCCTCGCCAGAAACACTCAAAATGGCCACTTGAATGTCACTGATGGAGCCACGGAGTGGAGCTGACATGAAAACGTCCCGATATCGTGATGGCAGGCTACAGTAGGAACTGAAACTAGCTCTTGAATATATGCTCTAATTAAATTATTCAGAGTGCACTCACACTTACCAGATTATTTTGCAAACTCTTGAGGATTTGGTGCTAATTTGACACAGAAAATAAAGGAAACCTAAAAACTTTCATGTCGTGACCTTCTTAAGGGTGCTGTCTCATGGTTTCTGAAAGGTATCTTCACTTTCTGGTGACTCTGTCATAACGAAAATGCTGCATTCGAGTACTGCGTACAAAACATGCCTGCCTATCATTGCTTCCAGATGGAAACCACGGCTATCGCCCCAGCCTTGACTGGATGCATCCACTGTTCGTGGCTCGGGGCCCGGCGCTGAGAAAAGGCCAGCACGTGGGTCCGCTGGCGAGTGTGCACCTTTATCCGCTCATGGGTCACCTGCTAGGCTTGCCGTCCTGGCCGTCCAATGGGTCCTTGCACGCCGTGCGACACATGTTCCAGCCGGCACCTAGCAATCTACCCCTACTGCTGGCTGGTGCGTACTTTTCTTGTCTTTGCTCAAGAATAACTTCATAGTGGCAGCGTGTGTTAGTCCAGGATTACTAATGCTTCTATTTACAAAGATATGTTGAAGACTGTTCGCTACAGTTGTTTGCCCATGCTGTTTAGTAAAAACTATAAGCAATGCACCACCTCACATTAATGTGAACACCAGGTTACTAATAGCTTTTTTTTTTAGCAGTGACGGTAGTACGGTACTGAAATGCCGTACTCAAGTTACCAGTTGCAGTGGGCAACTGGCAGCGGCCGAAATATTTAAAGAAGCCGCATGCTGACGACTGTATGGTATTTCAATAATCACAGTATGGTAATCCAGTGCTGCTAAAACACTCCGTTATCAAAGACTGATGCAAAGGTTACTGGTGAGGCACACCTGTCTTAGGGATGTTTGTGCTTTTTCCACATGCTTTTGCTCTGGCAAAAATATAAAAGGAATCTGCGATGAAATGCAAAAAATGCAAAGCAGTACTACCATCACATAATGATTTCTTGAAAATGTGAGGCGAGACTTTACTTAATGCATAATTAAGGAACCTAAAGCAATGAAATTATTTAACTTCTAAGCCATCATTACAAACTGACTGCAGACATAAAATGAATACAATCGTTCAGCTATGTTGAAATAGGGCTGGGGAAAATCGACTCGAAATTTAATATTTATTTTAAAGTAGCAGAACCTGAGTAAACCACTGATAGTTATGTTCACCCTAAACACTTCATGTTGGCTTGGTCTAACTGAATGGTTTAACTAAATCAAAGCTGAGATGACTCAAATTGAATTACAAGCAGTGTTTGTAGCATCACAATTTGGATTTTGGAGCAAAATCTTAATTTGGAACACTTAGTCGGTATTTACTAATATGTCATCTTAGAGAGCTTTAAAAAACAAATTTGTTGCAGCTTTGGGGACAATTAGTTTAATTGACTTAGATTACCACTGAAGCGGCCTTTGGAGAAAGTTTTTCAACAGATTATTGCCATGTATACACTATGTTGCCTTTTTATATACCACGCTACCTATCAGCTCGAATAACAAATGACATGAAATAATTGAAGAAAGGTTCTAAAAACTAGATTAACTTCAAAACATTTCATAAAAAGAAAAACAAGAACATATAACACTTCTGAAAAAATGAAAAAGTTGTGATTGCACAACTGTAGTTACATAGTTGCAGGCCTTTGCTTAAGATCCGTGATATGATTTAGCAGATTACTGCTCTGGCTTTTGCTAGGTTCCTGAAGACCATTGTTTTTTTGTTTTTTTGTTTTCGGGAAAACTTCAGCTATCTGCTCAGCCACGTGGTCAAAGCAGCGTCAAGTGTACTGCACGCTTTTAACAGGCGATGACAAAAGCACGCTGCACCACCATTCTCTGCCACCTAATACACACCCTTAAAGAGTGTGGCATGGGCACCAAGCAACCTCACTGCCCTGACTAGTATCCTGTCAAACGCACGTCTATGGTACTGCAAGCTCATCGTCATTGCAAGGGTGCTGCACTTTTTTATTACGGGATGACACAAATGCACTTCGCATCACTCCACTGCTGCCTTCTCATACAAAACTTCTAGCGCATCGTGGCAATGCGTCAATGCAGGAAGCTAGTTGTCGCCGCTTTGGCACAGCAAGGTACTCATATCACCTGTGTTATGGTATAGCGCATAATGGCACGAAGAGCCTTGGCAAACGTATGTGTGGGTGATTACACGCAGCAGCGTCAGCACGAAAGCCACAGCAACTGGAGAAACACGCTATGCACAGCAAAGAACCTGTAGGTGGACCCTGTTATGTACGCCACATGATATCCTTTGCCAAGTGACAGAATGCATAGCCTAAGAGTGGAAGCAGCCTGCTCGGAATACAGCAGTACATTTTGTGGGGCATGGCAGCACGTTTTTGGGGCATGAGAAAACATCTTTAGGAGTCTCTTAAGTGCGAGTGTGTCTTTATTCACATAGATGTATGAAAACATGCTTTCACATGTCTATGTTCTGCAACCGTCTCATTTTTTTTTGCTATCCTTGGCAGCTTCTTGGAAAATCATGTCGTGAACTGTGCCTTTTTTCCCTACTGAAGCCGACACGGGCGTCAAAATTCTTTCTCTTGAAGCTGTTTTGGAGTAGTTCAATGTAATCTTAGCAAATTTCATGCTTTTAAAGCATGTTTGCACCACAAACCAGAATCGAATAAAAAATGTGCTATATGGCAGCTGTGTCACCCTTGCTAAATGCATGAACATATTTTTTGTTATCCCTCTTGAGCAAGTTGCAGAGCAAGACGATAGTCATAGTGCGAGAACAGAACTGACGACAAAGAGACAAGAAGGACACGACACGACTCTGTCGTCGTTCTGTTCTCGCGCTATAACTATCGTCATGTCATACCAACTAGCCCAAACTGCCACACTTCTAAGTTGCAGAGCAAGTTCCCATTCTGACTTTCTTGTTGTTACTGCGACTGCACACTAGAAGATTGCGCCCTAGAAGCAAAAGCAGTGAAAAGCTTAGCCAGTTATGCACAATGAAAACTGTTGAACAGCTTACGCTGTCAGCGAGTGTATGTGAGGGTAGACTTATTTTTAGCATCATCATCGTCATCATTTAGCATCACGATCAACATCGTTTCGTTTGATTTAGTAACTCAACTCTTTGGTCATGTGACCTTCATGACACCGCACAGGCACGCAGATGATGGCTCGACACATAATATAATATTATGCAGAAATTATGCAAGCATCTTTTCATCCCCGTCACTCTTTTTCTCTCTTGTTTACACAGCTGCTAGCGTGTTCCTGTGTACTACAGTGGGTCTGGTGGCGCTGGTGGTGTGCGGCCAGCCACACAGCAATTCCAGCCAAGAAGACGAGGAGCCCCTGCTGCTGCTTTCCGCCTGAGGCTACCCAGCCCCGGCGCACGTCTAGTCCGGCAACAATTCAATGTTGCCAGCGTAGTCTCTTACAAGGCGGGGCGTGGCACCTAAAACAATCTTCAACCACCTGCGTAATCCGAGGCTCAACGCTATCCGTTGCAGCAGCATTAGAACTCGTGTAGGTCTCCTTGCGAATTCTCTCGTACGCCATTCGAGCTACCACTCGAGTTGTTAACGTCTCGAATATTGAACAGCATAGCACACGCAATTTCTTCTCATGTTGTGCTGTTCAAAGTTCAAGACGAACAGATTAGCATAAATACTGACATTTTACTACATGTACAAAGGATTGAAGTTGATCGTGACTGGTTAATCGAGTTCATAAATGATTTATTTAAATGAGCTGGCAAGGGTTGAGTGAGCAAACCCAGCACTTTTATTGCCACGTCCCTCCTCTTTGTATGGCTTGCGTCCACTACATTATTTCTCGCAGGAGTGGTTTGATTACTTGAGTTGCCTTTGTGCTGTCACTACAACGAATGTTCCTGTCTATTATGGCACAAATTCCTTGCAACTTTAGCTGAGGGTAGCATCGGAAAGGAGAAAGAGAAAGAAGAAGAGCATTGGTAAAAAAAAAAGAAGAAAAAGTAATCATGCCTGACAAAGAAAATCGTTTGAATGTTACAATGCTGAGCTAACCAGCACAGGCTTATTGGGAAAGCCTTACATGTTTGTTTAAGATGACAGACTAATTTTATGGTGTGTGTTTATGTACGTGAAGTCATTCTCTGTGGAGGTAAACGTCTCTAATTAATATTCAAGTTATAGAGCCCCTCACTTGGCTTACGCCAGCATGAAACTCAAAGACGCGCAGTGCTCAGTGGCTGAAGTATGAAATCTTCAAAGTATGAAAAACCTGCATGGCATGAAAATAGTATAAACTTCAGATAAAAAAAGCCGTACATCCATTCCTCAGAAAAACCTATCCTTCCAAAGGGGGTAAATGTAACCTGAATTCATGTTCTATGTTAAGTGCCACTGATCACAGCACGTGACATCGGTTTTTAATCCAATGCTGGGCATGCAGTGCCGAGTATATGCCAATCAAAATAGAAAGACAAGCGAAAGGAATGAAAGGTGTGCATCACGTAAATATGTAGTCACTAGTTGGGGCAAAAGAAGAGCGTATGCAGTGGATGTGAAGCTTGTTTCAGGAGGTACAGTAACAAAGCAGTTCAATTTATTTTAGCTTGTTCAGTAATGAACAGACTGAAAAGATCCTACTGGTAAAACACATCCGCGCAGTTATGCCTTGCCGTGTGTAAGCAATATTTGCAGCGAAACCTTCTGGGGGACTCTCAAACATTAGAATGTTGTAGTTTAGGCTCATGACTGTCTGTGGAGCACTTCTCCTCGCTTTGATGTGAAGTCTAGCTGCTAATGCTGTTGGCATAGTAGTGCAATGTTTCGATTATAGTGGATGAAATGGATTACACTGCACGCGCTGGCCTCGAATACAGCGGGAGCGTCAACTACTGGCAGATCTAGTGTAGTACATGTCATAGAGACCTGCTTACATATCTGTACCAGCACTACAGCGTTATCTGTGTTCATTTTACTGAATGATACCATTTATGTGTTTTTGCTTTACACTCCAGTGCAATCTTTCACATACAGCAGCTCTTTTTTCAGCGACTAGGTGTTAGCTTACACTGCTTTCCTTTCACCTTGACGGCTACTGCTTGTTCTTTGCAGTAAGCTTCTTAATTATACGTTTTTTAAAACTTTGCTCAACCTCTGTTCGTTTACTTTTTGAACGAAATCTCTGGTTTGGCGCATTGCTCACAGCTTTCCTAATGAAGGGGAGACACGGGTCTTACTACTAAAGGGATCTCAGGCCCATGCCTGTTTTCCGGTGTGTTGTGTTGAGCTTTTTCTTCAGAACACCAACACTGCACACAAGACAGATTATCGTAAAGCTGCTCAAGATTGTTATCGTTACCTCAGGCATTGTGATGGCTTTTTTGAAGGAAAAAAGAAATGAGGAGGTGTTGTGATAAAGTTAAGGCATGGATAACGACAGCAACGTAAGATAAGGAAGCTGTACAAGATGCGCAGATCCAAGAGGCATTAAGATGTGGAGCGTGAGAAGCAAACGGCCTTAACTGGGCTTGCATGCTGTTTCTTAACAAGTATGTGGCAGGCCTCCTCAACTGCATTATTGTGAGTGTTAAATGACTGAATACTGTTGGTCTGTGTAGGTGTGAGTGAAAATTGCTTTAAATAACCCGTGTCTTATTTGCCAAAGAAGTGGCTGATGAAACTCGCTGTAATCAAAGTATATAGTCTCATTACATTAAACTTGGTCTTTGCAGCTACACTTCATCTAAGTTGACAGTACTCAAAATTGATATTACCAACGAAACTAGAGAACAGATCTACCAATCTTCAATGCTGCATTTCTCTTTCATCACACAAAAATACACGAGAAAGACTAAACAGGATGAGCGCTTGTCCTGTTTTGTCTTTCTCATGTATCTTGTCTGTTTCGCTCTCCTAAGTACCGAAAATTGCTTGTCTATTAAACATATGCACAAATGTGATTGAAGCCTTGACCAAAATGATGAGTCTCTTAAACTCGTACTTTGTTTTTGTTATGCACATTTGAAGAGTAAAGGCATTTCAGTGCGACTTATTGCCAGATTAAGGATACACAGCGCTTTTAAACCTTTTCTTTGTCCTTTATTTTTAGGAAGGGTTCTTTATCTCAGTATCTTTTCTAACGCCTTTCGTGTATATAGCAATGGTTTCACTGGTTTGATACACCCACCTATTGTGTGCATGAATGCAAGCTGATTTTGTGCTCGAGCATCGATTGGAAAGGGCCATGGCATGTGAACATTAAAACGCGTGTTTTTTTTTTTTTACTATGGCGGGACAGTGTAAAACACCAGACAGTTACACACAGGACATGTGTATCTTGTGTGCTCACTAATGATATGTTCCGCAGAATTCTGCTACAATTTTCACGAACCAACTAGCCCACCTAAGAGCCCTCGAGCATCTTGTTAATTAACAAATTATCACTATTCAAAACTTTATGAGGGCTCGTGAACATCACAATGACATTACATCCCATATGCGTACAGCAAATGATATGTTTGTAATAATTTATTCTTTCTGTTGTCAATATGCTTATTTGCATGCTTCCTAGATATCCAAGTGCTTCAAGATGAGCACTTTTTGTTAATACAAATGCAGCATGTAATAATTTATTCTTTCTGTTGTCAATATGCTTATTTGCATGCATTCCTAGATATCCAAGTGCTTCAAGATGAGCACTTTTTGTTGAAACAAATGCAGCAGTTCACAGCTTGCAAAATATTGGCAGCAAGGATCGCGCTAATACCGCAGTACAAGCTAGTACGGCAATGAACTGTGTGGAAAAAAGAGAAGAGTCTCCGAAACAGAACTGCCGCATGCTCCAGTTTTGGATCACTTAATACAGCATTGCAAAACACTGAGTCTAGTAAGTGATTGCAGTGCTATACGTTTTTTTACGCCATGGCCCTTTCAATAAGGCACCTCGATACGCAAAACTTGGAAATGCTTCAAATATCATTGAAGGAAATTCTCACTGTTGTATTTGTTAAGTTTTTGGTTATGACTTGCTCAAATATGTATTTTTTATAATTTTGTTTAAAGGATAGAGTTTAGTGGTTACAGAGGCATTACATGTGCACAAAAGCATAGTTTACGTTGCTGTTTTATTAACCACTTGTTTAGTTTTCAGTGTCCCAGCAAACCTGTGGCATATCTAAGAACTCAAAGCCGTATATACGAAAATATATGTTGTTAGCAGCCATGGACACATAAGCTGCCAGTAGATTTTCTCGACATAGAGGGCATCAGATTTTATTTTCTTTAACAAGGCATGTTTTTTGCGATACCAGGTAGAGTTTTTATATAGTTGCACTTTTTACTGATTCGTTGAACTTGTATTTGTTATTTTATGAACATGCAACAATATTCTTTTACAGTGTTGTGATATTTATTAACAGAACTTGAATGAGAACTAAAGATGGCTTCAGCCATAAAGTAATTGTTCATGGCATTTCGCATAATTGTTTTTTGCACAGAATAAATTGTTTGACTCGCACTTGGTGTCCGAGTTGAAAACTTTATCGGAACACATGCTTTTTTTTTCTTTTATGGCAGCAAAGTTCAGCATACAGATATTTGTATATGTTAACTTCAAGTGTCAAAGGAACCGCAATATAATACACACACTTTCGATACTTTACAAGATCTTCAGGAAAAGTTTAGGCAACACAATGTTTTTAAGCTCTTAACATCTTGTTTCACAGAGATTCTTTTTGCTTGTGGCGAACACATTTTACATAAGCTTACAAATGCATATTCACACAGGTTGCCATAGACACTCTTCAAGAAAGCTCTTTCTAGAGGCTCAGGGCTTTGTGCAAAAATCATTAGATAGAAATCTGTCAGTATGATCATTTTATACCTGGTGGAAATGATGAAACACGCACAATGGTCAATAAAAAGAAAGCAATCCTTCATAGACAGCTGTCACGTGAGATGCATTCTTGGCAGGAAGCAGTTGGTGATGAGCTTAAGTGGTGAGATATTCTCAAACAAGGATATATGCTGGAGCAAACATATTAACGGAGGTGCCTGTCTTTGTCTTGTTGAAGCGTATAATCAAATGACCATTCCATGTTCGACTCAAATGACATCTCGTGTTTGATGATTTCTCATCGCTTGAAAGTTTCTAACCTCTACCGTGACTTAATAATTTGTAACCTTAATGCAATAACTGAGATGCGAATATCGAAGGACCAACTACAACCTCTATTCGAGACTGTTTTTCAACCATGTTTTCTAATAGCAACAGCTGCTTTACACATAAACTCCTCCACCCCTTTGAGTCGCCGATTTGGTCACAACAAATTGATTACGCATGGGTTTAGAACTGAAATGCAGCTGCTCAACTATTTTTTAAGCTTATCAAGGAGCAAGCAGTTTGCACTAGATTAGCATATAGTAGTCAACTAGTGCATTGCAGGCCGCATAGTTTCATGAGTACATCCACGCCAAAGTACCCCAATTCAAAGATCCATAACACCAAAAACATTTATGAACAAAAGGAACTTTATGAACTTTATGGAATGAAAAGCTAATTCGGTCATACTTTAAGTAGCGAGCATACTTTGAACAATGTTAAGGAGAGTTCCATCATTTCCACAAAAATCAGAATCTTTTCCCTGTGCCAATGCAAGAGAAATTTTGCACTTTAACTACGCTGAGATACAGCCACACTGATAGCGCAATACTAGGATATTCAACATATTCTTAGGATATTCAACATATTCTTCGCGTTGAATGTTAAAAATTAGCCTGGGTGCCTTCTATCATTGATATCTCTCGTAATCATGGCAACATGAACACGATCAATACCCTCCACAGTGGATTAATACGTTTCCAGCCACAGCCGCCATATTTCAATGGGGGTGAATAGCAAAAAATATACCTTGTACAAATATTTGTCAAAGAGCCACAGGTGTTCAAAATTAACCTAAACTCCTCTATAGTGTTGATTGATGTGTGTGGGGTTTAACGTCCCGAAGACACCATATGATTATGACAGACGCCGTAGTGGAGGGCTCCGGAAATTTCGACCACCTGGGGTTCTTTAACGTGCACCCAAATCTGAGCACACCGGGGCCTACAACATTTCCGCCTCCATCGGAAATGCAGCCGCCACAGCCGGGATTCGATCCAGCGATCTGCAGGTCAGCAGCCGAGTACCTTAGCCACTAGACCGCCGCAGCGGGGCCTCTCTATGGTGTGTGTTTGTCATAATCATACTGTGGTTCTGATATAGCTAAAAACTCAAAAATGTGATCGTAGTTCTGACAATAATCCCATGAAAGAACTTCTCAACACTGCTCGCTTATTTTCTTAATAATAATAATAATAATATGAGCGGTTTTATGTCCCTACACTATAATATATATGAGGTACACCGTAGTGAAGGGCTCCGAAAATTTTGACCATCTGGGATTCTTCAACAGGCACTGACATCGCACAGTACTCTGGCCTCTACCATTTAGCCTCCATTGAAATAAGACTGCCGTTGTCGTGATCGAACCTGTGACCTTGGGGTCGGCAGCCGAGCACCCTAGCCACTGTTCTACCGAGGCGGACGCTTGTGCATTGTCTCACTGAGATACTTGATGAATTTTTGAAATGAAAGGCGTTTTAAGACACCACAAATGTGAGACAAGACAAATGACTTAGCTGCTTCACCAACTAGTCACCTGAAGACGTATACTTGTAATACATGGCAAAGCTACTTCTTCTATTTTTTTCCATTTTTTTTACTTATATCGACCTCTTCCTCGTGCCACTGTCAACATCGGCATAATTAAATAAACTCTGAGAAGAAACAGCTCTCATTTGTCAAGCAAGCCTGCCCTGCACTGGCAGTCTCCCAACTCGCGACACTTCATCCGTTTCCGTTTACCTTGGATCACTATGTCCTTCAACTAAAACGTATCTATTCTGAATTACTCATTATGTGGGCGGCCTAATTCTACTTTCTGTTAAATCTTATCTAGAACACTACCTGTACATGCCTCATTACTAATTCATGCAGCAGCACATGTCTTGTTCATTGCCATACCTATGAGTTTCTTGTCATAGTGCAAAGTTATTATAGAGAGTAGTATTTTTCTTTTTGCTTTAGCATGAGTTCTCTCCTATAAAGTTCGAAGTTCATACTTTGGCTCGCACATGTGACCACATACGTATCTAGGAGCCTGACATCACGAGTGACTCGGGGCTGCATTGTAAGTAAAATGAAGTGTTTAAGTGCCCTTTACAATGCGGACTCTACCTAGCAGTGTTCCCAGCCCAACAATTCGTTGCATAACTTGTTGAAGTGTGAAGGTTGTTCCATTGCGCTCATAGGGCAAAATATGTGACTGAGATTAAACAGCTGCACCTTATGAAAAAAAAAAAAAAAACGGAAAAAGAATGTCATATATACAAAGAAATTGGAGCACGATTCATTTGTTCTGAGCCAAGATCTAGCACTTCCTGGCATGATCACAGCAGATACAGGCCAACCCAAACAAATACCCCATATCGTTGAACTTGCCTTTTCCATTGCTTTTGCAATGCAGTATTGCAACCAGACAGGGGGAATATCCTGCTCAGATGTAAATGATTAATAAAAGTGCGTACTATAATCGTTGGGACTTTTCACTGATTTTTCGGGTCGCAAGTTTTTCGATTAGCATGCTTGTGAAAGTCAAATGAGCCAGAATACTTGGCCTAACCATTAGCACCAATAAAAGAAAAATAAATTCAAGCAGTGTGGTCAAATGAATTGCTGTTCCAGCTCTTTTCTCTCTTTTTTTTGCTTTTTTTATGCACTCTTGGAAAATTTAGCATATTAATATGGTATGTATACTGACTTGCATACCAGTACAGTAAAAGCTCGTTCATTCGACCCTCAATAATTTGGAAAATCAGATGATTCAGAGGTGTTTTCTGGGCTCGGCCAGCGTCCTTATTGCTTAATTGTGTCACACTCTTGTAAATTTAGTCATATTTAGCCACAACGTACTTGATTCAGACAATCTTCAGAGTGCGTTGAGCGTGAAGTGCCACAAATATACGATGCACAAGAGCAAAAATGACGTTCACAGACAAGTGAAACAAGGTGGCGCCACCCACATCGCATTAGTCGGTGACCACGGTTTTGTCCACATGCAGATCTGACACTCAGTAGCTTTGTTTTAACTTGATGTAATACGTGCACAATGGCAGAAATAAGCTGCTGAAGATGAATAGCTTTCATCCACTGTCGGCATGTTGGCAGTAATCTCTCTTACTACTTCACAATCGACAAACTATCGACTGCTGGCCATTTTACTTCTGCAAGAACTATCGTCACGTGCGTAAGGTGGTGATGGTGGAGGCGGCACATTTTGGGCTGATTAAATACAAGAGGTCTATCACTGTGGCCGAATTGTGAATAACCTCCCAGATGACAAAAATTGCAGATATTGCACTGCTCTTATGCAAAATCAAGTATAAGATTTACATAATTGTCAAAGAAATGAAAGTGCATTGATGTAACAGATATTTGTTTATTGTTTTCATGCTACCTTTAATAATTCGGCATTCATTTCATCTGGGCAGTTTTTCGGTCCCAAGCAATTCGAATTAACGAGCTTTTACTGTACAACAGTGGTGGAATTTTATGCTTAAAAAGCACTGCTCCCAGTGCCTTGTTGCAAAATTGCTTTCCGGCTAGCTGCACACGAACTTCTACAGACATTCAACAAGTCTAGAGACTTTGTCGGCCACTCATCATGCACACAAAGATATTCATGACCCTGCTCAGGAATGGCAGGTCTCCGCTGCCATTGTCCATTTGCAACAGTGTAAATAGTCAACTGCACGAAAAACAACTTTTCAATGCACCATACACACAGTTCACATTCTCCATTAGCTGATTTGGGTCTTGGAGTCCTTCAGTCAGCAGTCATCACAGCTTTTAGGAGGTACAGAAATGCATGCCGAGGTCTCAAGCATGTGGTCCACAGGTGGCATGTCCATATGCACAGCACAGAAGACACACCCCCCCCCCCCCCCCAATCACCAAACTTTTCGACCTTTTTCCCCTCACTTCTATAAAACACAGATCTAAATATCTATCTAAAAACTGTCTCATCTCTCGGCTAGACATTCCACGCAACGGCCTATGAAGAACTATGCACAATATGTGCTGCCTGGTGCATGATGTGAGCTTAGAGCCCCAGCTGTAGACTCACTCTAGAATAAGCTTTGTTGAACAATATCCCTGTGACAAGACCAGCACAAGAACCATTGTAGAGTTCTCTATGAACACAACACAGCTCTGTTGCATGGTGTACAGCCGACGACATAAAAATATAGCTGCAGGTTGACCTCGAAAGGAGTCTACCGCATAATCTGCGATGGCATCGACCAACCAAGTAAATGCACATTTCAGAAACACATTCAGCAAAACAAAGATTGAGGTTACTCGTTTGTCTTGCCTCTGCATATTGTTATGGTGATAAAAAAATCTCTGTATGGCGTTAAAAATGAGCGAATAGCAAATAATCTTGAGTGCTCAAGATAATGCGTCACTGTACTGTAACTTGATTGGTCAGTGTTTTCATGATAACCTCTCCATTGCACCAGGTAGCACTTAAATTCTCAATCACTGATGTGCTCTGCAAAGCCGTGTGAATCTAGTGGCCAAAAGTGAACAGCTAACAAACCACACTTTCAGATAATTGTCCGCAAAATAAATAATTGCTACAGCGAGCAAACTCCTAAAAGAAATGAGCCATGACAGTCTAGTAGTCTTTGCAGGCACAACTTACCGCAGGGGTATCACATGCTTTGTGGTCATGCGAATTGAACAGCTGCTCGTGGCGGTGAGAAATCTTGTGTAAGAAGTGCCTGCAAAAAGTGCGTTGATACGACTGCCCCCGTCATCGTGTAGCCAGTTCGCCTTTTTTTCTTTCATTTGTAGTTAGCAATAAAAATATCAGGCTGGACGCTGTTAAGCCAGTGATGGAATGCAGATGCTGTACTTATCCAAACGGCACAATGCCTTCCTTGAGCTCCCTTACCAGTGACAGCTGAACCACCACTTCGTAGTGTTCAGCATATCCTCACGATCTTCCTCCCACCAATAACTTGCAACAATATCTCTGGCGGTGAGCACGTCAAGTGTTCTCCTGAAACACAGGAGAATATGACGGGGTTTCACATTAGAGGTGCGATAGTTCTTTCCCGTACATCGTCGCTCGTGCAATGGATATCCAGTACTGTAGTCTTCTGCACACAAATCCAACACACGAAACGCTTGCAGCGATTCAAGATGGCGACCCGTCACGGTGTAGTTCATTGAGCCAGTGGCACATGACCTAGATTCCGACGTAATTTTCTGCTGGATTCTCTTGCACACGTATACGTGTCTAGCACCATTGTTCCATCACAGTAAACCAAGAAACATGATGCGGTTTCCTTTAAGTAGTTCAGCTAATGCAGGCAAATCCAAAATAGGGGGAATCTAGCAAGGAACTGGAAGAGACGTAAAGTGGCACTAGGGAATCACCCATCCATCCGTGCACCACAAGAGGGCGCACAGCTGACTGGCTTCTCCAGTGATTGCGCTAGGCAGGAAGCGAGCCAGCAGGCTGCGATAGCCTCTCCCTAGGGCAGCCACACGCTCACCCAACGACAGTACAGCATCAACTGGCTCTTCGAAGGGCCGAAAGACGGTGAGGGGCCTCAGGGCAGTTGCCTCGGCAACCACCAGGCAGCCCCAGGCGGTGCCCACATACAGAGCACCGCTGGCGTAGGCCATGGCTGTCACCTGGCACCGGCCACGGCTAAGGTGCTCCTCTATGCTCATGGACAGCAGGCTCTCGGAGCAGGGTGCAAGCTTGGAACAGTCCAGCCGGTGCAAAAGGGTGCGCGAACTGCATTCCCACTGGTACACCACGCAACCTGCATCGGCAGCGTAGTATGCCTGGCTAAGCTAACTGCCAGTGCTGGTTAGCAAGAGCTGAGCACTGGTGTAGGTAACTATTGTGAAAAGACGGCTTGGGTTTATTCGTAAGATAAGACACAGTCAAACACTTTTATAACGAAGTGCTAGGAACCTTCAAAACACTCTGTTGCAGGGATCACTTCATTGCTAAAGGTCACGCACCGCAATACTCAAAAGTACAACCAGGCCATAAGAAACCACCTGTTACATTAGAGGATTTATCCTCTGTCATCACGTTCCTCCCTTTTGTGTGCATTTTAATTCCCAGCTAAATTATGTCTTTAAGTAAGTCCCAACTAGGCAGTGCAGCAGAATATAATAAAGAGAGAAAAAGCACTAGCTCGTTGCTGAGATGACGTATGTCCCTTGGACTGCCTGTTTATGATAAAGAAATCTATTTTCAGAGCCAGCTTGGAACACCCTAGGTATGAGTAATTCATCAAATATATTCTGCATTGACTGAAAATGTGTATTTCAGTGAATAAAATTGGGGTGCCATCCATCACAGCTGTAGTAAAAGAAGCATTACAAAGGTGTAGTGACAGCCGACACCATCATTCCAATGCATAAAATTGGCACATTTCGAGATGAACATTTAAAGAACATTCATTTTGTCTTGAAACATTACTAAAATAATGCAGTGTTTTGCACACAACCGCTAGTGTGTTGAAACCTCTCATGCATAAGGAAGAACCTTTATCAAAGCCGAGTGCTTCCTGCAGTGGCTAACACGTCGTGCACTCCTTTAACACCACCTAACATTTGTAAAAATAGCAATTATAACCAGCACTCGCAAGTACAATGTCTGTAATAAAGAAGTTAGATGAAATGATTGCAAAAAAAAACGCAATAAAACATTAAAAAACCTGGATATAGGTAGGACCAGGCAGTGTTGTTCTGGGCACAAAGCTGGGAGACCGTGCCGGTATCTGGGTGTTCTAGAGCCTCTCGGCCGGAGACCGGTCCACTCTCGGGCAGCACGTAGATGGTAAGAATACCCTCCAAACCACCACACCAGAGTTCTGCTGCAGGCCTACGTAAAGAAGACGCGAAGAAGTTCGACGCTTTCCGACACGCTGACGCAGTAATACCCTCCACATTATAAGTTTCTTCATCACTGTTATTATCTTCATCACATGCTACAGTCAAGTGGATAAGAATTTTTCTCTTTCCTGGAATTTTCTCCATCATGCAGACTTCTGCAGAACTGATTAAAGATGGGCCAATCACGAAGATGGAGCAAAAACACAGGAGGTGCAGCCAGTTTTCGGAGGGGCGCAAGGTAGGATCAATACGTTGACTGAGACGAAAAAAAAGAGGAAGATGGCTTTTGCTTTCGAGTAGTCTTACAAGAATGCATAAGGAACCTGGTGAGTTTTTGTTTTACTTTTGCAAGCTCCTTTAATTAAAGCACACCTGTCATCTGGCTGGGCAACACCGAGACAAAGTGGAGCAGCCTGCACGTCCAGTTCCTGCAGGCTCTTAGTGACCTCGTCACACAGCCAGAGCCGAGAACCCGCTGTCAAGGCAACACGACCTGCTTGAGGGACATGCTGCATGGCGCGCACGGCGACTTCTTCATCTCCTTCCTCCAGCAGACTCACAGTGCACAGCTCCTGACGGCTGTCCTGGCTGCAAAGTTTAGAGGTTTGAGGCGTTTCATGCGAGGCCACTGACCAGACAAGAAGCGTGAAGTTGATGTTCATTATTAAAACAGCAGTCCAGAAACCTTGTGATGCTTGTTTCACGCCTAGAACATAATTTGTGAGGTCTCCTAAAGTTATGAACTTCATCTTCATAGTGATATTAGCTGATCCCATGCTACTGCTACTGATACAACTACTACTACTAATAATACTACTACTACTACTCTAAACAAACATGTGCTTGCACAACACAAACATTGTTTTTACACCTCTAAAGTGGACAAAAATTATTTCCGCACAAACTGAATCAAGAAATGTCAACAGGGCAAACTGAACTTCCATTAAACGAAAATAATAGCACTTTCTTTCCGTGTTTACAGAATATGAAAAGAATATACTCATAGGGTTTAGGATTATGAAACTGTACATTGGGTATTAAGGTTGTTACGACCGGGGGTTTGCAGGCACCGGAGGTCCGGGATGAAGTTGTCGAGGCAGGAGGAAGAGAGACTTGAGACAAAGGGTTTGGCACGAAAACCCATAATCATTCAAGTGATTAATGATTTTGGGGCTGATGATGAGGAGCTCTGTGAAGCATGGGACCTCATCAGTCAACGAAACAACAGAAAGACGAGGAACAGAGGTGTGAGCGCCATGTAGAAGAACACGAGATTCAAAAGCTCGCCATGTAAGAAAGAGCTCGTCATGTACGAGAGCTCACCTTGTATATAATGTAAATAAACCCTCTTCAAGTCTCTCTTCTTCCTGCCTCGACAACTTCCTGCCGGACCTCCGGTGCCTGAACACCCCAGTCGCAACAACTGGTTGGCAGCGTTGGGATACGAATCAGCGACGGAGAAAGACATGGACCGGAGGTCAGCCGAAAGCCCTGGAATTCGGCGGGATTGAAGCTACAAGCGACAACAACAGTCGGCCCACGAGAAGCAGCTGGTTCGAGACATGGATCACGTATAGGTGAGTGCTTGGCTTTTCCTTTGAGTGAACCAGGTTCTAAAAGAGGGTAAATTTTAGAACTGGTAGTTAACTTTGCCGAAAGATTCAGTTTCGCCGTTTCAGGAAGTTATTTTGGAAGTAGCGAGCACTGAGTACAATCATAGACTTATGGGAGGTGCAGAAGTCAGACTTGTTGCTGTTTTGTAAGGAATTGGGGATTGATACAAAGGGTTTGGCACAAAAACCCATAATAATTGAAGTGATGGATCATTTGGGGGCTGATTATGAGGAGCTTTGTGAAGCATGGGACCTCATCAGGCAATGAAAGAGACAACAGAAAGAGGAGGAAGAGAGGTGTGAGCATCATGTAGAAGAACACGAGATTCAAAAGCTCGCCATGCAAGGAAGAGCTCGTCATGTACGAGAGCTCACCTTGTATATAATGTAAAAAAACCTTCTTCAAGTCTCTCTTCCTCCTGCCTCGACAACTTCCTCCAGACCTCCGGTGCCTGAACACCCCGGTCGCAACAAGGTACGCCGTAGTGAACAGCTTCTGATTAGCCACTGGGATCTCAACTCATAAGCTACAACTAAGCACGAAACATTTTATCACTTTGCTGCCATTAATGTGCAGCTAGCATGACTGACAACTTAGTGGTTGGCGGCAGAAGAACATAACCCCAATTTCCCCACAGTAACCTACATGCAATGTTCACTGGCATAATATACACATAAAACAAACCTTTCACAATACATTAATGAAACAATGCACAAAAGGCACACTCACGCACACATAAAAGGCTAGCATTACACACAGCGCTTCTGTCTGCATCATTCTTATGTGTGCATCATCATGTCTTTTGTGCACTGTTTCATCGTTATCATGGCTTCACAAACAGCCCATCAGTAAAAATTTGGAAACCTTCACACAGGTCAAACTTTATTATAAGGAAGTCACAACCAATACGAAAATGGATTTAATATCTAGATTATGTTATAAACCAATGATGTCAAGGCCTAGTCATTCATCATAATTAATTTGCTTTGTTATAACCAATAATTTATTTTATACATATAAATTATTGCAAGGTTCAACAGCCTAGCAGCACAGAGAGCATAGCTATGTATGCATGTGGCTAATGAATGAGTCAGTTGGCTTGCCTGTAGATGTGCACTCTTGCTTGGGAACTTCCCAGCCAGACGTCATTGTTAACAACACACAGGCAGGTGATTGCTGGGATGGAGAGCACCTGGAAAAAACATCATTATTCCACTTTCTGCTCATTCCGAATATATTCATGGCTGCCTCAAGTTGATGTGCCATTGCAGTTGTAGCTCAAACCTGCATCACAATTTGAAAATTTTTTTTTTTTCGAAATCTTAGTTGACCATTTGACTAACAGCACTTTAACAAAAAGGACAGCTTTGGATGTGTACGTAGAAACACTCAAAGTTATATTTGACATTGCTTTCAGTTGCCAAATGTGCCTCTGTTCCACTAATGTTTGCCATACGCAATGCATCTATAATGAATTGAAAGATGAACACAGTCTAATTGTCACTCGGCTCCACGTTTTTTATGAATGGAAATAAATTGAATAATTGCCACTCAAATCTTGTTCACAATAAACGTTGATCACCAGAAATTCTGATCAAATTGTGTAAAATTTACAGCCCAGGCGAGTGTTCCAAAGTGACAGCGGGAGAAACGATTGGTGCCTCCCACCTTGAGTTCTTGCCAGTGGCTGCTGTCACAGGTCAGCAGATTCACCTGGTCGTCTGTGCGCCCGAGCCACAGCTCGGATGATGGCTCCTCTGCACCCATGCACAGAAATTACCGATTGCATCTAGCATCTAGCACACACTCATTCCTTGGTAGTTAGTATTGATTGATTGACTGATTCATTGATTACACATCTATAAAGCCAAATCAAACAGGAAAGGCTCTTGGCTATGATGGCTGGCTGCAAGAGAACCACGTGCAGAGAAGTGAGGTGCAGTGAAAGTGAATCACGCAGTATTAACCTTCTGCTATCTCCTTGTGTGCACAACTGACAAGGAAAGGAGCAGGTTACTTCGTGATGCTGAAACTACATACCTTCAGTGCCAGATGTGAAAGAGATGGCTGCCAGGAGGGGCTGCGATCCTGGAAGGGAGACCACATCCAACAGCTGTCCGAACTCGGCAGCGCTGACAATAGACACAAGCTGGCTTGCCGAGGGTCGATCACGTGGCTGCTGAGCCCAACAGCACACCATCAGGTCCAGCAGATAGCCCGGATAACTCAGTGCTTCCTGGAACACAGCAGTTACCAGCAAACATGACTTTTAAGTTAAATATTCGGGAGACATTGCCATATCTGGAAAATGGGCCGCAAGCTAAGCTTGGCGTGTGTGCATCTGATGCACTGCTTTTCGTTCTTTCTGTCGCCTCGCAAGCAATGCCCCCTCGTAGCTGTTTCCTTCCTCCATGCCGAGAATTGGACCGTAATCTGCATGCTTAGCAGCGCAATATTTCAGTTGCTACAGGCAACGAACACAGTTACATGTTCACATCCAGGCAACAATGAAACGAGGCCAACATGAAGATCAGACCGCCGTATCGAAAACAACTTATTGCCGACAATCCCACAATCGAGAAATCACCAGTTATAATGAAATGATTCATGCAAACATGCATGCATTCGGACACCTTTGAGAGCCACATTTCTTGGCACTTGCAGGATCCAGTTGTTTTGCGAGTATGTTTACAATGCCAATGACACTACGCGAGGCAATACAAACTTCGCTTGAAAATGAAACACTTGAAGAGTTATCCGGGTAAGTCTATGATGTGATTTGAATCTGTGGGCAGTTTGACCAGAGTGTGTCACAATATTCAATGTGTGCAGTCTGTCCTGTGAGTGTAAATTGAAAGACAAACAAATTGAACAATATGCCTACATTCCGCAATTATACAATATTGCAATGTGCAGTGGCTTTTCTAGCCTGCTCTGAAGCACAGTATAGTCTCAAATACACATTTTCATATCTCAGTTAATGTCAAGATCACAAATGCAGGCAAATATGGAAATGCAGCAAGATATTTCTAGCATGTCCACATATTAATTTGTGCTGATAATATATTAGCCAGGGGCTGACAAAAGCACAGAGATGGTGAAGGTTTAGTACTGACTTGAGTGGTTACAAATAAACTAAACTAATCACTGCAACTACAGCTAACATCAATTGGTCACAAATCATTGGAAACCATTTCAAGGACACTAGATCACAGTAAAAAAAAAGGCAAGCAAAAAAATATGGTATGTGTTTACTTCATAAGTCGCCCTCACAGCACTGCTAACAGTATGTTTTCTACAAATAAAAAGAAAAAAATAAATTTTTGGTGAGATTTCATGACTTATGGTCTCTGACCTCCACACCACAGTTATCTGGCTCAATTGAGTTGGCTGGATGCCAATTTCACATACTCTAAAGAGACGTTATTTTTCACTGACCAAGTAGAGAACGCGGAGCCGATAGCTTTGTAACCATTTCAGGTATTTTCAATCTGTTAGTGCTGTTATAATTTTTGAAGACTGTTGTACATTGTAAAATGCTCATTTTTTACCCTATCGCATTCTGTGAATTTTTTCAGTTTCGGTTTATTATAATTCAACTTGCAATGATTGGTACAGAAAATATGCAGACGAGGGGCTTGAAGTCAGTGACTGCATAAGGGACCCAAAAGGAGCTAGAATGACATAAATGTACGTCATTCTAGCCCCTTCAGTGAACGTAGCAAAATATGTGAAGCACGCAACATTCCGAGAAAACAATTATACACAAAACACATTACAGGGTTTAGCATACATATCAGAATACGTAAAGTGTTCAACTACATTTCTAGCGCATTTTTAAAGTCCACATTCTATGCGAGACGTGTAAAAAAAAAAGTAACTCTGAAATCATTTGAGACAGGGGGTGCTATTTGGCTTAGATTATACTACAGTAGCATCAAAGACTTGCGCTGGATTTACTCACAATAGGATTTAAAAAAAATGGTTACAACAATTGCCTCGCCCCCATTGATAAAATGGTGTTCTGGAAAAAAACAAGCACGTACTCTACGTGTGAGCACTGGTCGTCCTCCATCTAGAATGTGGTCCTTAACGCAGTCCTGGCCTTCGAAAGGTAGCCGTAGTGTCAGCAGTTCATACATAAACATGCCATAGGAGAAGCAGTCAACCTGCACAAATGCAATGAAGGCAGTCATCAGAAAGTCATTCACAGTGCCGAAGGTGAGACACTCATCACTTGTCCGCAATATCTACAACATCTGAGTAGACTAGCATAGTTACTTTAGTAGCCATACATACCACACGAAGCAAATTTTGCGGTTTCCCCAATGTCAGTAAGCTCTCTCACGTGCTCTTTAATTGCCCTCATAAATAATTATGTACTGTCTTCGCAGTCTCTTAATCACTTAACTATAACACAAAGTGACATTTAGGCACTTGAAGCTAGATATACCGTATTTACTCGCATAATCCTCGCACTCGCATGATTCTCGCACCCCCCACATCACCCAACAAAAATACGATTTCTTTTTTCCTCGAGTAATTATCACACCCCCGAAAACTGCTGCAATTATGTCCTCTGCTCGTTTCAGCCACTGACGATGATAGCACATGTCATCTGGCGCCATCTCTTAAGCATCAAGCGCAATATTGCACAGAAATTCAATTTAATCTAAGCCAAGCCAAAGTGGCAAGTGTGCGTTGCGGCGTGTTTTGTATGTTGTGTTGGTAATCTTGTCACGCTATGGGGTGATACTGAAGCTACACGGCTGCTTTTAAGTTGAAAGTGATAGATCATGCACTAAACAACAGCAACAGGGCCACCGGTAGGCCCTTTGGAGTCTACGAGTTTTGTGTTCGCTATTCATGACGGCAGCTGAAAGCCACCAAAACATGTTGGGTCAGCCGTGTGCCTAAAACTGGGATTGATGGTAAACTTTATTTCTTCAGAAGGAAACTGCAGACTATTCTGTTAAATAGCCATCAGCCCAATACTGACGTCCTACGCTTACCTTTTGAGGGCTCCTGTTGAGTAACGAACGCTACCGCTACGCCCTTAACGCTTTGCGTCTGGTATTCTAATTCTCGACTATTTGCTTGCACTTTTGCGTCTCAAATAAATCTTCCCTTTTGTTGAACCTGTGCTTTCATTGCTGAGATAAGTTTTAATTAGTACTTCCCAAAGCTTGCTGGTAGTCGCTGGTGTGAGAATCCCGATTTGCGGCCACTTAGTTTTCTTTTTCGCTCTGTACGTTTTCGTGGGAAGTTTTCCCCGCATAATTCTCGCATTCCCCAACTTTGCATCAGTTTTCGGCGAAAAAAGTGCGAGGATTATGCGAGTAGATGCGGTATTGTGCAGTTTCCCCTTTACAAAGGACACTAACCATTTAACAAGAACCCCCACCACAACTTGGCTACCTATGCCAATTCACTGTTTTCGTCACCACCTTTAAATTACTTGCACTTGAAACCTAAATCATATCTAAACTTAAACATGTATATGCTGTTGTGACAACCAGCAGCTTAATATGATTCAAAATGTTATGCGTAGTGTCTCCTTCGAAGCTAAGTTCAGAACAAAGCTGCCAGGTTGATTTTTTTCGACCGTTCCGGTAACACAAATGCCTCAACTCTGAAATCCCAGTGGTGACCTCCCATGTTCATCTTCTGCCACAAGAGCGCTTGTCTTTATTATAGTCATTTCTTTATTTTTTATTTTGCTGACTGGCACCAGGTAACCGAAATCATTGTTCTGGCACATCATTTTTCCCACCAGTCACATCCAAATCTTGAGTATTTGCCATGGACCCGTTCCACTTTGAACGAATGTGACTTCACCCAATTTTTCCTCATTAGCTTCCACAGCTTCTAGCTTTGAATGAGACATTTCGCATTACATTTTGAATAAGAGCAACAAGAACACTTAATTTTGTATTAACGCGATCCACTTCTGCATGAAGTCATATGTCCAATGCAACACATGAGAGACGAGAAAGAATGTCCTGCCTTTTCTGTGTATTCCTCCTCGCCATTATGCCGCATGATCTCAGGGGCCATGAACCCCTCAGTGCCACCGAAGCCCTTGGTTCCCGTGGGCAGGGCAGCTCGGCTGATGCCGTAGTCGGCAAGTCGTACTTGCACGGGGACCCCGTCCGGTTCCCCGGGTAATGGCAGCGCCCACACCAGCACGTTCTCGGACTTGAGGTCCCGGTATATTATGTGCTGTTGGTGAAGGTATTCTAGGGCACGTGCTACCTGTATTGACAGGCAATAAAAAATGCTCAATCATTTCAAAAGGCAAAAAGCACAATCCTGTGAAGACACAAAGTGTACAAATATGAAGTTCAGCTCCACGGGCACCCTGGCCTTTTCACAGAGATTATGGCTAAGAATTTGTAGCGATTAAAGAGAGGGAGAGTACATCCTGGCAGGACCGCGGTGATGGTGAGAGAGTTATGGAGGGAGAGGCCATCGGTTCTCAGCATTCCCAGTCTCTTTCATAAGTAATGAAAAGTACTTAATGTTGCTTATCACTGCTAATCTAATTAGAGCCAGCATGTTCAGAAAGACATGGCCAACTTCTGTAAGAATGCTGCTCCAGATTATGAAAGACACAGTAGTGGCGATTTGGGTCAGCTGGAGCAATACTACAAGCAAAGTAGACGATTGATTGACTTTTGAAGTTTATTTGAGCCTATGAGAGGTGCCAAAGAAAAGGGTTCTGAATTACTCTTGACTAGTGCACAGTTAGACCCAGATACACCACCAATGTATGGCTTCACCTACTTTGAAATATCAATCAATCAATCAATCAATCAACTTTTATTTCTCATAGAGAAATATGGGGGTGACGGAAAAAAAAGCCGCAGTACTGCGGCTTGACAAAGCTCCGGCCCCCTACAAAGTCCAGCAGTAACAATGATCAACCACACAAAAATTGATTTTGCTGGAAAATAAAACATTTGATTTGAGTGCACATTGACAGGAGTGCACATTGACGTAACCTACCCACTTACTAATTGTAAGTGGGTAGGTTACGCCGATGATACAGCCCTTTTTTTCAGCGGAGTAAAGCCGGATGGGTTGGTATCTTTAGCTAATGATGCGCTTGCAGAAGTATCAGCGTGGTCAAAAAGAAATTCCTTGAAAATTAACACAAAAAAGACTCAAGCCATAATTTTCCGCACTAGAAACAGAGTTATTGAACTGACAAAAAAGTTGTATCTTGATAATGACGAAATTAGTGTTGTTAGAGAGATCAAAGCTTTGGGTGTCACTTTTCACAGAAACATTGTCGTGGAATAAGCATGTGCAAAATGTTTGCAACAAGTTAAACTCCGTCACTGCATTAATTAATAAAAACCGTCAAATATTACCAGTAAAAGCTAAACGTCTGATATATAATGGATTATTTTTATCGACATTAAATTATTGTCATCTTGTATGGGGTACTACATCCTCTGACAACTTGAAAAAACTCGGTATATGCCAAAAGCGCGCAATTCGTGCAATAGCCAACGTTCCGTATGCTACTCATACTGCCCCTTATTTTGAAGCATATAATATACTCAAAGTTAAATTCGTCTACGCATTCCGTCTTTCCTGTACATACCGTCTCGCCATGAGGACTAATAACACCGAATTCATCAGTTCGTTTCGCCTAGCAAGACGTCACTATACATACGACACAAGAAGTCAGGATGACTGGATCCAGCCAATATGCCGCACAAACTATGGCAATCAGTCTGTATCGTATCAACTAGCCGTAATCTTAAACAAATATGCAAAACATGGCATAGCCACTGAGTCGGCCTCAGCACGCACCTTTCGCTCATTCTTATCGGGAGAAGTTTAGACTTCGTTTCACACTAACATCTAGTCGTATTCATCAGTCGCAGAATGATACGCACGGTTCATCTGTTTGTACATGGCGTTTTTTTTTTCTCTTTTTGTCTGTGTGCGTTTGGCTTGCTCATTCTCTTTCGGAAATTGTTTACTTTTTTTTTTTTTTTTTGCATACGAATTTTTTTGTACTGTGCGTTGAAATTGTAATCTTCTTTTCACCAATAGGACTTATTATCATGGTCCACATAATAAACCGAGGCTATAACATTTTCTCATACTAGAGAAATGTGCTCAGTGTTGGTAACTATTACCTGTTATAGATTTCGTTCAAATGACTGTTACGTTCATGTCGTTTACCAATGACTACGGCATGTTTTTTAACGTTTTTTTATGTTCTCAGTGTAATACTGATTTATTGTCTTTGCAGTTTTTTTGTTGGATTATTTATCAACTTCTGTTGTACACGTAATCATTACCTACAACTGTTCGTGTTTTTCTTTTTTGTCCTTTTTTCCATAAGTCTTATGAATGTGTATTACTATGTATAATGATGTATAAAGACCAAGTCCTCCCATGTTTCTCCTAGAAATCGCTACATTTGCCATATGGCAGCCACATCTCGGAATTGAACCCAGGACCTTTTGCTTTGCAACAAAATGCATTAGTCATGAAGCCGTCAGAGTGCATTTAGGCATCACGACACAAACAAATCGACAACATAAGAGCACCACCACTGCTGAATGCCACCATTTGGCAGGGAAGGTAATGAAATAAGAACTTTTCTCATTTTTGTCATCTCATGCGAGCTACCAGTTCAACGGTGTATAAATTGGACCTAACCAAGTGCAAGTTCAATGAAAACAAGCCGTATGATTAGATGGTATTCACAGGCTACAGGGAAATGTCTAAATGAGCTTAGAGATAAAATCGATCTCAACGGCAGCCAGTCATACACTCATGGCACCATGACAAGCCACCGACAACTCCACGGTACTTAACAATAATAAACAAACAACAGAAAAAAAGCTGCGATTCCTCACTTGCAACAGGATCCTTTGCAGTGCGCCTGCAGGCAGGTGTGCTCCTGAACGCCGGAAGTCAGCAAGAAGGGCATCCAACGCTCCGCGCGGAGCCAGCTGCAACACGAGCGCCAGAGGCCGTGGACAGACCCCACGCAGTGCCACCACATGAGGGTGACGCACGCTCAGCAGAATGCTCAGTTCCTGCCGAGCTGTGCAGTACGCTTTGCAAGCATACTGCAGGGGTTCCCGCTGCCACTGAGCACGTGCGGCCTTGTAGGCAACGGTGTCCGATGGGCGCGCCCCATAGCCAGGCTCTACTGGCTGCAGCATCTTCATGGCGACCTCTGTGAACTTTCCTGAGCCCTGGCAGAGGAGAATGGGGGAAGTACAGCAGTGATCCAAACAAAACGAAAAACAACTGCACTCAAGGTATAGTACAACCAACTTACAGGAACGCTGCCAGAAATGTGCTAGGTTGGCAATCTTTCCCACTGGTGGATAGCAAACATTCAGCGGAAGAGCGACACACGAGTCATAAGCAGAAATAATAATTCTTCAAGTTTTTATAGCGGTATGGAGATTTATGCCCATTAAAATCTGTCAGGCAGGTTGCTGCTAAAACACCGAATGTTAAATTTTTGGAGAAATATCGGCCTGACCTTTTACAATTCAGTTTTGTTACTATGCGTTAACGGATCAATATCCCAAGTTGATTAAACCTCTTCTGTTTTTGTAAGCTCACAACTCACAGCATGAGGCACAAGCCCAGGCTTAGATGACTTTTTTGAGCAACTTGCATGCGATGCATGTAAACAGTACAATTCTCTGTGGCTACAAAATGCTTTTATATTACATTTTGCGAAACATTTTATTGCCGGCGTAACCTTTAGGTGTGCTCGTGTATTTATAAATTCTTGCATGATTTAATTTTGTTTTTCCTACACGCTGCTTTCTGCTCATTTGTATAGTACTAGTCTTCAACTCCTTGTACTATTAAATTATTTTTCTATCATCAGAAGTGAACAACTTTCCTCACCTAAGCTGATCAGATTTCCACGGTATTACGTCACACGCACCCTGCATGGGTCCTTATTGAACAAACTGAAAATGCAACACTCCGAGCCTTTGAAAGGTGTTGCAGACCTACACTTCAAGGGGAAATCTGCGAAGCCTTTGCCGCAACGACTATGCAGGACAGCAGGCCTTTTGAAGTGTGCGACATTGTTTCAGATGCCACATCAGAAGAACAGCCCGCCGCAACTTCTCTATTTCTTGAAAGCGAGGCATGTGAAAACGGTAGCCATTAGAGACACCACTTAACCATAAAGGGGTGCACACCTTCATCATGCAATGCAGCAAAAAATGAAAACAAAGATGACAGAAAGTTTCCAAACACACACTGGGCACATGTACGGTCCTCACAGATTGAAATGCAACGTCAAATTTTTTAGTATAAGGACTGGCATGTGCAGTTAATTTAGACAACCATGTCACATAACTACGAATGTGGCTACTAAAGACAAAGTTGGTTCCAATGTAAGCATTCAAGCTGAAATTGAGCTAGCATGACATGAACTGAAGACGGGGAAACAAAAGTATGAGCACTGCTTGGCCCCAAACTGTTGTGTTTTTATCCATGAGTACTGTACATCTATATCCGATTAATGCAGTTTTGCAATGACAATTCAACTCACAGCACATATCACAGTCTATATTCCCGCGTCCGCTTACCCTCTGCTTCATGGTTGCCTTGAACACAAAGCCAAACGCTCCTCGACCAAGCATTCGGCCCCGCCGTATCTGGTCTGGTTGCACAAGGTAGCGTTCACCTAGGTCTAGAAAAACCTGCAAAGAGAGCGCGTGTATAAGGGCAACACTTAGAACAATATGCAATATGTAATGATGAACAGATGAAGTGGTATTCATTTATACGCTGTCAGTGGTCAAACCTAGCACTGTGTTAACCGGCCTATATGTCTTTTTGTCCTCTTTAACTCTGATACTGGTATCTATAAGGCCCTCTAGCTAGACCAAATTTTTGATAAGGCATGCAGATAGGAAGCAATTGTTCAACTAAGTGCATTATGAACCACAGAGTGCTAATTGCCTGACAGTGGTTACATTAAACTCCAAGCAGTCACTGGTATTTCAATCCGAAGAAGTAGAATAAATTATGACCTAAGTTGGATTACCGCTTTCCTGCTGAGATGAAAAATGTTTGAACAGAGGATGCCGCTAGAGCTAATGCTTCGACAAGTTGTCTTGTCTTCTTCAAGGCAGTGACTCACATCGTTAGGTTAGTTGCATCTGCACAATTTGCCCACTTTTCCCCGATTGAAAAAGTGGAGGAGGAAAAAAGAGAGAGAGGTAGCAAAAATATGCAGCAAAAGTTTGCAAATACAAACCGTGTCGGGTGCTAACTGCGCCAGACGCAAGTCTCCGTGGATCGGGCAGGTGACAGCGCCTCGTTCGTTGGCTGCCAGAATGCATTCTTCCACCAAGAAGGCGTATGGGCCTGTGATTGCTTCCTCCATTCCCTCTGCCGATGCAGGGCGGCTGCACGAAGGTACACACAATCTGTCATCCACACTGGCAGCAGACTGTCACAAATATCTAGAACTGTTGACTTCTTATAACTGTTGTGGTTTTATGTCCAAAGATCACAATATGTTTACAAGAGATGCTACAGTGGAGGGCTTCAAAAATTTAGAAATTTCAACCACCTGTTTCTGAATGTGTACCTAAAGCACATGAGCCTCCATGAACTTCCATCGAAGTGCGGCTTAGGGTCAACCTTAGGGTCAACATTTGAGCACCATAACCACATTTTGGCAGGTAATGATGTTAATTGCAGATCAAGCAGCGATTGGGTTACAGACAAATAAGTCTAGGAGACGCTCCACCATACCTGTCAACAACGCCACTGTCGGTGCTCGCACGAGACGGTGGTCCAGAGGAAGGGGCCATGTTGCAGCCCAGCCCAGTGGCAGCACAAGAAGGACATGGTACCAGACGGGTGACCAGAAAGCGCCCCTGGGAAGTGTGCACGAAGCGTGTGCCCAGAGCGGGATACCAGTCTTCGAGTAGAGTGTCGACGTGGTCCGCCGCTAGGGCGAGCAGCTGCGTTGCACTCTCCATGCGTGGCAGCAGCAATGCAGGGCCCCACTGCCGCCTCTCCAATGGAAGCTCCAGCAGCAGAGCAACTGCACCCTGGGTCTCTACGGGGCTCCAGTGACCTTCCAGGCGTACGCGCGGACGGGCTCCGAGCAAGTCACAGGGCGCGCCACCTGACACCACTTCACGCAGACGCAGGACTACAGCCTGTAAGCAGGTAGGTTAGTTACACAACAAAATTTTGGTGCCTTGCGCGTCTAAGTGGCTTCATGATTGGAGGCACGCCCCAGTGTGAGACACCAGACTAATTTTGAACAATTGAAACATGTGCTTACTCTAAGTATAGTGCTCATAGACTGAAACACAACATATTTTTCTACAGTATAACGACTGCTATGAGGAGCTGCTTGTGATAACTGTGTCATGTTGCTGCAAATCTGGTCGCTAAGGTAATGTTAGCTCTGATATGTCTTAGTCAAAATTATGATGATATGACATAAACTATAGATGCTGGAAATGACAATACTTTGCGCGTTACTTAGCTGTAAATTTTCGAGTTTCAAATTGCAAGTAATGTATACATGAGTGTTTTTGCCATTCTTTATGAAAACCACGATCTCTAAAGTTGCGTGGCTGACTGTACATAATATAATGCACAATTAAACAAACTATTAATAAATTTTAGGTAAAACTGCACTGCATCTTCTTTTAGTTTCTGTGCACAACATGAATAATGAATAAACTTCACTGAAAGCGAGTCCGGCAGTTTCCTTCAAATGAGATGGGGGGAAATAATTTTTTTTGCATTGCAAATTTGCATTAAGCTTTCTAGCGTTTAAACATTTAAAAACTGGTTCACATGGGCGTACTTACGATGGACAATCTGTAAGTAAAAGTAACACATTCATCAGATATTTCAACTGGGTGAGTGAAAAAGCAGGTCTAGCATTTTTTTGAAACAATAATGCATTGAAGCACAAATTCAACCTCACATGTACTAGTCACATGAACTATCATTAACATTCGTATAAGCTCGAAATCAAACATTTTAACTGCTAAAGAAGACAAGTATTAGTACAAGCAGAATTAGCTCATTTGGATTTAAAACGAAAGGTTTCTCTGTCATTCCTTCTGCAGGAAGCCTGTACTTCAGTATACGGAAGAGAAATGGCTTTGAGTTGGCAATGTTTACCTGAAGACACTGCAACAGGCCTTATCTTGTTCATTAAAGGTCCCTGAAACACTTTTTCAAGTAACCATGGAATGGATTCACTAAAAGCTCTTATTGCCTCACGAATTCAACGCCTCAAAAATGTCAAGAATCTGTCCCGTACAAACGGATTACAAAGATTTGTCACACGCTGCAATTGTATTTTCTCTTCTCTCGTCTTGATGAAAGCGCTAGAAGCTAGGCAGGAAGGGATGGCAGGGGCAAATGAAATATGTTACATGTGCCTCGTGACCTTGAGCACTTTTTATTTTTTTTCTTTGAATACACGACTTTTTCAGTGTGATCGCTCGCACATGCGTAGACAAGTTGCAGCCCACTCGCGGCGATCACTGTGACAGATGAGAGAGTCATGTTCAAATCAGCCAATGGCTGATAGAAGGCTTTCTATGAGTGATTTTTGAGTGTCTCCTGCCATTTGTCGAGAGAAGAAAAAGCAATTTCCAGCTGACTTTGATAATTTATTGTAAATTACAGGCCACGTGCTATGCTATAATATTTGGCTCGCATGTTCTCGGGAGTCTCTACTACCGATCGACAGCGTTTACTGACTATGCGCCAAAAGTATTGTAGGGCCCCTTTAAGGAACGCTACCTTAGCAACACAGCACTGCATGGACTGCCTGTGCAAGATGAATGATCACCATCTCCCTTCCAAGCCAGCACCCTTAGCCATCACAGACATTGAATTTTGTTCTTGTACACTACCATTAGCGATTTAGTTCTCCCAACGCCTTCACCTTCTTCTTTACGGCATGACACATTTTTATCTTGGAGCTACTATAACAATGCCAACTTGCACCTTGAGCGCAATGACTAGGTAAGTGGTAACAGCAGAACAACTCCAACATCAACACAATCGACTTGCACTATGAGTTGAGCATGCCACCTCATATCTGATGATAGAGCACACACACACCTTTTTTCTTTGCACCACAAGCCTGATTCCTCTAGCTTCTCTTCGTCTCTCCTCTAGCTTATTCTCACATGCACACATGTGTGCCCTTTTGCTGCTCAATCCACACTCGTACTATCTCATTCCCCTCCCGGAAGCAACAAACACAGTCTCAGAGACTCCCACCCAACACACGCATTCTTCCCTCTTTTTCATCCCACCCTCGTGTAATTGGTTTGCTTATGCTGTCACTCAACCCCTTCTCCTCCTCACAGCCGAAGCTCCAAGTCGGTGTGCAGTGGCTTGCTTAGATACCTGTGCATGACGTAGTTCAAGCCCTGTCTGCCAGCAGAGCCACTCGGCGCGCTGTGACAGTGCAGCAGCAAGACCTGGATCTTTCTCCCAGCCGCGTGGCGGGGCCAGGTAGCCCCGAAGTGCTTCCACCACCTGCAGTAAGTACACCCGACAGTGGAGCCATGAAAGACACCAACAATCTAGGCTTGTATGAATATAACAGTATTTGAATTTGCTTCACATCAAATATAAATTATTGAAAGTTCCGAAGTATTCGAAATGAAAGAATAGATGTAGATTAATCTGCATATAAACCTTTGTGAAGATGGTTTCACTGCGGTAGAGGGGTGCTAAGCCGTGAAAACACTTAAAAAGAAATCCACACTGCCGTGGAGCCCTGCTTCAAGTTTGAAGGAACATACTGTTTTCGCATCGATTCATAATTATGTAAGTTTACAAGCTTGTTACAAGCTTGTTGGAAACTTTAATGTCCTTGGGAGCTGTGGGTACTATGATAAATAAATAAATACCGACTTATATGCTTCAAGTATAGACAATTTTAAAACATGACATATTTTACAGGTAATCACTTGCATTCAAACAAGTCAGATCCTGCTACAATTCAAAGTTGTTTCCACTTTCTTTGAACTAAAAAAAAAGGCATTTGCCAGGCCTTGTCTCAATTTTTAAGAAAAGTCGAGCAAGTTAGTTAGGTCATGACAAGTTTGCCCATATTTCTGTATAATATGTCACATTCTATTCGAATTCAATTCGAAATTATTCGACCCAAATTACTATTCACTTCATGTTCACTTCAAACCTAAAGTTCACTATTTGCACAAGCCTACAACGGTCACAGATCATAAAAGCAAACTTTCGAGTGAGTTGACAAGGATACAAGAAGAAAAGTAATCATGATAATCATCATCATCAACCAAGCTGCGCCCACTGAAAGACAAAAGACCCTCTCATGTTTCATCAATCAACCCAGTCCTATGCTTGCTGTGGCCCCGTTATACCCGCAAACTTCTTAATCTTATCTGCTGAACTTCATTTCTGCACCGCTTGCATGCTTGCCTTCTCTTGGAATCCAGTCTTACTCTAGATGATCAGTGGTTATCTTGCTGTCATGTTGCATGCGCTGCCCATGTACATTTCTTCTCGACTTAATTACCCTTATAACCAGTGTGTTACCTGACCCACTCTGCCTTCTTCTCTCTTAAACTTACGCCCATCATTTTTCTTTCCATGGGTTGCTGTGCTATCCTCAACTGAAGTTAAACCCTCTTCATGAGCGTCCATGTTAAGAGATGCAAAGAGTGTCAAATTAACGTATATAACAGAACATTTTTAAGGACAATAGTCTTTCTTGGGGACCTTCGACGCAAAAATTTTGGTCTGTCTGTCTGTCCATTTGCCTGTTTGTCCACCCTTAACAATACAGGGCACATTAAACGACATCAGCGGATACCCAAAACGGGCAACCTCATCCGCAGCGCCCACCAATGTTGCTCAAGATTCAGCGTTCATACTTGTGTGATTGTCAATTAAAAATCAATTATCGCTCATACTTGAGGCACCATAACAACATGTATAAATTCTGTATGTGCGTCTTTTACAAGAAAAGGCATACATAAGTTATTCTAAGGACCGTAGTGTTTATCACGCGGCGCTGACCATGCAACGCTAGCACGAAAATGGAAGTGTTTCCAACACTTCGCTAAGACGACACGGTGGTGGCACCTACCCTGTCGCCCTGCGATCTACATTTTATCACCTCTGAGACGGGTGCGCACGCCCATCTCAGAGCCGCGCGTTTCGCTTTCCAAGATAACTGCCATATAGTGCTCATGTCTCACATGTGACGTGACTTGGTGCGCTCGTTCGCCTCCACTAGACGCCCGAGGCAAATGTCGCAAATGGTCCCCTATCAGCATGTTAATCTGCAAATGTCGTCTTTCGACGACATTTTTCTTTGCCTAAATTTACTTTTGTGCTGTCTGAATATCTATCGTATAGCAGTCACAGCAGATACATACTGACAAAGTGGCAGAGTGAGTTTACTGAGGTGTATCGCACACGCATGAGAAAAAGGTAGCAGGGTATTACCTGGTCATCAGCTAGCAGGCGAGTGATAAGACGGGCCCAGAAACCACTGGGGAGGTACGAGAGCAGCACAAGCCGCTGCACAGCCGGCTGTTCCCGGCTTGCAGCCAGCACCCTCAGTGTGCATCCGCCGCTCCCGGGTGTCTGCACGGCGCCGGCTGAAACCCCTCGAGTCAATGAGGAGCGCAGGCCCCAGCCTCGGGACCTCACAGGCACCTGCAACACGGCACACTGCTCTGCAATCAACTGGTCAGCAGTGCAACTTGCCACCAATTTGGAGAGCTACTTGCCTGCAATGCATCACAAGTACTATTGAAAGAAGAGGCCGGTTGCTTGTGCTACTCTGATGCAAGAACCGTGCCAAGTTTAATCACATAGTGATCACACTTTCTTTCTGTGAAAAGTTGATGCAAATGTGAGGGCATGATCATAGCGCATCATAAAGTTTAAACAAGTTGCAAGTTTAGGCTCACAACTGCTCCCACGAGCAAAACTGGAAAAAGCAAGCTGAGGTTTACAATTGCAACAAACTATGGATTACATGAACTGCACTTCATATTTTATTTTTCTGTGTTATACAGTCACTGGCAAGGGACCTAAAATTATGGAATAATGATTGAGCTCTTATATAGCATACGAGCAAATAGATATACCTTATTTACTTGCATAATAGGCACTTTTTTTTCCAGAAAATTTGGCTCGAAGTTAGGGTTGCGCCAATTACGTGGGGTAACATTTTCGAAAATTTTTTCGACTGGGTTCTCGCGCTTTATATCTGCACATTTGTCAACTAAAAGGTGACTTTATCGTTTACGAACTAATTCAGCATAAAACAAACATACCTACGTACCTTTTAATGAACAAGCGAGAGCCGTCAACTGCACACAGACGTGTAAAATTTATTTGCACAAAAGTCGGTATTCCTCCTTTTCCTTATTTGGAGTCCGAGTCGAAGAGCACACATTCATCCTCGCCCAGCGAGGATTCGTTTTCGATGTCTAAATGATCCGCACCCCACAAAATGTCATTCTCACTCGCATCCAGTGCGTTCAAGATACCCGTCTTCTTGAAGCTTTTCCTGATGACTTCGTCGGAGATCGCCTGCCACACCTCCACGATACAAGCACACAGCATTTTCACAAGAAGCCTCTTAATCTTACCACCTAGAGTCAGCTGATGTTGTCCTCCAGCCATCCAGGTGGTGCACAGCCTTCAAACATTGTCCTTGAAAGGCTTATTCAAGGAAACGTCCAAAGGCTGCAGTATCGATGTGAGGTCGCCCGGAATCACTGACAGATCTGTGCGCAGCTCCCTTAGCTCATCTCGTACGTGGTCTACTAGGTGCCCAGGAAAACTGTCCAGAACAAGCATGGACGGGAACAACAGAGCACCCGGCCGCCGACCCCAGACTGTTTTCACCGAATCCACCACGAGTTCCGCGCTCACCCAGCCTTTTCCTTGGACTCTGACATAGATGCCTTGAGGGAAATTTGCCTTTGGGAGTATCTTACGCTTAAAAATAACGTAAGGCGGTAGCTTGCGCCCATCCGCTGTCACCACCAGCATTACGATGCATCATTGTTTATCAGCGCCAGACGTTCTGTTGATCACGCTCTGTGCACCTTTTTCCTCCACTGCCATGTTGTGCGGCATATCAAAGCAAAGGAGGGGAGGGGTCTGATCCGGGTTGCCGATCTGGGACAATATGAAGTCTTTCTGCTGTCGGAGCTTTATAACGAAGTGGTGGAAGTCCACCACTTTGTCCTCATATGCTGCGGGCAAGCGCTGGCACAAGGTGGTCCGCCGTCACAGTGCGAGGCCATGGCACCGCATGAAACGAGTTGTCCATCCAGAGCTGGCTTTGAACTCTTTTGCTTCGATGCGCTGCACTCGGGCTATTCTGCGCGCCTCAATCTGCACAATATCTAATGACACAGCACAGCCGTCTTGTCGTAGTTCCCGTATATGCCGGACCAGTTGCTCTTCGACATTGGAATACCTGCCGGTTTTTGCACCGTGGAAAGCCCGTCGTGTCTTCTTCATCGCCTTAAGTTTTTCTTCTTGATCCCTCCAGTACCGAATACTGGTTTCTCCAACACCAAAATGCCTGCTTGCAGCCCGGTTGCCGTGCCAAAGCCCTTACTGCGCTGCCTTCAGTTTAAATTCAGCCGTGTAGCTTGCGTACTTCCCCATGGTGTGCGGAGAGCCCTTCGTGTCTTCTTCATCGCCTTAAGTTTTTTGTTATTTATCCCTCCAGTGCCGCATACTGGTTTCTCCAACACCAAAATACCTGCTTGCAGCCCGGTTGCCGTGCTCCAGCGCGTACTGCACTTCCTTCAGTTTAAATTCAGCCGTGTAGCTTGCGTACTTCCCCATGGTGTAATAAAAGTTGAATACACGACCACAACATATGCACACTGCTTGCAAAATGGCGTTTCTTTTTCTCTGATGGTGGTGATGTCGACAAAGCCCCCGACGTTGTACACAGGCCTCCAAGGAGCGCGGCGATTTGGGGGGGTATCAGTAATTGATGAAGCAGCCATTTTTTTTATCGCAAGTTTTATTTCGACAAACACATTGGTTAGGTCGGTGCACTTAGAATTTTTTTATTTGCTCGTTGATTTGCCTCCTTTTTTTCTTCAGGAAACGGGGACCGCGTTCCAATTGTACCGCTGGGGTGGAATCATTTTCAATCACGGCCATGTTTAGGGTGCGTCTATTATGCGCGGAATTAAAAAAATGAAATTTTCCGCGACCAAACTAGGGGTGTGCCTATTATGCGAGTTTACCAATTATGCGAGTAAATAGGGTATGCCTTGCAGTTCAGAATAAAATGGTGTCTGGGTGCGAGATCGGCGTACTCTAACCTATAGTTTATGTTCCTTAACTAAATATGTGCACATGCGCTGTCTTTGGTCACCGTACATACACCCGTACATCTGATAGGCGTACGGCAAATCCTTCAAGCTTGCTGTGTGACAATACAATACGCGTGTGTGACAATAGAACACTTCGTTTCGGTACACGACATGCTGCCAATGTTGTCACTAGAGATTAGTTTTGGGCACCTTGAAGGAAAAAAAAAAGTGGGGCAGCTGTGCACTGGTGGTACGAAGATTGAGAAAGCAGCAGAGCTGGCGGCATTACCCTCCTTTTTCTCCTCCCTTATACTTCCCACTCTTTATTATACTGTACATGACTATGGCCTGCTCTACCCTCTCACCTCCCCTTTCCCCTCCTACACACCCTCTCTTCCCTTCCCACACCTTGCTATACTGTACTATTTAAGGCTATGCCTGCTCTCTCTTTTTTTTTAATTCTTTTTACTGTGTTTACTTTTTCCTATCTCTTTCTCCATTTCTTTCTCTCTATTGCTATCTTTCCCGCAATTTTTTTTATCTTTCTCTTTTGCCCATCAGAGTTGTTGCATTCAATGCCGGCATACAAGTTCTTGGAGTGCAGCAGAAGATGGAGGATAGGACGAAGTGGGTGTACGCTAGCTCATGATGATGATCATTTTCTGGTGTCATAACACAGCATAACGAAAAGCTTAGGCCTTTTTTATGAAACGTCAGCTAGGCTCATACACCATGAAAAAAGAATTTGGGGAAAATTGTTAGGCTGTAAAAAAAAAGAGATCTAATTCTCAAGACAAACTTAAGGGGTGCAGTCATCACACAATCAAATACAGTAAACTTACACGAGAATGGTAACAACACTTATGACAAGAAGGCTTTATCTCAATGCAGCATGTCAATCACTACTATTTCGACATAAGTAGCTCTCATCCTCTACGCAAAAGATGCAGATGCCACAATAAGGCTTACCTAAGCACTTTTGCATGAATGGGTGCATAAACACAACTTACCCGGACGTCGGCTCCCGGCAGTCCACAACGAAGCAGCTCTTCGGAAGGTAACAGGGATGGAATGAGCAGGCTGCGACCGTCCCATGTCAAAGCCACTTCAAACTTGTTCAGCAGGCTCAGCAAGTAGCTGCGTGTTTCAGCACTTCGGAACAAGTGCTGCAGGTCTTCCAAACGCATGATGCCTGTAAAATCAGCCCACCCTCATGATTACCTTCTTTTGAAGATCTGCATAGAAGGAAGGCTCAGCTGATGCCACAAAAGTTTGAGAAATAATTCCCCGCTAATTCACTACAGTTGTGTGATGTATGTTCTTGCATACCTTAAAGAGATCCTGCAGGAGTGCGTTTGACTGGGTTGTTCGGTACATGAGTAATATATAAACCAACAATACTGGACACGAGAGGGACCTTGCACTTAACTTGCAATGAATTCTAAAAAAAAACACTAAAGATATCTCTCCCTTCTTTCCATAAATGATGCCATTTATCTACAGGATTGCGCCACGTACCTAAATTTTAAACCACTGGCTGATTTGAACATTGCAAGCTACATAGTTACCACGACTGCCACGAGAGGCCGCCACATGCCCCCATGCACCCCTCGTGACTACGCTGTAAGACCCGTGTTTGAAAAAACAAGTGTTCAAAGTCACACCGCGCACGTGCCGTATTATCTTTTCTTCATGCCATCCCTCCCTGCTTAACTTTCAGTGCACTTATCGGGACAAGAAAAAAGAGAGAGCAACTACATCACGCGACAATCTCCGCTTGTACTCGACCGATTCTAAAATTTTTTGCCGCAGTCGATTTGCGAGTTTTAATGAACTCCTTATATAAAAAACATGTGATAGTTACTTACAATGCGTTGCAGGGCCCCTTTAAAAGCACTTTTTCTTGTTACTTCCCTTGTAATGACACTCTACAAATTAATATCGCAATATGTAAGTAATCTTAGGGGCAATATTTCCCTTGAATCTTTCAAAGTTCACACTCAACTAGTCTACAGCGTATGCATAGCTTCACGTGTAACACAACAAAGACCTCCCTCACGGTGCCACACTCACCATTGCGTGCAAAAGGGTTGATCTCACGTACAGTGACTACATGAGCCAGCACGTCGCAAAGCCACTGTGGATCCAAGAAATACAGGTCCTTGAGTGTGGCATCTTCATAATGTAGAAGTACACCTGCAAAAGCCAATACAATTTGTTATATAGTGCTCACTTGCAGTGCATTTGGTTCATAAGGTGCAAGTCGTACAAGGCTTTATGTACCATACACACAGCTTAGCACATGAAATACGCACTAAGTGTATAAAGTACGCAGCTGTAAGATACATGTAATTTTTAAGACTATCTTGAGATGCAAGAAATTTGATTGGGGTTTATATGTTGTATAGGGCGCATACGTTTGTGCTGGACTAAAAAAAAACCTACATCAAAATGTGGGTTGTGAAGCGACTGTGCTGCCTGGAAAAAACCTGCACTGCAAAATGATAAGCTAAGTATACTATTTCACAAACCTCCTATTTTTGTATCTGCATTAATAAAGATGATAAAATTTAGCTGTGCGCCGGTCATCCCTCCAACAAAAAGAATGCGCCTTTTAATTTAGGCTTCTTCCCTTTATGATTATGCTAAGGGCAGAAGTATCAATGCGGTGTGACAGAACAAGGTGAGCAACTTCTTCAGTAGGAATAGCTTGTCAGAGACTACTTAATGCCTCCAGCCCCGCAGCTTTGACAGCTCAGGTGCAATGCCAAACCTACCATTGTCGTGCAGGAACGAGGTGGCCTGGTTGAGTTCGGCCATGTCCCGAAAGCAGCAGTCAAACTTCTGCTGCAGTTCATGCATCACCAACATACTGTGCAAAGAAAAGATTTCTCACTTTATCAAGGAAACTAAACAATTAGTAGGGTTTGTAATAAATGTGCCAGAGCTCCTGAGCGTGTGCCCTCGACATTTTTTTTTTCAGTCTTGCGAGAGCTTCTAACTTTATGAAACAGCACGGCAGTCTCACATTCATTCTTTACCTTCCACAAGGTACTTGCACAGTGTACGAATGCACAAATTTTAAAAAATGTATGATCCATTGCTGACGAAAGATAGCATGCATTCAATTATTAAAATGTTTTTTCCCCGAGTTCATAGGGCAGACAGTAAGATGCATAGCGCTAGCACTGTCAAAGTTTGTTAATCTTCCTTTACTCCCACAGAAAAAAAAATATTCTGAAACATTGACTCAACATCAGTACTTATAATCTGAAGTTTGCAATTTCTATAAAATTAAATTGAAATTCGTGGTTCCTCATGAAAAAGATGTGCCTTGAAAAAGCCATCAAAGAAGTCCATCAGAAGGCTATAATAAAATGAAGCTGGAAAGAAGAACCATGTTAGCCTAACTGCAACACTCACTGAAACATTCTAATGAATGGCTTTGCGAGGATTCACCAGTGTCATGCACGTACCGGTACTGCTCGGCGTGCAAAACAGGTTCCTTGCCCTGTAGCCGCCGCTCAAGAGCCAGGCTACCCACAACGTCCTCCAGGGCTAAGTAGGTGGCTGGAATGCGCTGCTCCAGAAGGCGCTCCTTGCTGCCTGCATCAAAGAACAAATTCCAAGTGCAGCAGTTTGTGTGAATGCAACAACAGGTCGATGTTGCCCCGAACTTCACATTAAGACACCAGACTCCCACTAGATTTAAAGCTGCACTCAAACATCATTATAACAATGTCACATGTTACATGAAAATAACTCCGTTATATCCAAAAATTTGTTATAAAGGTTTATTTTTAATACTGCAGAATAATTTTTCATAAGATTCATTACATCCAGTTTCGTTATATCGAGGTTTCAGTGTACTTGCTTCTGACTCTTATTCTCAGCTTGTGTTAGTCCACTGCAGGACGAACACTTCGCCCAATGATCTCCAGTTTACCCTATCCTGTACAAGCTGATTCCATATTGTCCCCGTGAACTTCTTAATATTGAATTTGGTTCAAATCATGAATTAATTCAGCAACAAAGAAAATTTTTTGTGCGAGTAATAACAGTTGAAAAAAAAAAAACAATTCAACCAATTTACTTCAAGGCCACTCTAGGTACATCAGTCTAATGAGTCTGCCACAAATGCTGGATGAGAAAAGTGACACATAGTTGAGTCGATGAGTTCACTACATTAGCCAAGGTTTACAAGCAGAGATGGGGCAGGGCATGTGGCATTTCATAGCCCCTCCACTTTCTGCAATGCACAGCAAAATGAACTTTTGCAAAGAAATCTCACTAACGACTCATAACCATGTGCATGTTTAAGTTAAGCTTAATGGGTAAAGCACGGTTTCTTCTTTAGCGCAAAAAGCTTCCGAAATAAAGATTAAAAGGCTGTGACACACACAAGCACAACGAGTTGGAAGTTTTTGCGCTAAAGAAAAAGATTGTTACGGCAAACTTTGAACAACGTAAAAATAAAAATAATAAAAGAATTGCTGATTGAATGCTATTTAGTAGACATCCAATACGTCTTTATTTTTTTTGACAATTGAGTCATTATTGGCAATGCACAAAAGTGGGCTGTTTCGTACACAGGCACTCAGGTGGCCTACAACGAAAGAATCACATCATCTGTAAAAAAAAAGAGAAAATGCAGCCAAACAGAAGCAAGAACACTGGGGCTTACCTGGACAGCGCATGTCAAAGGCCACATCATAGATTGGCAGAGGTGCCGGATGTTGTGCCGCGAGCGGCAGCTAACCTCCAGGGAGGAACAGAACAGAGCGGGAGGCCTCAATTGTCCGCATCCAACACTTAGTGGCTAAGGTACTCAGCTGCTGACCCGCAAATCACAGGATCGAATCCCGGCTCCGACGGCTGCATTTCCGATGGAGGCAGAAATGTTGTAGGCCCGTGTGCTCAGATTTGGGTGCACGTTAAAGAACCCCAGGTGGTCGAAATTTCCGGAGCTCTCCACTACGGCGTCGCTCATAATCATAAGTGGGGTGGTTTTGGGACATTAACCCTTTAACCTGCAGATCAACAATATTGTAGACCCAAAGAAAAACCACTCCTGTGCAAAATGAACGGACAGACAGACGGACGGACAGATGGACAGACAGATGCTTCGCCCCACTCATCATCATTCACTCCGTAGATATGCTGTCATATTTTTTTGAGCTTCGTCTTTTTACCGTTAACTGGCAGATCAACAAAATTGTCGACCTCCTCTATCTTTTTTTAGTTTTTTATGGTGAAACATAATGAAACATGTTTTGGTGGTTCTGTGGTGGTTGTAGAGAAGAAGTAAACCAGCAGAAAAATAATTCCACTGTTTTTTCTTATCTTGCCAGTTAAAGGGCATATCAATTATCACATATACACCCACATATCACACCCCACATATCAATTATCAGAAAGAAAAGGGCGAAACCCCACATATCAATCATCAGAAAGAAAAGGAAGAAAAAGATAGAAAGACAGAGAAAGAAAAAGAGAGAAACAAAGAATAAGAAAGAAAGAAGTAGAGAGAAAGAGATAGAAAGATGAAGCGAGAAACCGAAAGCTAATTAAGCTACTTGTTGCTGTGATTGCTAAGCCGTACCCAATCGATCCCAATAGATACCTAGCTGATCCTCGTGATTTACAACGCATTAATGTTAACACTTTGCACATCAGCATGTGAATGCACATGTGCCTAGCCAAGCCCAGACCATCCAAGTGCCGACCAGCTCTCCTATGCCTCCACCTCGTGTGACTTAGTGCACGCGGCGCAAATATTTTAACTTTAGAACAGTATTGATCTGAAAGCTTCCTAGCGCAGAATTACAGAAGAGGGAAGATGTCAAGAAGAGCGCTGAACCTACAACTTCATCGTGGAAGTGTGATGGATATACACATTATAACAACTTCACTTATGCATTTCAGCAACTAAACATTTAATTATCATTGCCTAATACTTGATCCAAGAGAAATCAGTTGTTTAGTGGATAATGATATAGAGTTATCATAATTTGGTGGAGCCCAAAATACGCCACAGGATGCAGTGAGAAGAGAATACAATGTTTTTTTCAGGGAAACAATATTTTCGTGATGAACCCCGACTAACCTACAGTCAATCGCAGATATATCAAACTCGAACAGGATAGCAATGAAGTTCGACATATCAAAAATTCGATATAAAAAATATGCCTATATAAGGCTTACATTATTGCATTGCAACTCTCAAAATAGCTTTCTGAAATCGTAATAAGTGTTAACATGACGATTCACTCACAGTATGCTGAAGGTGACAGCTCCTTCTGCAAGTTACTGCACCTTACTTCATGTGAAAATAGTCTGTAGACATGTCTTGCCATTTGCACGCCATCATTTTAATCAAGTGATCCTTATTAATCAATCACTGTAGCTTTCAGTACAAGCAAATTCAGCGATGTGAAGGTGCTGACACCCCCTGTAAAGTTGTTTGCGCTGCGTGGTGTACGTGTCTCGCCCAAAAGGCACATTTCGAGTTAAAACCACCAGGCAGTAGGTGGCGTGTTCACATTGGTCACCACTATCATCATCATCATGGTGTAGCGCCGACGGTTACCCCTGGCGGAAGGCAAGCCTTGGTGGCGGGCGAGAGTTGAGCGAGTCTCTTCTGCACGTGGCAGTTGCCGCGAACGGTTGTATCGAGCGTGGGTGCCCAGTGCGTGGCACCGCAGGCTGCACGTCTGGAACCCTCGTGGTAAGTCAAGCGTTGGCGACGCTTGACTTGGCCTTGGGTGTTATTGTCTGTTTGTCGTGTTATTGTGTTTGTTTGTTTGTTTGTTTATTAATACTGTCAACCCCAGCTGGGGTTTTTACAGGAGTGGAAAACAAATGAAAGAAATGGTCATGAAATACGTTACAAAATAGAGACATACAGCGAACACAGGTATTTACACTAAAAGACAAAGTTAAACACAGGCATGTGCACTTGCATTCTGCGCATAGAAAACAACAATTAACAAAGCGAGAGGCAATATACATTGACATCGTGAATTATGACGCATCTATTTCGGAGAAAATAAGCGATTCTAAAGCTGCAGAAAACGCCGTGATAGAGGAAGACATCGCGACTTTGTTTGGTAGTTCATTCCATTCTTTAATTGCCCTCGGAAAGAAGCTGTATTTAAATGCGTCGTTTCGGGTGGCTGGTGGCTGTATATATAAAGTGTGTTTGTGTCTAGAGCGCGGATCTGGAGAAATTTCAAAGAAATCTAATGAGTTGATTTTAACCTGACTACGAATAATGAGGAATAGGAATTTCAAACGGTCATACTTAGTTCTAAGTTCTAAGGCTTGTAGGTTTGCACGGTTGCAAAGATCGGAAGCAGAGTGCATACGTTGATATTTATTGAATATAAACCTGGCAGCCATTCTTTGAACTTTCTCCAGTTTATGTAGGTTAGTGGTGGTATGAGGGTCCCATACTATTTTACAATATTCAATTATTGGGCGTACTAGCATTTTGTACGCAAGACTTTTTACTTCGGGTGTTGCGTCATGTAACCTGCGCCTCAGACCCCATAGAGTTTTGTTTGCCTTTCTACAGGTGACGTCTACGTGAGTATTCCACCTCAAATCTGGAGTGAATATTAGCCCTAAATATTTATATTCTGTTACCCTTTTTAGATCGTGGGAACCAATATTGTAATTATATTTGAGAGGTACCTTTTTTCTTGTTATGCTCATGCAAACTGATTTTACGGGGTTTAGAACCATCTGCCATTCATTACACCATAGTAAAATTTTGTTCAAGTTGTTGTTCAGGTCTACCTGGTCTCTCAGGGATGTGATCTTGTTATATATAACGCAGTCATCTGCAAACAATCTCACGGGAACAGACAAATCTGAGGGCAGGTCATTTATAAAAATAAGAAATAAAAGAGGCCCCAGAACACTGCCTTGAGGCACACCGGATATAACGGGTCTGGACTTCGATTTAATTTTATTTATTTCTACGTACTGTGTACGAGAATGGAGGTAAGAAATGAACCACTGAGTAATATTTGAGTTTCTGAATATTTCATTTACTTTTAGTAAGAGTTTGGGATGCGAGACCTTATCGAAGGCTTTGGCGAAATCTAAGAATATTAGATCAATCTGTTCCCGTCGATTAATTGCCTGCGCAAAATCGTGAACTGTAACAACAAGCTGCGTTACTGTAGATAATCCCCTTCGAAAGCCGTGTTGCACAGGTGATAATAAATTGTGAGTGTCTAAATAATTAGAGAGATGCTTACACAGTATATGCTCAAGCAGTTTGGAGCAGGTACTCGTAAGAGAGATAGGCCTGTAGTTACCCACTTCTGAAGTGTTCCCACTTTTGTGAACTGGTATTATTTTAGCTTCTTTCCAGGCTACAGGAAATGAGGCTTGATTAATTGAAGTTTGAAAGATTATAGTAAGATACTTTGCGACCCATTGAGCATATCTATATAGAAACTCGTTCGGAATGCCGTCTGGACCAGCGGATTTCTTAATGTCAATGTGTAGAAGAAGGTTTAATACTCCTTCTTCATTGATTAACGGGTCGGATACCGGAGGGCGATTGGAAGCGTCAGAAAGGGACGGAAGGGTACCATCATCTTCGGTGAAAACAGAAGAAACAGTTTGTCATGGAGTATATGGTAATATTGTGTAAAGATGTCTTAGCGGGTTAATTACAATTGATGTATAATAACTTGGCTGACGATATTGCCGTTATAAAAGCAGTTAAATAAATGTGTGTTGTTGTTTGGTTGTACCGACCATGTCTGCTGTGTCCTTTCAATCCAAGAGCGTGGCGCTCGCCACATCGAGATCCCACACCCTTCAACCACAACAGCGGTGATTGACAGTGCAAGCCGATGCAAGCTATGTAGCGCCGTAAAATGTTGTTTAGCGTTGGTGTCAGCGTCTTCATAACTGCACTGGTCCGCTTCCGCGGCACCGGCAACATCAGCCATGATATCAACATCGATTCAGCCAGAAACAGCGATGCCGTAACTTCAGGCAGTTGCCAACCAGTGCATCAGAACTACCGAAAAGGTGTGAAAGCTCCATTATGCTGCCTTTGATGCACGAGTTGCTTAGATTTGAATTTACCAGTGAAGGTCTTTATTTTAAGTGCTGCATCGCCCGGAGCAGAAACTTAAATGCTAAAAAGCCCTACAATATAACCGAACCCACAAACTGTTTGGGCTATGTTCACACCTGCAGAAAGTTATTTTCTTTTTTCCTTTTTTGTCCACTTACATTTTTCTTAATCCTATAATCACGCACTACAATTAGACACAACAAATAATACCACGTATGTTACTCTTCGCTAATTACAGTAGACTCACAGTAAACTTGTTAAACAGAGCTGCCACTTAAATGGAACAAGTGACTCTAATATGACTGGTTTCATACATGAATTCTGTACTCCAGTTGAAACTCAGTAAACGAAAATCCTGTTAAATGGAACACACTTTCTTGGTCCCTTCAGGTTTCATTTAACAAGAGCCCACTGCATTTAATGGTTTCATGTGGCTGAGTAATAAAAAAAGGTAAATCTAAGATCCATTAAGAAACAAGACAAGTCAGCCAACAAACTGATGTCCTGTTGGAATTAACACTGACTTGAAATTACAGAAGCCCAGCTACCATTTCATTGTTGATCAACTTGAGCAAGAACGCACTCACTTGGATGTTAATGAGCCATTGGTGGATGCCTTGAACACCTCGCTCCCCGTCAGTTATACGCCACACCACCAAGTACAGTGAGCGCTTCGACAGGAAGTACTGGTGGGTGGCATAGTACTCTTTCTGCAACACCAATGACACGACTGTTATGATGCCTTACTTGCTAGTAACAGGTGCGCAATACCAACACTAAAACAAAGCTAATATACACCAAGAACATTATCAATCAATACAAATTCAACTGTGAGTCAGTGCCCACCCTCCTCTGGTTACATATTTTGTAATGTCATTTCAGTATGTTAAGGTAGGTTCGTCGCCAATTATCTCGATGTGTGCTCATTTAAAACAAGTTGGGCATACGAATCAACAAGACCATTTTTTGTGACAATGCCTGATCTACTAGAAATACAGTCTATAAAGCAGAATCTTGTTGATATTCGACTTGCTCTCTCCCCATCAGTTTGGTTTCCGTCCAGGTTTCTCAACCGAACTGGCGCTCATTAGTTTCACGGACAAAATCAAACTAGCCATTGATGACGGTTCACTATTTGGTGCAGTCTTTGTTGATCTTGCTAAAGCTTTTGACACTATTAATCATTCCATTCTTTTTCACAAGCTCGCATCTTACGGCATTACAGGACCAGCCTTGAGCCTTATTAAGAATTACCTAAAAAACAGGTCGCAAGTTGTACAAATCGACGGTAGTGTTTCCTCTCCCAAGGTTACTAATACAGGAGTGCCTCAAGGATCTATTCTAGGCCCGCTGCTTTTTCTACTCTTCATCAACGATTTGCCCCTAACACTTCGCCATACTGACTGCTTGTTATATGCGGACGATACAACCATATATTCATCTCATAAAAGCATCGCCGTACTGTTACAAAATCTAAATGTTGACTTAAAAAATGTAAGTGATTGGTGCAGTCGTAACTGCCTGCACATTAACCCCACTAAAACTACATTTGTAATATTTCATTCTCCATTATCAAAAGTGCCACCCGTGGTGCTCACGATGGGGGACAATGAAATACCCGTTACTAACAGCGCCAGGTTTCTGGGTGTGACATTAGATGAGCACCTAAAATATAATATTCATGTTCATTCACTAATGCATAAAGTTTCTTTTGGCATACACGTAATCATTAAATCACGTAATTATTTCGAAAGGCCCATTATTCGTTCACTTTATCACTCTTTCATTCATAGCCATCTGTCTTACTGTGTATCATCTTGGGCTAATACTTACTTTTGTCACCTCGATTCCCTTCAACGCCTGCAAAACCAAGCTATACGACTAATGACCTTCAGTAATGTTTTTACCCCCTCTAAACCGCTATACCAAAATCTAAATATTTTGCCACTCTCAGAACTACTTAAACAAAAACTATCTCTATTTATTTTTCGGCTAAAGAGATGTGGCACCTCCATTCCGGCTTACTCAAATGAATTTTTTGTCAACACTAACATTACGAGGTTCTCTTCAAACGACAATCTACTTCTTCCCGCCGCTCGAACAAATTACGCGAAACTAACAGCCCTTTTTTCAGGCATATCCATTTGGAATTCGTTACCATACGAAATTAAATCAGCATCCTCTGTACATACATTTCAAAGCCTTCACAAAAAATACTGTCTCGGCAAATTATGTGGGCAGGCACACTAACTCAGGGATCTGCCTTTTTTTTTTTTTTTTTTTTTTTTCGCGCATGCTTGATTTGCTACCATTACCGCTGAATATTTTGCTATCATTTGCTGAATATTTTGCTATCATTTGCTGAATATTTGCTATTATTACCGATATGAATTAATCTTGCTTTTGTTTTGTAGCCGTAATTATTATAGCGTTTGGTATTCACTATTTTATATGCTGCTATTGTGTTAAAACTTACTATGTTCACTTTGTTTTGATGAATTCATGACGCCTGTGTCATGAAGATTTCCCTTATAACTGTGTTTTTATTTTCCAGCGTATATTACAGTCATAGACTTAAATACCATGCCAGTTTTTTTGTTGCTTTTTGTCTTTTTTTTTTTTTTTTTTTTTTGTTCATTTCTTGCTTTTACTCTTCTTATGTAGCTCCTTTAGCTTTCCTGTAAATTTTATACATGTATTTTTTTTTTTTTTTTGCTATCAGAGCACGCTTTTTTCATGCTGCCCACGTTATTCAACTTACACATGTTCTAGTATTAGGAGGTCCCCCCGTCAGTTCCTGAAACTATGGGACCTCCGAATGTATTACTTACTACTAAAGATGTTACATTGTATCCAAAGAAGCTGAATAAATTGATTGATTGATTGATTGATTGATATGCTTTCCCTTTAATTCATTTTCAGATGCTAATGTTCCAAATATTGTCACCAAGCAAAACTGTACAACACTTTAGGAACCTCCCAACTTCTTCACATCGCCAGTAGTGTGCTCTTGTATTTCCTGCGAGTATGGTGCACTAGCCAAAGTGTTCCCTCTCACCTGGCCACCAAAGTCCCACGTGCGGAACGTGACAGGTCCGTGTCGTCCCTTCAGCGTCCAGTCGCCCAGGTCCACGCCTACGGTGGACAGCATAACTCCCCTGGGTGTCTTCAAACCAAGGCCCCTGTGGCCCACGCGCTTGCCCCAATGTTCGGGAGGTCTCTTCCGGTACGACCCCGTGCCTTCCTGTCGCAACTGCTCCAAAAGAGACGTCTTTCCGATGCCCTGTACGCCCACTATCATCAACTTCATCCTGGCATATGGGCGAGCACTGCAAATCAAGCACAAAAACACATTTGACACCCACATATGCACATATAAACAAGAAAAGTAATAGTCTCAACAGTACTTCTATTAAACAATTTCCATCGGAGACAGGTTTTTTTTTTATGTAAGTAGTTGCCCTGCTAGGCTGCTGAGTGGATATGCTGGGTTCTGCACATGATACTATTGTCTACATATTGCTATGTGTTGCTGGCATTAAATAAGTTGAAAGTTAACTGCATGTGTTGTCTTTTTCTTAAGCTGTCATCTTTTGTTAGTGGTCAAGAGTGAAGACGTAAAACAGTGAACGCCAACTGTGCCAGACTCAAGTTCTTTTAGCCCAACACAATGCATCTTTTAAAATTCAGAGAGACATCCATTTAAAGAGTCTCATGAAACGTGGAAAATTTAATGCGATCAAAACCACACAAGAAGACAGAAGACGGTGCAGCGCATCTTTCCAGTGCCATGCTTTACTTCTAATGCTTAATAAAGCGGTTAACAAACAGCCCAACAAGCCAATTCTCAATGGTGGTGCCCATGCGACACAGTTGGTCAACAACCAAGAAAACAAAATGAAGGCCACAAACTAGACCACGTCGCATAAAATTTTGTGAACTAGAACAGAATCTATGAAAAAACAGCAAATGCTGGGGGCTTGGGTACCTCACTTCAAGCGCGCGTTAAAGAATCTCAGGTGGTCACAATTTTCAGAGCCCTCTGCTACGGTGTCTCGCATATTCACGTGAGGGTATCAGACTGTCCTCAGGTGGTGCAGAGTTGCCAGCAGGGGAGAGTAGGCAACTATGGAAATGGGGGAGAAGGGTGCAACAGGAGGGGACAGCAGGACAAACGAAACGGTATGCAACGCAGCATGTGAATATGGACTGTGGCGGCTACGACGGCATGGCAAGCAGAGAACATTCCAGCAAGGTGAGCCGTGTGCGGTGTGGCTGAAATGAAGCAGTCCATGTCTTTACTTGTGTGCAACCGAAAGGCCGTGTCGGAATAAACAGTCATATAGTGGTTCTGAGATGCAATTACCTCAACAATTATTATTACTAAAAATGGCACAATGGTTATTTGTGAAATGTCCCACCAGAAATATACTCGGAACAGTATTATGAATGACTGGTATACGGAGTTCTAAGTTTTGGAAGAATGCTGCAGCTAAAAAAATGAGGCACAGCAGAGGACTCGGGGAGAAAATCGAAATTTTCAAAACATATGAATAACTAGACAATATACCTCCATTACTGCACATTTCATCTCCATGAAACAAACATGCCCACTGCTGCTTGGAATTGAACCCGCGACCTCAGCGGCGGTGGGCACTCACTCTTGAAGAATGGACTTGAGGTATCCCACGAGGTCGGTGGTGCGGTAGCGTGTCGAGCGCACCATAGAAGCCAGCGGCTCATGCAGGCTGCATCCGCGCAGGTTCAGGTTCCACAGTTTAGACAGAAGGCCAAGCTGCGGAGGAAGCTCGATGATGCCCGGATTCCCGCTCAAGTTTAACACCGAGAGGGATCCGAGTTCGGACAGCGTGGCCGGCACGTCACACAGCAGGTTGTTGCTCACGTCTAACATGGACAGATTCGGGAAGAGAGGCACCTCCTGCATGCCCCAGTCATAAAGGAAATTATTTTTTCACTATCAACTGAAATTGAATTGTGGCATCTAACATTGCCAAACAATTCACAAACTACTCAAAATAATATTTTTTCTCTAAAGGACAAATGCATGGCAGATGCATGGGAACAACAATGCACCAATACGCAAGCTTTGCAGACAATAGATACTAGTTGTAATGTATCTGGTATTCTGGTATGGACTAGGGCATTAGTTTACCAGTGGGTTATTGGATAACAATAGAAATGTCCAGTAATAATTTAATTATTTCATTATAGACACTTACTTTTTTCCTCTCTCCTTTCAAAGAGTGTTCTTGCTGGATAGACATTTAAAGGATAGCATGCTCTCTGAAGCTCAATTGAGAAGAAGCCTTCCTTAACTTGAGGCCAGTTGAACTCATTTTGCAATTTCAACACATTTCAATCAAAACTGACAATGGTGCTTATACAGCATGTGTGGTAATTGAGCTTTACGACAACGAGCAATGCACAACTAGCTCCGTGATTGGGGGAGTACAAAAGCACACCTGCAGCCGTGGCCATTAAAAGAGTTCAAGAAAGCTGCAATGTATAGAAACACTACAGTGAGTAAAAGTCTGCTAACAAATTTACTGCTGCCACTGGCACTTGAAGATCGATACAGCCATAGTCATTAGTCTATTAGTAATAGCTAGGTTAATTACTGCATTGAAAAAAGCTATAGGTGCCTGTTGTTGTGTTAATAGTCAGCCACCAGTGGTTGCATTATTTTGCATAGCAGACCGACCCCGATTTGAGCCCCTTGTGAAGAGCTATGAGCGGAACACAGTAAAGATTCTGCAAAAGAAAAGAACTGGCTTTACACAACTAAACATAGCAACATTGCCATAAATCTTTACACCACTCCCTCGTATTTCCAATAGAGGCCTGGCCCCCTTTTGTGTGGACACTTGATTTGATAAAGGCCAGAGTTTTAACAGAGCATAGAATCTGAGATTGCCAAAGTTTCACAGAGAGAAAAAGATCGGGTCTACTGAGAAAAAAGGCCAGAGCGCCTGATTCTAAGTAACATGGTTTCTCCCATACAATCCGGGCAAAAGAAATCCGCAAAGCACTAAGCTAAATACATGAATGCATGAATGCTGGTGCGTAAGGTGACTGGACCGCTATAAGTTACAGCAAAGCAAGAAAAGTGGCAATGATGACCACAGCTGAAACTGGCAGTAAACTAGAATGAATGACACAGGTTACCGAAAGGGGTTAAAAAAAAATTTTTTTTTGGAATTTTCGAGCATAGTTCAGGGTAATCTTTATCAAGGCGTGAAATCACCTTTTATCTCTGATACATGTGGGTAAAACGAGGGAATTTTTTAGGAACTTTTTCCCAGATAGTAGTTGATGGTGTGATGTATACATAGGAGCGGGTTAAACGCGAGACAATAACCATGTCCATGGCAGGTGATTTAATCAGCAAAAGCTTCTTGAAGATTCTTCTGCGACTGAGTCATCTATTAGGACAGAACAGGAGTAGCAAGATTTCTGGAAGAGTAATCAAGGTACTCTTGATTGATCGTTTGCCTTTTGTGCTCCTGTAAAGACGGCATGCCATGTCACCTTGGAGTCGCTCCCGTCTTGCTGGCCCACCAGACCTTCGAGCCCCGGCAGCTGATTGCTGGCCAGCAGCAGTGTGCGCAGATTCTCCAGCCGCCAGTGGCTACGGTGAAAGCAACTGCCACCTGGAGATAATACGGGAGATATTACGGGAGCAATTTAATGTAGCATAGCTACATTAAATGACTCTTAAATACCTTTACATTGAATGACTCTAAATTAAACGGCTCTTAAGTAACTTAATATACTTGCACACAAAACACAACATGAAGCTAATGTGCTTGGGACAAGACACTTTCCAGAAACTGAACTAAAATTTTGTTTCAGGTGTTTCACGCTGCCCTTGGCTCAGCTCATGAGTGCAATCACTTCTGCGCCCAATACCGTGTTGTCCAGGGCAAGCTTCCCGTGACGACATGCCAAGTTGTGATTGAATCACAACTTTGACAACATTCATTAAAAGCGGTCTATGCTGTATTATTATTATTAAAACCTAAAGTCCCAAATCCACATATGATTATGAGGGACGCCATAGTGGAGGGCTTTGGATATTGACCACATGAGGTTTTTTTTAACGTACACCTAAATCTCTGTACACAGACCTCCAGCATTTCAAAACGTGACAGTAGTGGCTGGGATTCGATCCCGCAACCTTCGAGTCGGCAGTCGAACGTCATAACCACAAGACTTTCACCGCGGGTAACCAGTTTATTAAAATCACGCAAACTTGCCTCCACGAACAATGCGCATGCTGGATGACAGCCATGGCCACACGGAAATAGTACCTACACTTCTTCACCAAGGCTCCTATCCACCTAAGAAAATAAAGCTCTTTCTCAAGAGGATACACAGATGTTTCACTAACGCAACTATGTGGGCCGTGTCTGGCTATCCAAGGGGCTTCCCGAATTTCATGTGCCCTTTGGTCCTTTGCGAGCCCTAAAACTTTTGCCATAGTTTGCATGATTTTAGTAAATCAGTTAGTCTGCATTTGTTCAGTCTACTTCTGCTCTGGTGTCGCATTCCAATAATAATGCCTCAGGTTTTACACCCCAAAACCAAGATATGATTATGAGAGACGCCTTGGAGGGCTCCGGAAATTTCGACCCTCTGGTGTTCTTTAACGTGCCCTGACATCGCACAATACATGGGTCTCTACCATTTTGTCTCCATCGAAATCAACTACGGCGGCCGTGATCGAACCAGTGACCTTGAGCACCCTAGCCACTGCTTCACCGTGGCGAACTGGAACCTCATTCCAAGCGCAGTTCTCGTAATGCCTAACGAACACAGGCGTCTTGAGTTAATATGCGAAAAGTGCAGATGCCCCAGAAATATTAGATATTCATATGCACATACATACACAATAATATGCTCTATTCCAATGATCACCACACATCAAGGTTTCAAAAAGAGATTGAGCGTAAAGGTTTAGGGCCTTGACAATAAATGCATACTGTCATAGTAGCTGAAATAACATTTTAAAATGCCCCATTCAATAAATAATCGCAATACTATGACAAAAAAAAAAAGCGGCCAATGGTGGTAGGTCTTGGGTGTGAACCAACAACCAGCTCCCTATCTAACAAGTTGGGCCGGTTTAAAATTGGACAGGTGGCAACCCTAGCACTACAAGGATACTAGTGCAAATACACTCAATCTTTGATAAAACGAATCCGAATATAGCAAATTGTTGGTTATAATGAAGCAAATGACCAATAGCTTTGTCATAGATACAGTGTTACAAATAATCGCTTCTAACAAATTTTCGGATATAACGAAGTCTTTTCATGGAAGTTGTGACTTTTTTATAATGAGGTCTGAGGGATTAAACTTCTTTTAGATTAAAGTGAACTGGAGTGAACAGTAAATAGTATAAAATAATTTCACAGTGAATAGTTTAAGTTATGCAATGTGCAGAAAAGCTTTGATGCAAGTTTCTGATATGGACAAAACTGATTTTTCAGTTGCCAAAGAGAAAACTATTTATTCTATGCAGTCGGTTCATTTGAAAAGCTTCGTTATTTAGGTAAGTACAGCCGAGCTCAAATATAATGGCCCCACTTAAAACGAACAATATCCGCATGACCGTGAAAATATACATGGGTTCAATGGCACAAAATCGCACTTACAACGAACGTCTCCGAGAACCACTTATCGGTTCCCGGGAAACCAATTTCGACCACCGATCAGGCATCAACGAGGTGCCCATACATTCTTGTTGTTAAAAGCTGACCCTGCCTCCACGACCCTCTAGTTGCCGCTCTCCCCAACCAATGAAGGAAGGAAAGCTGTTACCTTCCTCCATGTCCCGACTGCTTTTTGTCACGCACCCCTCCGTCCTTTGTCCCCCCGCTACTCTGAGCACCCCGCATCGCCAGACGAGACCCGTGTTTTCACACTGCTACCAATCTTTCGAAGACCGGTCAGCCATCTACCTTGTTTTTGATCGCTGGTACTGTCGTGGCGTCGCCGGCCTGGAGTGACCAGACCATTTGCCAACATCGTCGGCCACCGACTATATCGGATAGCTGGTGTCTAGTGCACGCATGTACGCTACCCCATCCACTCTGATAATTTGCGCTTCGTTTCGTGTTTAGGACTCTTTCTCGCTCACTTCGCACTCGGCTCAGCATACCTTCCGCGCGCGTGTAGAAGCGCGAAAACGGCTGTTAATTTGCGCGGAACGTATCGCGAAATATCGAAGTTCGTGTGAAGCCATGCAAACCCGCTGGCGTAACAAAACGATTTTCTGACCCCGGCTGCCGATTCTTCGAACACCGCCACGCACACCGATCCAGGCAGCCATGCTTTGACTTCTGCGCGCGCAGGCACTCTTTCCAAGTTTTTCTATGTGCGAGTTTCGTGGACCTTTCCAGCAAGCTACCCAACCTGCCTGCTTGCCGTGTGTTTTGGTTTTCAAGGTCGCCCTTCCGCCGCATCCTCCCCTCTCTTTATCGCAACTCCTTGCCCTTCTCTCGCAAGTCTGCTCTCCTCTCTTGATCACAACCCCTTCGCCCGTCTCCACCTCTCCGTGACGCCCACCGTGCTGGCTCGAACTAGTTTCATTTTCTGACTGGAAACGAACCCAGAGCTGTTCCACGTGTTCTGGCATGTGTGTTGCATGCGCGCGTCTTGCTTGCTCTTGGTGTGCGTGTGTTGTCATGATGGCCAACGGGAGGACTAGTACACTTTTTCCTGCCGTTCAACAAAACGTCGAAAGTGTGACCGCTTAGCTTGAGCGTAATCCGCACGTTAGGTACCGCGTTGCGGAGTGCTTTCTCATAGCTGTTGACCACCTGGCAGCCAATATGCCGCTTCGGGCGTCCTGGTATTCAGCTGTGGAGATGGTGAATATTTTGTGGGCGGCGGTGACGGCTACATGCGCGAAACTGTTTCCGCGAGGCCGACTTCGTCGACATCGGGCCCAATGCTGAGCCTGATGCTTCCGAACTGCGGTGGCGATTTGTCACAGCGCATCATCAACTTCGACCTGGGAGAGCGGGTGGGACATCTGTTGTGATGGTTTAATTACGACCGATGGTGATGCCGACACTGCTAAACCGTGCACGAATAGGGGCATTGTGAATGGAGTACATGGCGAAAGCGATTTGGAGGAATCGGATTGCGAGAACGATGAAACTTTGGAGCTAGTGCCTCATGCAGCTTATGCCACAGGCCTCGGTGAACGAGCACCCTGCCGTTTTGAAATGAACTCGAAACCGCCCTTATCGCTTCTGCTCTTCGAAACACGTGCATCACGAATTTTTTGGCGCAAAAAAAAGTTTGTTTTCACTCACAACTTGTTTTAAAAGCTGTGTTTCATTTACTACAAACTTCGGGATACAGCGAACAGATGCCGCGTCATGCTCAGGTTCATTATAAGCGGGCTCGACTGTAACTACATTCTGTTATTTTAGCAATTCTTTTTACCAGCTCAAAATTGTGGGTGTAAGTAACATCCAATAAAATACAGTACCATTTAAAACTAAGTTACCAGAGTTTCGCCAAGTAACTGGCTTCAAAACTTAAAAAAAAATCTAAATGTAAACAATATAGAAAGTCCCCCTTTTGATGTGGTTTCACCACAGCAAGGCCCTCACTGCCGTGAAAGCAGCTTTGCAGACTGGTTATATGTGGGCACAATTTGAACATGTGTTCGTTCTGCAAATTCAAGAAATTTTTAACACAAAAGGTCACGCCAACTGAATATTTGCCCAAGACACCGAATAATCACCAATGCCTATAATACTTGTTAGTTATAGGCAATAAATCTCATTCCAAAATACATAGTGCCTTTGTTACTAGATACTGCTTGGATAATATGTACAAACACATATTAGTACATTTATTTGGATTAATGAAGGACTGAAGAATGATTGTTAATCAACAAACTTTTGTGTAAGATTTTTGTTCTGTCCCTTTTTTTTTTCACCATAAACTTCATTTTCCATTATTTTTCTAAATATTTTTCGCCCATTCAATTTAGTACATTCAATTTTATTTGTAACACTGTCCTGCTGACCCATTATTATTGTGAGCATTTCTTGGGTGCCATGTGTCGGTTTTTCTTTCTGTCACTGGGGCCGCAGACCCCCATCGCTCGATTGCTCCCCATGGGGCCTAAACAATACATTCAAATAAATAAATAAATAAATAAATAAATAAATAAATAAATAAATAAATAAATAGATAGATAGATAAATAAATAAATAAATAAATAAATAAATAAATAAATAAATAAATAAATGAATAAATAAATAAGCATGTTACTTTCGCCCTCTACATCAGCTAACCAGGAAAGAAATGCAGTGACATTATGACAAACACTAATTGCGTGTGCCACCACAATAGTGGACGACACTGTACACCCCATAATGTAATCACCGCCTATTATCTCCCTGTCTGATTGAGGCTGCCTCATAAGAGCTCCTTCAGAAGCTCCTTAAATAATTAAAGGAAGCAAACACTTCTGAAAAGGCGTTACGAATGATGCCCTTGAGGACTCGATGCCTACCAGTAGCAGCACAGGTGGTGTCGCTTGTGGCCGGCGTCCACCACACCCTTAATCTATTGGACGACAGGTCGAGGTGGCGCAGACTGACAGGGTAGAACCTCAGCTCGCCAGGCGAGGCCAGGCCGTTGTAGCTGAGGTTCAATCGAGCCAAGTGGGGAGCCCTGCAAGCCAGCATGGGAGGCAGCCTCTCGAATGCATTGTGCGACAGGTTGAGGCTGCTCAGTGGGCATCCTGAACCAGGTCCTTCGGGCGCATATGTCTCTTGCACCTGCAATGGTAACGGGTTGATTGAGGCTCATCCCATCTCGCTAGTAGATTGGAGCTCGTTGGATCTCGCATGCAGCGCCGATGTTCACATTGTAATGCCCAATAACGGCCCTGTCACAAAAACAGGAACCAATCTCGAAAGCTATCCTCTCGCATAATGCACGGGTTAGAGCCAACATCATGGCCACCGTGTTTTGAACACGATGTAGTGTAGTGGGCTAAACTACTTCAATGAATGGAAGGTAAACAACGGAGGGCAGAGTATGCCCACAGCATTCATGAAATGGTTACAAATGATTGGTTACTGCCAAAAAAACCTACCAAATTCTGATAAGTGATGGCGAGCTAAAGGAAATTAATCGACAAATAACAAAAATATAAAAAAATTGTGCACCACTCCACACCGTAAAAAGTGTTAGACAGTGAAGCTGTTGCCCCTTTTGTTATGCCTTAAATACCACTCCTAAGTTTCGGCAATGTTTGCACAAGCACTGTCATCATTTTTTTTTTTTTTCATTCGGTCTCTCCTTGATTTTTACAATGATTACTGGTAATGCTTTTACTACTAGTAGTAGTACAGTTGAACATAATCATAAGAGAGACTGATGTAACAGACAATTGGGTATAAGAGACCCCAATGTGCCCACATTAAAATAGAGGCTGATAAGAAAACACATACGTGGTACCCTGCTTATACGTGATGCCTCAAAGAAAAGACAAGAGTCGACACCCTGTGCATGTCTCTTATGAAGGGGTTCAACTGTACTGCTACGACTATGACGATTGCTGCTACTTCTATAACTGCTACACTATAACTTAATTATAACAAAGTCATACCTGACATCATAATAACTTCGTTATTTGAAAATTCATTATAAATGTGCTTTCATAACCCCGTACCTATGACAAAACGATTTCTAATTTAATTAATTATAACCGATAATTCGTTGTATCCGCATTTGTTGTATCGCGATGTGCGTGTACTACTGCTACGACGAAGATCGTGGTGACGACAACGGCGCAGCGTAGACTAAGACAGCTTAAGTGCAAAAACGTAACAGATGATGAGCAACTGACCACAATGAAACTTGTGGCAGAGCTGTCTAGTTCCCTGCTCTCAAAGAAAACTGCACTTGCCTCTAGTGCATGCCTCCAGAGACAGTGATGTTCGAGTGGCCACGTCGGTGATGGGGCACGAGGCGCAACAGGCTCTGGTTCAGGCTCCTGCGGAGCAGACTTTCCGCCCGGCTCGCTGGGTAGCCTTGACAGCATGTTCATCGACAGGTTCAGATCTCGTAGCCGGGGTGCTCCCCACAGCTCCTCAGGAAGCACCTGGGGGTGCACGTGCATCCATAACGAGTGATGCAGCCGTGAAAACTTTCTTTCCAGATTGTCTCTGTTTCTAAAGCCTTGCCCTTGATGGCTTTCGTGAACATGATGTGACACTGCTTGATTTGACACTTACTTTAATGTAATTTTTCAGAACTATGAATTGACAAGTGCACAGCTAATAATAATGCCCACTCTCTGCATGGTGCTGCTCTATTACGATAGATATACGCAAATCGCCATGCATTGTTCAGATAGGTGTCACAAATCTAAACAAATTTAGGGCATACTTCCTCAACAAAAACTGTCATAGCGCAAGGAGCACTTAATGGGGCGCTGACACAATATGTCACGGCTGAGACAGCCTCCAGGATCGATTCTCGTGAACATTCATATATTGTCCATCGAATCTAAACAGCAAACACAGCTTAGAAGGTAATTTCTAAGATTTTCGAGGTTCGCATGCCCAATCTTAACGCTATGCGCCACGTCTCGCAACATTGACAACATACAGAGCGATCTGAAACGGACCCCAATACTGTCGCGACGTTGTTCCTCTGGCTGAACTCCAAGGTACCCAGTTAAATCTTAACGTAATAGACGCATTGCTGCAAGCGCATTTGTGCCAAGCAGGCGACTATTTGGCGGCTGCTCACAAGTCCGTGCCCTCGGCATATGTGTGGAATTCTCAAGACGATCTTTGCCACTAAGTGGTGATGATGGCGATGATGGCCACAACATCGCGCCGTGTAACCCGCATTCGAATGTCCATACAAGCAGCGCAGAGGTGTGTCGCAGTTCAATGTGCTCTTTTGCATGCTAGATGGCCTTAGTTTTACACAGCAGCCTGTTGTGGAACTCTACCAAACCAAAACTGAGACTAGTCGGTAATGAACTGACTGTAATTAATTATCTGTTGAACGCTGCAGCAAGCAATGCACTGTGTTATAGTGATAAGTTTCTAGCAACACATCACAGCAAACCGAAAAAAGAAAATGCCGCACTAAAATTTTTTTCTTAGTGCTCCTCAATGAAGTGAAAAACAGGATAATACTGCAGTACTAGAACATCGTTAATATATTTGCATTTTGTAAGGTTTCTTGGTGCAAACGATCACAATAACATTATCATAGAAACTGCGTGATGTTTTACGGAATCCAAATGGTATATTGTCCCTTATAGTAATTTTTTTTTCACAAATGTTGGGGCAAAATTCTACTGTACATAAGTAAAATTTTATTTGGCTGTTATAATAGTAAATACCAAACATTAGCCAGAGCATGTTATATGCGAGTGAATACGACTACCTTCAGACAGGAAACGCACTTCTGATAATTAAACAATGTTGGAGTGTGAATGCAAACTTAATTATAGTTTTAATGTTTACATTAACTTTTTGTATGTTTTTATTTTATGCTACTATAATGTTGAAGTGTGAATGCAAACTTAATTATAGTTTTAATGTTTACACTAACTTTTTGTATGTTTTTATTTTGTACTACTAGCAACTGTTTCCAACCTTTTCTTGGCAAAACCTGTTTTATGATGCAGATTGACAAAACTACCGTAAAAGCCAACATATAGCCCTTTTTTATATAGATTTTAGGGTACGAAATTTCGGCCCCATACTATATGCGGGTCCCAAGAATTTTAGGCCGAAATTCAGTTTTGGTTATGGCATAGTGCGGTGCTATCATCATCATCAGGTGTTTCCGCACTTCTGTGCTAGGTGCTAAGTAGTGTTAGCAACGGTAGCAGGCATTAGTCTTACAGACCTTACGCACCGAGGCGTGGAACAGTGTTCAGTGGCCTTTGCTTCAACTTGGCGTCCATAAAGACGGCCACAATTTTGCTCCTGTAATTTTACGCCATGTCAGCATCGCACAGGCAGTACTCGGCTGCTTTTAAAAAGGAAGTTATCACCGCTGCCGAAACCATAGGCAACTGTGCCGTGGAGCGGCAGTTCGGAGTCAACGAGCAGAGTATTCACAGTTGGTGGAAGCAGAAGGACGCCCTTTTTGCTTGCAGCAGCCAAGGAAAAAGTTTGTGCGGACCAAAAAATGGAGCGTTTCCTGACGTGGAACGAGAACGCGAAGACTTTGAGCGGGAGCAGCGAGCTGCACATCTTGCTGTGAACATCGAGCTGCTACAAGTGAAGGCAAGGGAGATCGCCCGAGACAAGGCATTCAGCTGGAAGATTTCAAAGCGAGCAAGCATCGGGTGTCGCTCTTCCTCCGCCACGCTGGATTCTCCCTACGTCGGCGTACGTCAATATTGCAGAAGCTACCAAAGTGCTACGACGAGGACCTTGTGAAGTTATGCAATCGCGTTGCGAAATACTGTCCCCTTTCAGCTGGACCAGATCGGCAACAGGGATCAAAAGCCGGTCTACCTGGATATGTCCTCGGCGCTGATGGTGCATCAGAAAGGCTCCAGACAAGTTATCATGCAATCAACAGGGAACAAAAAAATGCGGGTGACTGTAATGTTGTCCTGCACTACAGACGATCACAAGCTATCACCTTACGTAGTGTTCAAACGAAAGACGCTGCCTAAGGGGAAGAAGTTCCCAGAAAATGTCGTCATCCGCTGCCAGGACAAGGGGTGGATGAACGAATCGCTAGTGCTTGACTGGATAAAGTCTGTGTGGTGTCGACGGTCCGGAGCACTGCTGAGGCTTCCTTCGATGCTTGTGCTTGATGCATTTCGGTATCACCTGTCCGACCCTGTAAAGCGACTGCTGCGTGACTCCCGCACCGAGCTCATTGTAATCCCAAGAGGGATGACATCATAGCTGCAGCCGCTTGATCTGTGCCTTAATAAGCCATTTAAGGACCATGTCAAGCGCCTGTAGGCGGAGTGGATGAGGTCTGGAGAAGCAAAGTGACCCCTGCCAGATGATTGAAACAGGCCTCGCCAGCGGATGCTATGCTCGTGAATAGGCACTCCCGAGGTGCTCGTTTGCCACGCATTCAAAAAGCGCTCCTATCCTCGAACAGCGCTTGATGGCACTGAGGATGACGTGCTGTGGAAGAACATTTGCGACAAGGGAGCTTCGGAAGAGAGTGCGTCCAACTGACGACGATGAATGAAGTGTGTGAATAAATGCATTTTTTCGTTTTACTCGGGCTATATTCAGGTGAAAACTTTTTTTCTCGTGTTTGCTATCCCCAAATTACACACCGGACTATATGTGGGTCCGAGCTATATGTGAGCTTTTACGGTACCTCTGAGACCAACTTTACTTGGCATCTTGGCATTAAACAAAAATAGACAGCAGTGTTTTCTGTGGAGATCAAGTGCACTGAAGACCCTTCGATGGGTTCACATTTGCAGTGTTTATCATCGGCACAGTGTCCTTACAATGCATCATCAGTTCAGAGGAGGAACCCTTATGGTGAAACCATATTCTCTAGGGTACAACTCGCACAAAATGTGCAGTACTTTAGGAGCTATGGTGTGATGCAAGTCGTACCCAAAATTCAGTTCTTAAGTAGGCTTCATTATACTTTTTAAATGTGCTGCGAGGAAGGAGGCATTATGGCTGTTATGAAAAATTTTTTAGCGCACACGAAACACAGAATGACACGCTCTGTAGCTGTGCGTGGAGGCGCCACGGCTGTTCACAAAGTTTTTTATTATTACTTATTACTGTTTATTTAGCGGTTTGTAGTTGGAGGTGCATCAAAACCATTTGTATGCATGCCGAATGCCCAAAAGAGTAAGAGCCTCTGTCATGCCACATGGCCTTTAGCTCTTGTTTTTGTAAAATGAAAGAAATAATAAACTGAAAGAAAAAAAAGAAACCGAAGAGGAGACCCTGACTCGTACAGCCAGCTATATAGAAGAAAATGAAACAACAGCATGAGCCAGCGCCTCTGCCTGTTGCTCATACCCACGCCCCCTTCTTTTTCCTTTAACTGTAACACAGGTTGCGTGCAAGGGAGGGTTGTATGCGAGAGAATGTGGTAAACCTCGTCGCACCTGCAACTTGTTGTTGGACAGGTCAAGTGTATGAAGGGACGGCAACTGGAACAGTGTTCCCGGAATCGTCTCCAGCCGGTTGTCCTGCAGCTGCAGCTCTTCCAGTTGCGCAGCGGAGACCACGTCGGGCAACGTGGCCAGCTTGTTCTGTCCAACAGCCAGCAGGCGCAGCGACGGCAGGGACAAAAACACGCAGCCGGGCAGTTCAGACAAGGCGTTCCCCGACACGTCCAGCCGAGTTATTGCGGCCAGCGCGGGGCCGGTCAGCTGCGGCTGCAGCTTGAGCTTGAGGTTGAGCGCCATGGCAGCGTCAGCCAGCCAACGTTCGGATAACTGCTCCAGGCACTGCTGGCCGTGCCAGTTGATCATAACAGGCACGCTGGGTGCCAGGGCGAGGCCATCTAGGGCGCCCTTCGAAGACAAAAAATGAGACAAGTGTCCACCACCACAGGATTTTTTCCAATGGAGAGCTTTGGCTTGTCTGCCAACTTCGCAGCATTTCTGGTTAAGTGAGGGTGGCTTAACTTAACCAGAGGTGACAGCTGAAAGGCAGACCTCAACTGGCAAAGCATACTACTACACTCAAACCTCATTATAACAAAGTTGCATCTTACTAGGCTTGTGCGAATAGTGAATTTTCGCTTTGAAGTGAATTCGAAGCGAATAATGATTTTGGTCGAATAATTTTGAATGGAATTCGAATAGTATATATATCGCATATTACAAATAAAAATGGGTGTGCTGTCCATGCCCTAACAAACCTGCTCAATATTTTTCTAAATTTGAAACAAGGCCTGTGCAAATGCCATTTTTTTGCATCAAAGGAAGTGGAAAACAACTTTGAATAGTAGCGAGATATGACTTTCGGTAAAATGCTAGTGATAGCGAGTAAAATATGTTACACTTTAAAATTTGCTATACTTAGAGTACACAAGTTGGTGTAATGAGCTTTTAAACTAAAAAATCTGAAAAAAATGTATCAATGTGATGTTAATATCCTTATTTAACTTTAAAGTGGGGCTTTGCAGTAGTGCTGATTTCTCCTGGATATGCGTTTTCATAGCTAAACAAATTCTCTGCAGCGAAACCACTTTTACAAAAAGTTACAAACTACTATACACTTGTTTCGGTGTTTTCACAGCTTAGCACCCCTCCACTGCTGTGAAACCACCTTTGCACAGTGTAACATGCGTACTTGTATGCACCTATTTGTTCATCTCGAATTATTCGAAATTTTTAATATTTTAAATTCAATTCGAAGTGAATTCTGATACTGCATTATTTTTTTTAATATTCGAAGCACTCAATTTTTCGCACATGCCTACATCTAACACAAATCTAAGTTCGTTATATCCAAAAATTCCTTATAAAGGTATATTTCTAACACTTTAGCTATTGAAAAACTATTCTTCATTCACCTCATTATAACAGATATTTCATTACGTTTGGAATCGTTATATCGAGGTTTTAGCTATTGAAGAACTATTCTTCATTCACCTCATTATAACAGATATTTCGTTACGTTTGGAATCGTTATATCGAGGTTTTAGTGTACTACTGCTAAAATCAGTTGCGATTTACCTTACTGGTGTAAATTTAAAGCAGCACTGTAACAATGAAGGCACTGCTTTTTAAAACGTTATCATGACAAAAACACTCTTCAAACACAAAAAAAGCTATTTATTGTAGTCTGATAGCTTCATCAGTTGCCGCATTCACCCATCAATAACCCTAATGTGTGCAAAAAACACCGAAACACCAGCAATGCTAAAACAATCCGTTCAACTCATTGCCCTCTAATAGGTATTCATTATAGCCGTTCTCCGCCTTTCATACTTCCGAAATCATGTTACTTTACCTTTTTTCACATCTGAAATGTGAAACTTAGCATGTCTTGAGGCACATATTGTTTGCGTGAAATCTTAGTTTTATAGTCATTGAGCTTTACGCACGAGTCTGTGAAGATGCTCCACAGCGGGGACGAGCCATGGTATGAAAAGAAAAGAACAATAGAGTGTATCATCTACAAACCTCTCTATACCAAAGAAAGGAAGTGAATGAAGCGTACGAAAAGGTTGCAACACCAGAGGGGTAGCCAAGCACTGGCCAGTGCTGGTAATATGCAAGTAAACACAATAGGCATCAGACAAACCCATACACATTTAATCTTGCATTGTATATTTCTCCTTGATTATAATTTTATTTCATAGTTTTTAATTTTATATTTACATCACTAGTGTTTTCTTTCCCCCAATTTCAGGTTTCAAAACAGTGTATTCGATGCCGACCAAGACTGATGGAAATGCCAGTTTCTTTTCTCTAAAGCATTTCGGATGGAAAAAACAAGTAAATAAATAAATGTGGTACGCCCACCTGGTTAATGGTATGCTCGGGATCACGGTACGCACGCAGCGACAGGAGACGTGACACAAGCCTCCCACCATGTGGGAGAAGCGCTGCCAGGGCAGCTCCGTCCTCGTCTCGTGCCCCATGACGCAGAAGCAACTCCACCATCTGGGCATCCCTTCGCCGGCATGCTTCCAGCAGAGCACCCGATGGGCTGCATCGTCGCAGTGTCACAATTATGTTACTACGTGCGAAGGGGAGAGTTCTGTTTCTACAATCACTACTAGCATCAGTGTGAGGTCGTCTATACCACAGCGCCTTATTAAAAGAAAACGCTAAGCTTGTGCAAACCTACAACAATATTCAAGTGGCATGAAAATGCATTTGTTACATTTGGGATGCATTCTAGACCCCACTAACCGAATGCCTACACGGATCCACCTCCTCTCATGTCCACTCTCCTACCCTGCCCTCACCCTCCCAATGACTGCAGATCGCTGGCATCCTAGCAGTCTCAACCTTGCATGCTTTCTCTCGCATCCTCAGTTTACACCTTGCATACTATACAGAGTACTTCATACTGAACGTCAACAACAGTTTGCTTGTGTTTGAAAAGGCCAAGGGGGCCAGAAGACAGACACGTGGTTAGGGTTGTGGAGAAAACTCAGAGTCCCCTAACCTGTCTCCACGCATCGGAAGGTTCGGTGCAGCTCCAGCACGCAGTAGAGCAGCTGCTAGTGCGTAATGGCCCTTGCGCACGGCCACGTGAAGTGCCGTCTCGCTGCCCTGGTTGCAGTAGAGGTCCAGCCGCACGGGACAGAGTTGCATTTCACGTGGAGCGGCTCCTCCTGAGGCCAGGTTGAGGCGTGTCACGATGGACTGCACATGCCCAGTGTCTGCACAGACACATTAAGTGTCTTGATGAGTGCACTTGAACCCCTTAGTAAGAGACACGCACCGGGGGCAGTTACCGTATTTACTCGATTCTACCGCGCCCTCGATTGTAACGCGCACCCGATTTTCACCGCGAAAAAAAAAAAAAAACGTAAGACATCGATTGCAACGCGCACCCATTTTTCTCGCTGGCCCGCACGATCACACCACTCGAAAAAACGACTCCTTTCGGGAGCGTCTTCCATTTAAATATGAGGTACGGGCGAAGCTTGTGCCCATCTGACGTGTAACAGAGCATTGCCGTCACTGTAGTTTTATCGTGGACCGATGTCAGCACGCGAACTTGCTTCGCCTCCTTCTTCTCGACGGTTGTGGTGCCAGGCATGTCGAAGTAAAGAGGCGTCTGATCGGCATTCCCGATTTGCCCAAGCAGGTAGCCGTTGTTGCGCTGCAAGTTTAGGACGAACCTCTGAAAACTGTGAAGCTTTTCATCGTACTCCTCCGCAAAAGTTTTCGCATATGCATGTTCCCCTTCGGAGGGAAAAGCCTTTCCTCTTCATAAAGTTAGTTAGCCAGCACCTGCTCGCTTTAAACTGGCTTTGCATTAGACCTTTTTCTAAGACTAATTGCATAGCCCGCACATGGAGCAGTTCTGTCGTCACGGGCCGCTGTGCCGCTCGCTGCTCAAGCACATACTCGCCGAGCAGCTCTTTAATTTGCGGAAACCGACCCTGCTGTGGTCCACTGAAGCCTTTGCGTGAAGCTTTGCTGTCAACAATCTTCTACTTTTGTTTCCGCCGGTCTCGCACGCACGTTTCAGGAACTCCGAACGACCGCGATGCGGCCCGATTTCCGTCCGTTTCTGCACACGCGATGACTTTTCATTTAAAAGCGGCATCGTGGTGCACTCAAGTTTTTGGAGTCGGCCCTTCCACGCCGTCGATGCTAATGCACTACTAGATGACGAACTCCTCAGCACACGTACGAAGTGCCGCACACGAGAAACACATAGGCAGAAATGGCCGACGCACGTAGGGGGTGGCCATTTTGGATTTGCGATGGCAATAGATTGACCGTAATTTTTTTGTTCGTACTCGATTCTAACGCGCATGCGATTTATGAACTCGCTTAACCGGAAAAAAGGTGCGCGTTAGATTCGAGTAATTACGGTATTTCTTGTGTGAGGTGCCTTTCCTGAGTGGGGTACCACGTTCTCATGTACTAATCAACCCCTATCTCTATGTATGCGAACTGCATCTCCTATACACAATAATATGTCATATAGCCCCTGTTAAAATTGGTTCGACAATATGAGAAAATGAAAAGACAATAAGGACAAGCAAACATTCCATAAAACACAGGGAGGACGAGGTCAATAAAGTAAGCCCTACCTTCATGACAACTACAGTTATGTTGTTAAACATAGATAATTCTTAGGCATCACATTTTGGAATTCATTGTCTGCCCCAGAGGTTTAAAATTGCAATTATAAACTAAACAATATTGAAAGAGAATTTAAACAATATTGAAATTTCACCACTGCGCAGCTTCACTGTAAAAAAAGTTTCAGTACCACGAATCATTATTTGAAAGCAAAAATTTACTGTTACGAGCTCAAACCTGAACTCACTTTGTGTGAAGCATCACTACGAACAAAGAGCATTAGTAACTTTATATTCAAAAAATGTCTTTGGAGTTCTTTGTGGAGCCAAGAATCACATTTGGTTTACAACAAAGACATTAATGCCATTGTACTTGGTCATGTAAGAGAATTCTACAACAAACTTTTTTACCAGAAAGTTGGGATTAGGGAAATGGGTAGTTGTGTGGTGAGATGAGCCATATGAGTGAGAAAGAGGTTAAGGTTCATTGTGCTCACTGAATAACGCTCACAGACAAACTGTATACATGCATTTTTGAAAGATATTATCAAGAGGGGAAGGCTATCTAAAGCTTCTAGGTCATTATAATGTTCCCTGGAGGTTGAGTTGTTGTAGGCGACATGCAAAATTTCATACAGCCCAGTTACAGCAGCCCCTCCGAAGTCACTGGTCAGAATTGAAGTCCCTGTATAGTGTACGCTTATTTACAAAAACGCAAGCAGCAAAACACTTTGAAGTCCCACCAATTCATTCTAATTATCGTCACTGCATTTCTTGCTAAAAGCTACTTTTGTAAGTCACATTTTTTCTAATGTGGTGCATCGCAGTTGGAAATTAAGTGCGTGGCTGCTATCTAGAAATGTCTTAAATAGGGTTTGCTATGACTAATATCAGATAAGAACTTCGCACTTTACTGATTACCGCTACAACAACAAAAAAAAGAAAGAGTCCTCAACTTCAGCAGCCCAAGGTGTGTATCTGCTGATGTACATTTCTCTCTTTCTCTCTCTCTCTTTTCATTTTTTTTCTTCTATTGATCGACGTTACCTTCTGTAGCCTACCAGAAGCCATAAGCAACTCAACATTGTGTACTTGGTCATTCTGCGTTACGCAAGTTAGGTCGGTAGGTAAACAACTTTATCGATTCGCGAAAGAATCGTGTAAGGGGGCAGGGCGGTAGTTGAAAGCAGGATGACAATAGGGACACTTTTGTGCTTTGGTGGCCCCTCAGGCTCAGCCCCATAGTAGTCCTCCAATCACTCCTGGTGTTCTCACCCTTGCCATGGGGTTTAGGCTTTGTTAGGGCAATTCAGAAATACGCTCTGGTGCTATGACACGAGTTTCGGTGAGGATGTTTCACCATGCATCTTGAGAGAGAGAATAAAATGAGACGTGACTGTGGCCGCTGGAAGTAGGAAGAACATGACCAACAACACTTGTTGCAAGAGTAAAGAAGTGGAGGAAGACATCAGTACTTGGCTGAAAAGCAATCACATCAAGGGCCTTAAGCCAAGACCGGACCACTCATGATGCCATACCCTGCAATTGGGCTTTCATCAGCTGTGAGAAGCCGCTTTGCCCAAACGCGCCACTTCAGCAGAGCTTCCAGAAAGCGTCGATGACCGAGGCAGGCAGCCATGTAAAGGGCCGTCTGGCCTGTGGCGTCCTGTGCATTCACATCGAAGGCCAACGGGTATTCCCATTTTCCAGTGGGATCTTCCCGCAGCCTCTGTAGATGAGGCGGGTAGGCGTGTCCCAGCAGCTGTTCTAGCACAGTCACGTGACCACCGAGAGCCGCTGCATGTACTGGAAGCCAGCGCTCCACCGTTGGCTCACGCACCAACTCCGGAAAGTGCTGCGGCCAAAGACGACAAAAAGCATAAACGAAACTTCGACATCTTAACAAGCACGAAACAACAATGACACAAGAAAGAGACACAAAAGCAGGAAAGGCGCTAATCCATCTCGTCTCCATGCCTCCTTTTTATGCGATCATTGCTTGCACTTGTTATCAATGTATAAGTTCCAACCAGCCCAAATTTTTATGTTCCATAATATAAACCACGCAAATTATTTTACACAACAACTTGAAAAAAAGCATACACTGCATTTTTTTTGCATTTGCTATTGTAGTAATAATATTACAAATGCATTCAAACCATTGAGTTTGCAATCACTGAGCAACCCATCGATGTTGCATGGACTAACGTTGCGCAAAGACCAGGCTTGGCCAAAGAGTGCCAAGAACCACTGAGCTATGAGAAACACAGCAGTGCAAGCCTTCCAAATTATTCATGACCACAATGGTTCCTTTAACAGACAGTAAACGCATGGCACATAGGCACTTCAGCCCTTATTGTAATGAGAAATGCAATGATCAGGAGTCAAACGCCACGACCATATTGCACCAACTCTGTGGGGTCTCGAAATGAAAAGTGCCACTACGCTCTTGGAGTGAACGGACACAGCAGACACAGTCGTAACAAACCAAACAACTATTTATTTAACTACTTTTATACGACGACACCGTCAACTGAAGTATTACACATCAATTGGGACCAACACGCTAAACAACCTTACACAGTATTACACAACACTCAACAACATGAAAAACAAGGCGGTGTCACTAACGCCTGACTCACCACAAGGGCCCCCGGCAGACAGCCGGCGGTGCCATGCACCGGGGTCCCACTGCGAGAGACAATCGTTCGCGCCAAACGCCACCAGCGAAAGAGACTCGCTCAATTCTTTCATGCCGCCACCAAGGCCTTGCCGCCAGGGGTGACCGCCAAGTGCTAACCGATCTAACTATAATGATGATAGCTGTGATCAACGCTCGCGAAACACAATGCCACCTATCGCTCAATGTGACCCCAAAATACGGCTTCTGTGCGAGACACGTGCGCCACGCGGCGCAAACAACTTTACAGGGGGTGTCAGCACCCCACAACTTACGATGGCTGATGCCAAGTAATCGTACCTCAAGCAGCAAGGGCACGATGTCAGTACGTCCCCTGTAGCAGGCAACATACAAAGGCGAGTAGTGAGTGACCAGGTGGGCTCTACCATCGGCACCATGCTCGAGCAGTAAGCGGGCGATCTCCAGTTGGCCATCCTCGCAGGCCCTGTAGAGCAGGGTGCCACCCCCGGCGCTTCCTTCGCTGTTCACCACTGCCTCAGCCCGGGGGCCCAGCTCTGTCAACAGGGCTCGCACTTCATCCACCTGGCCCAAGGCACACGCAGCCGCCAGTCGAGTGTAGCTCTCCTGGTGCTTCTGCTCCAGGTCCTCTATCATGACAAAAAGCAAATCACACATCAGAACCAAGAGCTTTGCAGATCTGAATGTGTGATGGTCGATGAACTGAGTGTTTAATATTCATAACACCTAGGCATTCCTAGTACAGTTTATTTCTTGTAGTGTCGGTTATTATTTATCTGGTCATTCGGTCACTTCAAAAATCATGGCAGTACTAAATTAGGTTATTGTGTATGTTAATGTGAGAGCATAATGACTCCGTAAACTACAACATACAATCATAGACACTAGCCAACTTAAGCCATCATTTAGCCAATACTAGTCAGCATTAGCCAATGATAGGCCAGCACTAGCCACAATCATTTAGTCCTATGTAGACAACAGTATGCATTAATCATCACTTAGCCAACAGTAGCAAACATTAGCCATTGCTAACCAGTTCAGGCAGTACGCGAGTAAATACGGTAGAACACCGCACCTTCTAGCTCACGAATAGCGGTGGAGAAGGGAAGGGGGGAATGTGCTAAGATGTGTTCTTGCATATGAAACTTGAGGCTTTGCCATTACAACCTGCCAGAAATGAGATTGCATAGAACAATCGCCACAACAACTTAGTGCTTGGTTTTCGTTACATTAAAAACCATAATCCTAAGGCCTATATGGCAGGTCTCACTGTACATCTTGGTGAAAAGTACTTTTGCGAGTCAGAATGAACCCATCTTAAGAGAGCACTCACCGGTGGCCATTCGCAGCATTTCTGCCACTTGCGCGTGCCCGGCAAGCTCAGCAACATCAGTGGCTGTCTGGCCTTGAGCATCACGGGCCAGCAAGTCGGCGCCCGAGTCAAGCAGCAGCCGTACCGTCGACACATGACCCAGCTCAGCAGCTACATGCAGCGGAGTCTGCAATAGTGTACAGGGAAGCAGCCTTAAAAAACACACAATATACTGTGAATCTGTAGAAGCAACAAACTAATTTAATAAATAACAAGAGAAATAAAGCAAGAGAATAAACAACTGAGCACATGTGAACACTGCACAAGGACTTACCAAACAATAGTACAAGAAACAGAGATGCTGCGAGGGACAATGTGGGCTTGCAATCAAGAGTAGCAATGAATTGGATTTGATGGTACAAAAAGATTTCTTTATGATCCAAATAAAATACAGATTAGACTTAGTTCAGCTACTAAACAACGAAGAAAGAACAAATGGCACATATCAATCTGACCTTCATTTCCCCAAAGAGACTATTTACACGTGTGGCATACATATTGCAAACAAAAAAGTTCCATACCTGAAAATTTCAACATCCTGAACGTGCATCTACTAGTAACAAATCTTTCGTCTTGAGAGTGCCACGGTCATTCAGAATAATAATTAAGCTAAAAGGCAGAAATAAACAAAACAACTAGGGCCTATCGTCAAATCAGGGGCATATACCTTCCTTTATGAATATAACTAATGCGCACACATAAGGCAATCTGAGCCAGTATTATGCAATGGCTCTTCTCAGCTGACTGTCATATCTTACCCTGATTGCCGATTGTTTTAGGCTAGCTTATTTTTATTGTAGCCTATCTGAGCCTCCCGATTCGCTGCTACCGCCCGAAAAGTGGAATTAACCCTTTCTGACACCACCTATAACTGCCCGTAAATGTGTCAAATCGACACGTTACTTGAAGGCACTCTGTATTTGCAATAGAACTAATGCCAAAATATGTTAATTCATTTGTTTTATAGTAACTAATCCTAATTAAGTTATAATTAAATACCTATTTATCCTGAAGTCATTGATGCTCTGTTTTCGCATTAATAGAATGAAATATCAGGCTAGAAATATAAAGCATGTTCATTTTAGGTCATGTTCATTTTGAGCAAATAAAAGTTATCACACAGCATTACACAGCATTAAAAATTACACAGCAGCTCATTACACAGCAAAATGAAATTACATGAAGGTAAATTTAATATGCAGGAGGTTCCATTCATCCAAAACTTACTGTATCACGCTCTTCCTTTGCCCCTAGTCCATACAAATAGCAAAAAAAAGTGGTGTAAACGATTGTGTACATATCTTCTCAAAGCGTTAAGACAAGTCAAACATCAGTAAAATTTCTGCAAGAAATGGTGGCACTGTCCTACTTGAACAACCCATGTAGCAGGCAACACTTTGTAATACAAATTTTTATGCATGAAGTCGCCAACATGGGAGGATATTAAGAATTAAAGGCTTTTCTCAGATGCACGATATACGGTAGGTTATTAACTGTAAGACACCTAGGCCCTGCAATCTTGAACTGTTAAGCTGATGTTTTGTTGTTTTTGTACATTGTGACATGAATAATAAGGCCAGGAAACATCGTATGCCCTAGCTCAACCATTTTCATGCGTATGCGTCTACCATAACACCGTTCATTCAGCTGTTAAACATACAAAACACTAAGGCTAACAGCTGAACACAACAGCACTCAAGCCGATCCATAAAATAGTCTATATAAGCTATTAGTTGCACTATTTGAACTGGTACCCCTGCAAGATTTGTAGCTAATCGCTGTGTCCCACTCAGTATGTTTGTTTGGCAGTAGATGGTATAGATATTTCAGGCAACGAATAAAACAATTCATGATAACAGCAAAATGGAGACATAAAAGAGATTCTCCTGACCCCCTATCAACAGTGATTAAGGCCATGAAAAGTTGGCACTGCACATGACTCAACAAGTTACCGCACATTCACTATAACTATCTGATTATCAAATCCAGAAGGATGTTGCCGATGTACACTTGAGCGTAGTTCAATGCTAAACCTATTTCATGTTGTGGAAATTGTTAAACATGAGCAAGCTTGAAGATGCACCAATGCCCGAAATACATTGCAAAGTACACCAGTGCTTCCGTGTATGCTTTTTAGAAGGCCTTTGTGAAACAACATGCAGCATGGTTCGCTTCTTGCATTAAAATCGTGAAAATAGTGCTGATGTTAGGAATCCTATCAAACTTAATATGCTGTCAGAAGTGACTTTCAGAAGTGAACTCCACAGTGCAGTTGCGACAGGAGTCCTCAAATCCCTAGGCGGACAGTTACCTCGTAAAGCTACCTTAACTGGGCAGTTACCTGGGCTCAAAATATGCTCGTTCATGTCTACTGCAGCTAGTAATGCATTGAAAAACATTGTTTCTTGTCTATCTTTTTATGGAGCATTCGGAGCAACTATTAAATTTCAGCAAAAGCCCATGGTATGCCAAATGCTTGGATACGGCTTCAATCTACAGCGCAGCATTATCAGTGGTAACGAACAATAGCACACAAACTACATTGCATATATGGTCTGCACTAAGCGCAAAAAAGTTAGACCTAGAAACTTCATCATTCTCTGTGATGTTTATGAGCTCACTCACCTTGTGCTGGTCATGAATTCCACAAGCGGCACTCGGGTTCGCTGCGAAAGAGAGAAGAATATGTCATCCTCACTGATCATCAAGTCATGTTAGCTGTGCCCAGGGATGTTAGGTAGGACAAGATTTAAGTGCATAAATTTTGACTCTTATTTCACGGGAGAGTCATAGCTATGTATGAACACAAATATTTATAAAGCAAGCAAGTAATAATGAAGTAAAAAAAAAAGGTTTAGAAAGATCCATAAAAGGTTTTCTCATGTATGGCATACTTGGGCAATCATTCGAGAGAATTCTAAACGTGTCAGAAAGTGGTGTATTCAACAGTGTTAGAGCTCTCTAATGCGAAAAAGCTAGTATGCAAGTCATGTTCCCCTTTCCCTATCGTGTATTGGGCCACTTCCTTTAATAGCAATATTTAGTTCTTCTTTTGAAGCAATTTCTTAGAGCCTCTGGAGCACTCTAGACAACCAGTGAATTGTGTCAGTAGTCATTTGCTTGCTTGCTCAATGTATAGGCCATATATAAAACTAATGCCTATGGTGGTTGAAATATTACCTGCAGCTTAAATGAGGATGCAACAAATGACATGCACTACAGAACGAGCAACTGCACTTGCTTCTTTTTTCCTCTGGGCTTTTGCTTAGATTAATTGTTTCAGGTTATACATTGAAGTGAATCCTTGGTCTTCTATTTAATTAAGAAATCTGAAAGCCCTTTGAAGTAAAATTATGTTGTTACTTTGAACAAGTAAGGAGATAGCCACATGAAATGACACTAAACAATACAGGCCCCGATGCCTATTCTAACACATCAAGGTAAGCAGGCAGTCAACAAACTATCCATCTCTTGCTTAAAGCACAGAGAATAGGGCATGAAATGAAGAACACGGGAGAGATGCTACTCATTTTTGCACCCTATTGAAGTTAATATCTTTGTGCGTGCTCTAAAGAATAACGAGTTGATCTAGTAAAGATTAACGAAATGACCTAGCAGGGCATTTAGCAAGAGGTGCTGCTGTTAGAGTAAGTTTTACTGACATGATGATGCAGCATTGCAGTGATATATTACTCACAAGACAGCCTTCCTTTGACTTCAGGATGAATATATAAAAGGGCTGCCTCACTTTAACCTTCAATATGTTCACCAACATGACCTCATGGCAAGCACTTAGCCATAGTTTCTCCCTGCTACTGTAGATATCTTATTGTGTGAGAGTGTGGATGAGAAAGGAGGTAGTAGGAAAACTTGGATCTGTTGACACAGGAGTCAAAATGAAAGACTTAAAAAAATGCAATAATGAACCAATAAAGACAAAAACTGATGACCCCTGTACGGGCCGAGGCACCACTGCTTGTGTTCAGCTATAATGGGTAAAAAAGAACATCGCACTCTACCGTTGCTGTTAAACGTCCAGAATCGATATTCTGACTCCGTCTCGCGCGTAATTAACCATGACCAGCCGTAAGCATGTTGGACCCAGAACAGCTCTTACGATAATCCCGAAGAAAAAAGCTATAATAACCGACTTCAGTAGAATCGAAATGAAGATGTTACTTGTGTTGAGGATAGGCGCGATCATGCTTCGTATATCGAGACTCACCACCAGACTGTAGCAGGATGCGGGCACAGGTCTCGTCACTGTTGGTAGCGGCTGCGTGAAGTGCTGTCCTTCCATGCATATCCGGAGCATCTATGAGCCGCACCTGCATTCAAGCGTTAAATACACAGCTGCCCACTCGAAAGAGTCGATGGGGAAGCCCGCATTACCTGGTCGCCGTTGAGCAAGTCTTCTAGCAGCTCGGCGTTCCCCCACAGAGCAGCCTGGTGAAGCAGCTCTCCCGGGTATTCTTCACGATCGTCGGCCATCGGGTAGCTTGTTAGAGCGACACGAAAATCGGCAAAGAGTAGCGGTCATGCTTCCACCACGGAAGCGGTCCGATACCGCGGTCATTGCTTCTTGCGATGGGTCAAGAACAAGACATGGCTGCACAGAGCGGCTATTAAACCGCTTATACGGCGTTCTTCCACACACGTAGCGATCACGAAGACAGACCGCTCTCCCAGCGGCTTTACAGGGGATCTGCTTGCACAGGCCGGACGCAGAAACGAAAGGAAAATACAGCAGCGACAGCACGCATGTGGATGAGTAGACGTCGAAATAACGTAGAGCGTATCAATTGCGCAAGGAAAAGCGCGCACAAGCGCGCCGAGTACTCCTGTTGACGGCGTTATTTCGACGTCACCTACTTCTCCACTGCGGAGAGTTCCAGTTGGTTTCGCCCCTTGCAGCTGGGAAGTTCATTATGGGAGATGTGAAGGAGGGATACCTCTGTCCCATCTGCGTGGAAGACTTGGGGAACTTCGAGGAGCTGACAGCTCATTTTGAAGCGAACCACGCTGCCGGCGAGCGAGATGTTTTGCACTCGCTGAAGGGATTCATCGGTATGCGCGACGCGGTGCACCGCCCCACTTGTGTAGCAGAAAGCTTATGAACTGTCCGTACATGCAGGACGCGCCAGGCGAAAGATCCTCGCTGACTCTCCTGTGCTCGATGAAGAACAAACGCCTGACTGGGGGCAGCAAGAAATCGGTTTGTATTTCATTATTCCTCGAAACGTGCTTGAGTGCCGCTTTATAATTTCTGTGCAAATTACTTTGCAGGAGTTGTCAGTCTCATACAGGCACTGTACGCATGATCCGTGGTCGTCGAGTGGATCGGTACGTCGGGCAGAGCAACAAGCTGCTCATCAGACTGACCAAACTTGTGGTAGACGCTCCCAGTGACCCCGAGATGAGGAAAGGTGCGTGTGGCGTAAGAACTGTTTATATTTTTCAGTTCACGCTGCCAGCTTGCAAACAGCGCTATTAGCCAGCTGTGTGTAACAACCACTGTCGTACCTTCGAATAACTTACAGCAGGTCATATCGTAACCATGACATAGAAAACTCATACTGAAGCGTTTTGTTGGTTTCAGAAACAATATCTACTTTGTTGTTCGCCCATTTGGTGAGATGAACATTTGCCTGGCACATTGCATTAGTTGTATGTAAATCACTACACGAGCTGTGTGCTTAGAGTAAAAGGAATGTACTATGCAGTCGTATTTGTATTGCGCATGCTGGTAGGCACCCGTACACACGCCTGGCTGTATCACTGTTGGCCTCATCCAAAATTCTGAGTGCCAGTGTGGTTTTTGAACTGATAGGTGTGTTGCGTATAGCATCAAGGCTACCTTAGTTCAAACTTGTGGCAGGCAACATGGAAGCACTGTGAAAGCACACTTACCTAGGTTAAAAACAAAGACGAATGTCCTTTCGACATGTTTGTTTGTTATGCTATTGTGGGAGTGTTGAATATTGTATTTTCAGCTGCTCCCATTTTGTGTAGAACAATATAGCACAGGTGATGTGTGCTACTGTTAAGCTGTTGCATGTGTGTATGCAAGGCTGCCTCTGTTTGATCAAGTATTCTGGTCAGAGTGCATGGCAAAATGCCTGCCAGCAACATCTAACTGTTGGCATCCGGCACTTATTGCCACTAAATGATGTGCAGCCATTTTTCAACCCAACTAATTTACTGCAAAGTATCTTTCTTTTCTGTCAAGTCACTTTCACTTCTTTCTGTGCATACATGATTGACAGAGTAATACCTAAACATCAGCAGTACTTTCAGTGAAATGATGCCATGCTGAATCCAAGGTTGAACACCGCACACTCTTTGCAGCCCGTGAAAGGTCTCTCGTGCCTTGGGTGGAAGATGCGGATGTCAAACTGTGTCCCAGCTGCGCCAAGGCTTTCAGCATATCCCGCCGAAGGCATCACTGCCGCTTGTGCGGAGGCATCATGTGCCAGCTATGCTCAGAGTTTCTGGATTCTGCTACTGTTCGTAAGTAACTCGGCATTTTCTTTTGCCGCCATGGCAGCGCCAGCAAATGATGTCGTTATACTGCTTAGTGCACTTTGGGTTCCAGTTATGGCGAATTCATTTCGGCGGGGGCAGATTATAAGAGTGCTCACTTACAGTGACTTGTATGCCCGCTGAAGAGCTGCATGTCAAAGGTCATAAAGTAGGATGAAAGGGGCTGGCCTATCTAGTGTCCCTTATAACTCAGTATATAGCTACCAAACATGAAGTTTCACAATTACAACATTTGATGGCAAAGTTTCCTAAGAACCAGCAGGGACAGTTAGTCCCTAAGAACAGCTGTCATAGCGTGTGAAGCATCTAGTGGAATAGTACAAATGTATTAGTTCATTACATTGCTACGAGAATAGATAGGCAACATTAGCTAGCATTGGCATTATGCAAGTAAATATGGCACGCTTGACACAAACAATTCAGATTTTCCAAAATCAATTTTCTAGTTCATACGTCATTTTGATTGTAGTTTATGACAGTTTGTATGATCTATTTTGCTTCAAATTAGATCTTTTATTCCTTAAAAAATGTTATCCTATGCTGGCCCAAGAATTGCTTCCAATACCCCAGTTTATTTCCAATACAGTGTATCTTCCTGTCTTGGCTCTATAAATTGTAGCTTGCTTTGCAGTAGCTACTGTACTTATAAGCATGTGCATTGTCTGTATGTCTTGAGACATTCTGCATCCGTGAGGGAGGCACCGTACGTGTGTCTCCAATAGTTGCCGTGCGCAGTGTGCATACAGGAAAGCCTATTTGCAGAGCAGCTGGTGGCCTCTGCTGGGAGCCCATCGGCCAACGTTGGGGAGGAACCACTGCGCCTGTGCCGGGACTGCCGTGTTCTCTTGAACCGCCGCCTTTCGCATCCTGAGCAGCCACCCCCACTGTTGGCGCAATATGAGGTTCTTTTACACTTTTTCTTGACTACGCTCCTTTGCAGGGAGAACCACCGAGAGCCTCCGAGTCACGACATTCGCATAGGTGGATGCAACATGTTTTTGCCAGTGCTTTGGACTAGTGGTCATAGCACAGTGAGATACATTGCGAATTTTCCTTAACTTCAGTATAGCATATGGCTGAAGGCAACCACTTTGGTAAAGGCGATGTTTAACAGCCTAGTCAAGCTGCTATACATTACAAGAACTGTGTTGAAAGTACTATTTCTTTTTGTAAATGAATACAACAAAAAACAATTTATGCATGCACTTCGAGCCTATCATTTTGTTTTTGTTCATTTAATGTAAAAATTGGACATGGCTAACTGCATAAAAATGAAATGTTTCAGTACACACTGATTAGAATGACTAAAACTCACTAAAAAAAGTTAATACTGTGTTTTCTTTCTTGAACTGTAATACAGAGTTCCTTAAAATTATGTTATGTGAATTTTGTCACAATTTCAGACAGACAATGCATATTCGCGCCATAAGGGGAGAATCCACGTCAGGCTGTTGCATGAACGCTTTATGAATTCCAGGAAACACTAGGCACTAGAGCAGGCATTAGCTGCCTTCACTTGTTTTTCGTTCTTTCTGCAATGTTTAGCATTTCTGTGTATTTTATTTTACTATTGTCACCGTTGTGTATGAGAGACACATTGCCATGTTTTTGTTCTGGTCTGTCACAAACACAGTTTTAGTATGCTCTGCTGACTACAGTTCCAATGGTCTTGCATTGTCATACAAAAGTTAGGATGTGCAGGGTATATAAATGAATGCCAAATGACGAAGTTAGACAGGCACTACCAATGCTTCTGGAGAAGCGAGTTAGGTCTAGCACCTTGTGTTGTACAGGTGGTGTTGGACACCAGACTTGTTGCATTTGCCTGTCTGGGGGGTACAGGCATGCTTCACGAGCTTTTAAGAAATGCTGTTTAGTAAAGGCTTTTGTAACTGACGTAGCGCATGCATTAGAATGACCAGACTTAATTCTCCCGTCTACTTCATTTCAATAGAAGTGCAGACATCCCTTTCGCACCTTTTTCTTATGTTCTCACTTTCAATTCATTTCCACCACACTAACTAGCATGTAGTTTACTGCATACATATGCTAGAAAAAGTCTTCACACTTTAATTAAAAGCTCCCTCTCTTTCCAAGCTATGAAAAATTAAGCTCTTCTTCTGTCTGCAGCGCCTACGGAAACTAATGGATGAAGCCAAAAAACTGCTGCCTGGCTACTACCGTCAAATTGATGGAATGAGGTAGGTGACAAGTATATTTTGCTATAGACAAAACTGCAAAGTAAGATTGTGCCACATGTGAATTATTTTACAAATGTGAAAGCTAGTCACCATGGGTGGGCGACTCTCGACATAATTTACTGCAATAGCCTCTTACACAGCACCTTACCAAAGACTCTACAGGGTAATAATGTGTTAATACTAGTATACACTACTTACACCAAGGCGGGCCTGAACAGCAAAAGCAAAAGATATCTCTTTCTTTTCGGGACAAGCAGCTCATGACAGTATTGTATATTGAGTCAAGGCATTAAGTGTTTCTATTGACATTCACCGAAAATCAAGGAACTGTCATTCCTAGCAAGATTTGCTTTAGCGTTATTTACAGTATAATGGCGTAACAAACTCGCACAGGATGCCATTTTTCCATCAGACATTTGTTCTAAGCATGCATTTATTGGACAGCGACACCAATGAGAAATGTCTTGGAGTTGCTACCTCTTTAGATTATCAGATAATTCACTAGATTTATGTTGTGCATGCTAAAATGCAACTGTATGGCCTCCCTCTTTAGTGGAATCCATATTCTGTCAAACTGTGGGACAATATTTAGCCCAGTGTTTCACTTCTGCGAGCTTTCCACAACACAAGTTGTGCAAATGCAGGGTCTCTGCGACACTTCAGCGAGGGAACTTGACACTTAGCTAAATTCCCTATTAATTATTTCTATCTTTTTGGGAAGAACAGCTACATTTCCGTGTATGCAGCAGCCATTACTAAACTAACAGCTACACTATTTTAGAAGAAGTTCCCAAGATTGAACAGCATATTGGCTAATCAAAAAGACTTTCTTCCAAGATATGGCCACACTTGTTGTCAAAATGGAAACTAAGCTAAATGTCGCACTGCTTTTCTCAATGCAGGGAAGGCAGAACAGGACTCGAAGAAGAAGCCAAAGCAACAAGGGCACGCCTTTGCCGCATTGCTGAGCAACTAGACCTAGTCAGGTGAGTATTGCTGCCACTACACGAGAAAGGTTAGGATCGCCCACCACAATTGATCCCCATATGCAGCTGAAACGTGTGAAGTTACAATTTAGTGAAGTTGACAATCAAAAGAGCAAACTAACGAAATGCACGCTGAGGGGATGGGCCATTGACTGTTGAGGGTGGCAACAGATTACCGTAGGCAGTGTAATGGGAAGAGGTTTGCTCAAATCTAATAGGTTTGACTAGAGCTGCCCCGATGTACGTAGAGATCGTCGGGAAAAACCTCATTTTTCAACATACTTAAACAAGTCTGGTAGTGATGGTTATTACAGGCATAAGCCACCTTCTGGAATTGCAGAGACCATAGCGTATTGTGCATGATAAAACATGCCATTGGTACATTTACACCCACGGGATCCATTTGCAATTCTAACTTCTGGACGTATTGCAATGTGTGTGCAGTTAAACTAGAGAACATATTGACATTTAATGCACAAATTTCTGGCATTTATATCTTTGCAGAGCACTTCGCTCTGATAGTGCAGGTGTAATAAACTTACAGCACAGGGGATGTATTCCTTCCTACGCTTCCAGCTCAATAAAGATGCACATACCAAGAACGAGGTCCCTCAGTACTGCATACACAGCATTAAAAATGATGTTTTGGGTGAACTTATCAGTTGAACATATTGTAGGGGAGCAGCATGTGAAACAAGGACAGTGAAATGGCATATGAACCTTCGCGCATAGGTCTGATTGTCAACTAGCTTATTTTTCCTTGTTTTTCTGTTGTGAGATGCAGATGCGCGCATATGTATGTTAGCAGAGTCCGATGGCAGGGCCTGACACACTCAAACCTAGATATTGCGAACCTGGATATAACAAAGTATCAATTACATTATAACGAAGTGAATGCAGAATAGATTTTCAATAACTATAGTGTTAGAAATACATCTTTATAATGAATTTTCCAGACATGATTAACTTACTTTTGTGTAAGGGGCCACTTGGTTATAATGAGGTTTGAGTGTAGTTTGGAAACTTGGCAAACCCTCCTGTGTACGGACCCTTCAAGACTGGATTTGTTGATTATCCAAACATTTATGTCTGTACTTATTTACCTATGTTTCTTGTTGCATTAAATGTAAGTTGACAGTCAGAGCTACGAGTGATGGTTTGTATTTCTTTGACCTCGTCTTTTGCGCTGCTTCCATACAATAAATTCTGGCGTTTTACACACCAAAATCAAGATATGATTATGAGGCAAGCCAAGGTAGGGAAATTGCTTTCTCATGCTTAGCAGCACTGCACCGTAGCTACTAAGTTACCCTGGTGAGTCTCGCAGTGTCATTGCTCAGCAGTTTGTCCTTTGCCTCGTCCCGCAGCCGACAGATCGGCAGTGGAGGCACCACGCCACGCCAACTTCAGTTGCGGGGTGCCCTGCGACTAGCAGCCAGCCACTTTCTACGTCAGGGACTGTTGGGCCTGCCAGGTCTGCCAAAGCCACAGCCAAAGCTGGAGCAAGGTTGGAGCCCCAACAGCGTAAAGGCCCCACCAGAAGAGGAAGACCCCCTGGCACAACAGATGGCCATCATTCGTGGCTACATTCAACAGGCACGACGAAGTCAGCGCTACGAAGAGCTGGCTTCTCTTGAGGCCAACCTGCAAGAACTCAAGCAGGAGTATCTGAAGCGCACCCTTGGCACACCAGCAAAATAAACAATATTTAGTTAGACTTTCTACAAACATGTTGTGTATGACTCGCTGATGGGAGTACCCCATGCTGTGCAGCATTCAGCAATGTTTATTTTTGAAACATTCATTAATGTCTGATGTTTTATGTGCCATAACCACAATATGATTGATTATTAGACATGCAAGCTGGGAAGTTATTCTCAATGTGTCCACCTTGTGGACAGGTCCACTTCGGCAGAGTGTATTCAGTTACTTGAAAAAGTGGCAAGCCATAACGTCGTCGTGCTCTTTATCATGTCAACACCAAAACTGCCCGCGAATTCCCAGTAAAAAAAAAAGTGAGGAAATCAATAAAATGTAAAGTAAAAGGACACTGCAACTAATTTTTTAAAGTATGCACTAGGAAGAGAACATCACTATCGCATTAAATTCTTCAAGGGGAAGCTTAAGGCTCCGCCAATTTTTTTTTCATTTGAGTCGTCTCACCATAAGGCACTGTAGATGACTTTTTAACGTTGCACCAATTCAGAATTTTATTATTGTTAGCCAAAATTGAGATTTGTGCCAACTAATTTCTATTCTGGCTGACAATAACAAAATAAACAAAGGAACCAACATTGTGTTGATATATTATCCAGCCCAGTAGCATATACCTTTTTTTTTTTTTAGTGGTGATTCAGCCCTGTTGTCTGTGTGTGTGTTTGTGAATGCATTTGTATGACCGTGTGTGTGTGTATATATTGTAACGAAGAGCGGCGCGGCAGCTATTGGCCATGGGCTAGAAAGCGAGGAAGAAAAGGCAGAATAAGTACAACTGGCCCAGGATCGGGTGTTGTCTCTTGTTCTCTGTCTCGCTCATTACAATGGGCAGTCGACGGAGTGGACGCACTCGCCAGCGGCCCGCAGCTCCTGCTACCGTGGCCATGGCATCCGACCTGGCCACCGCGGGTACCGAAGCCAGCACGCTGCCTGCAGGCGTCCTTGCCAAACCACAAGGTGACTCTACTGACTTGGCTTCGCAAACCGCCTTCTTGCCCAGGGACGCCGTACACGCTCCCTTGGACTTCGCCTCAGGTACCATCCCTGGAGCAATGTCAGTACCGTCGCCAGAAGACAGGCGTAATTCCTCGCTTGTAGCCGCCAGCGAACTCTGCACGGTTCTGCAGGCCATCGCTACTTCGAGCCAGCGCCTTGCAGACGCCACCATCACCTTCTCAGCAGCCTGTGCACGCACCACGTTGCCTCCTCCGTTTATGGCAGAAATTCCCGACTTTGCTGGCGTTGATCAAGACCCAACCGTCTGGCTGGATGAAATCCATTCGTTGGCCCGTCGACATGCATGGACTGACAACGTGACGCCATTGCTAGCCGTAAGCCGACTGCGCGAGTCCGCCAAAGCGTGGCATTAATACGATGGCTGCAAGTACAAATCTTGGAGTGACTGGACTACAGCCTTCGTCATGGCCTTCCCACCACTCCCATCCGCATACGACGACCATTTCATGCGCATGCGATCGCGTTGGCAGGCTCCATCGGAAGACGCCGACGCGGAAGACGTAAATACGTCTACGATAAGCTCGGGCTTTTCGACAAATGTGGCATTACATGGACCTCTCCGGCTGCCCGCCAGTATGTCGTTGATGGCTTGGCTGACCCTACCCATGCTGCCATCTTATCTTGCCAGTCACCTGAAGCGTCACCCCATGTTTTCGTTTAAAAGGCAGCCGAACTTCAGCAGAACTCTCGTCGTCGGCTTAGCTTGGACACATTACCGACTGTCCGTTCGACTTACGCCTCCACACGACACGGATGCTTCAAGTGCGGTCGCATTGGCCACAACACCAAGGAGTGTCGTCAACCTTTCCAGACCTGAATCCACTACCAAGCTTGTCATACTCCTCAGATGTCCATTAATGTTGAGGGAATAGGTGACCTATCTGTCCTGGTGGATACCGATGCGGAACGAACGGCGCTACACCGACGTCATGCTCCGGACACTATCCGACCGTGGACGCAACCTCTCCTCTGCGGACTTGGCGGAAGTGCTATGCCAGTCGGAATGCTCGACATTTCAGTCCTGACAGCAGCGGGCACTAAAGTTCTTCCAGCCATTCCCGTCTTTGAATACCTCCCTGCCAACATGATCCTTGGTGCTGACTTCTTGCTATCTGATGACATTGAGCTCACCATACATCGCGGCCACGTCGAGCTCCGGTGTTCGACAGCTGGGACAACCACCACAACCCTGCCACCACCAACAGGTGAGCCTTCCACTCCGCCTACCTTATCTTCTATATTGGCTCAACCTCAGCCAGTATTCGCTAGCAATACAGCAGAACTGCCAGGCACTAATTTGCTGCTCCATCGCATATCAACGGGAGATCATCCGCCAATATGCGTACCACTGCGACGATACGCTGAATGAGAACGGGCAGCGACCGCAGAACAAGTAGATGAAATGCTTGCCGCGGGTATTATTAGGCCGTCATCGAGTTTGTGGGCAGCGCCAGTCGTCCTTGCTCGCAAGAAAAATGGATCACTACGCTTCTGCGTGGACTACAGGCAGCTCAATAAGTGTAGAATGCCTGACTCCTACCCTTTGCCCCGCATTGATGACACTGTTGATACAGTACGTCACTGCAAGTTCTTTTCGTCGCTTGATTTACGCGCAGGGTACTGGCAGATTAATGTCGCGGAGGAAGATCGATGTAAAACGGCCTTTCGCACACCTTTCGATTTGTATGAATTCAGCCGCATGCCGTTTGGACTAAGAACAGCTCCTAGCACTTTTCAGCGTGCGATGAATTCAGTGCTCGGACAATTGAAAAACCAAGCCTGTGTGGTGTACTTAGACGACATCCTGGTTGTTGGCAGGACGGAGGATGAACACCTTCGCAATTTGGACGAAGTACTACACAGGCTCTATGCAGCAGGGTTTCGTTTGAACAAAGAGAAATGCCAGTTTGTGGTGTCCAAGATTTCGTACCTGGGACATAATATATCTCCTGTCGGCATTCAGCCACTCCCGGAGCGAATAGCTGCTGTGTCGCAGTATCCCACACCAACCTGCTTGAAGCAGGTTCAGTCATTTCTGGGTATGGCGTCGTATTTGCGAAGGTTTATTCCCCACTTCGCTTCGATCGCAGCTCCCTTCAGTGGTCTTCTTAAAAAAGACGCGCGGTTTGAATGGGGCGTCTCACAAGAAAATGCTTTTCGGGCTATAAAACAAAAGCTCACTTGTTGCCCCATACTAAGTCACTTCAATGAAGACTGGTCCACCGAAGTGCACACTGATGCCAGCCAAGTCGGCCTAGGAGCTGTGTTAGTGCAGCGTGATCCAGATGGCGTGGAACACGTGGTCGCTTATGCCAGCCGAAAACTTTCAGACACCGAGCGCCACTATCACTCCAACGAGCTTGAATGTCTTGCAGTGGTATGGAGCGTCGATGATAAGTTTCGACATTATCTTTTCGGGCGCAAATTCACTGTTGTGACTGATAATGCTGCTATAGCATGGATATTCTCCAAGCAGCAACTTAAGCACATATTTACCCGGTGGATAATCACGCTGCAAGAATACGATTTTGACGTGCGCCACCGTGCCAGGGGGCTAAACAACGTCGCCGATGCACTCTCACGGAACCCCCTTGACTGCCCGCAACAAACCAGGCAAACCCAAATTTTTTTCGCCCAAATGGATATATCCCGAGCCCAACAGGAGGATAAAGATTTGGCATCCATTATTGCATCTATCACTGACAAGGGAAATCACAGTACTTTTGTGGTGCGCAATGTCGCGTTGTACCGGCGTCACTGGCGAGCGGACCGATCCGAAGAACGTTACCTCCTGGTGATCCCGAAATCCCACAGGTCAGAAATATTACGAGCCATTCATGACTGTCCAGAAGGCGGACACGCCGGCCAACGAGCCACGCTCCAGAAACTACAAGAACGTTTTTGGTGGCCGAAGATGCAAAGTAGCGTCCGTTCTTATGTCGCCAGTTGCAAAATCTGCCAGCAGTTTAAGCGACTGCCTGGGTGTCAACCTGGATTACTAACACCAATCCAGATACCCGAAACAATTTTCCACACAATTGGCATTGATTACTTGGGACCTCTACCCACCACCACTGCGGGAAATCGTTACGTCATTGTAGCAGTAGACTACCTGTCAAAATACGTGGAAGTGGAGGCCGTGCCATCTCTTGCATCCACTTACCTAATCGACTTCCTCAAGCACCGATTTGAATGGAGACATGGCTTACCAAAAAAGTTAATATCTGATCGGGCTACAACGTTACTAGCGGGAAACTAAAAAAGTACCTTTGCACGGCAGGGGTGCAGCACCACTTCGCATCCGCGTTTCATCCTCAAGCAAACGACCTTACTGAGAGAACCAACCAGAGCATCCAGGCACGACTCGCTCCATATACGAAGGCAGGGAAAAGAGGAGAGGCCGACTGGGACGTCCACCTTCCGTCAGCCGCTTTTGCGATTAACACGGCACTGCAGACGTCTACCGGGGAAACGCCCTACGAAATTGTTTATGGGAAACTACCACAGCTGAAAGCGGTCCTCAGTCTGGATGCTCCCATTATAATTCCACGTGCCAACGATCGCAAAGCGGCCTGTCAGAAGATCCGAACTAAGGCGATCAAGAAAGCCACCCACGCACAAGAAAATCAAAAGCGCCACTATGACAGATGCCGTAGACCCGCTCCTGCTTACAACATCGGTGACGAGGTCTGGGTGCAAAGGGGCACCAGCGGGCCTGGCAAGAAGCTACTCCCTAAGTTCGACGGGCCATTCATAATTACTCAGCGTGTAGGAGAAAATACCTGGTGTGTGAACACCTCAGATGCGAACTTCACTCTCGATAAAGGCAAAAGAAACAACTTTGCTGTGCATGTGTCGCACTTGAAAAAAGTAGTCGGACCGCTGCAGGTGCAATGAACTGTAATTTCTTTTTTTTTTTCTTTGTCAGGGCCGCAGTGTGGCCGAATGTAAGGAAGAGCGGCACGGCAGCTATTGGCCATGGGCTGGAAAGCGAGGAAGAAGAGGCAGAATAAGAACAGCTGGCCCAGGATCGGGTGTTGCCTCGTTCTCTGTCTCGCTCATTACAATATATACACACACACACACATGCAAAATAAATAAAGAAATCATGGGGTAGGGGGGGTATGGGTTATGACCTATACACGCACCATGTTTGCTTTCAGACTGCTGCGATCCAGTTGAAAGCTGATCAGCTCAATACGATTTCTAGGGGCGATGATAAACAAGTACCTTCCGAATTTTCCAGGCCGTGTTTTCGCAGCTGTAGCGACATCCGAATATGTAACAGCAGACAGAAGTCGACATTTTTCACTGCATACACATGCTTGCACTGCCATTGTCAAACTGCTGCGGCCAGGCGTGGCTGTGCAGAGGTAACAGGTACATTTTGGCAGCCGCCACAACGCGATGGCCCTGCATGTCCCATTTGGAACAGCAGTGCACGAGGCCTACAATGTATTTTGTTGCATAGCTACACAAAATATGCAAATGTAGAGGTACAAGTTATATGTAAACTTTGATGAACGTAATTTCACTGCAGTGCTTTAAAGTAACGTAAAAAAAAAGCTGCTTTACAACACTTCGTGGATGTTTTTTTTTTCCTTAAAAGAACTTTTTCGCGAGTTGCAGTGGACGTGCAGGTTATACGAAAACAAAAAAAGAAATACGCTGGCTAAAACACCCTATTGCTGCATTGTTTCTCCCTTCAGGTGAAACTGTGGAGTTTTATTTATTGGCGTTCAGAAATATCAACTTGTCGCAATTGGCGTCCATGATGTGCATTCTCGATGCAGAAGTTCTCTTACAGCCATGGTGGCATAACATGACGAGCTCAGGTTGAACTCCAGCTTCAATGCCCTCCTAGCATTCTCGTCACCTGCACACATGAATGACATCATACAGCTATAGCTCTATACTAAGCTTGTGCAAATATTTGACTGAATATTACAGAGTTCGAATTCACTTTGATTCAAATTTAAATTATCTGAAGCATTCGAAGTGAACAATTAGATGTAGATTAGGCCGCATGTAGCCACCTGTATAGGTGGTTTCACTGCATTGGAGGAATGCTAAGTCCCAAAAATACCTATCCAGAAAACATCTGCACTGTGGCGAAGCCCTATATGACAGTTAAATAGACATATGGACATACTATTACCCTCACATCAATTCATCATTTTTGAGGTTTAACAACTTGTTATACCAGCTTATATGCTCTAAGTAAATCTTAACACTTGACATATATTACAGCTGTCACCTGCATTCTATTGACAGTCAAATCATGCAACTATTCAAAGTTGTTCCCACTTCCTTTGAACCAAAAAGAATGGCATTCACACAGGCCTTGTTTCAATTTTTAAAAAAATACTGTGCAGATTAATTGGATTGTGAGAAATATGCCCATTTTTTTTTCATAAATTTGTGGTATATACTCTTCGAATTCAATTTGAAATAATGTGGACGCCATCCAAAACTTTTTGTATTGCAGCTAAGTCACACCTAACAGTAATCAAGATCAAATTTTCGAGTTATAAACATCTAGTCGCTCCAATGTACCAATGGAAAAATGATTTTTCATTTGATTTGATATAAACGCTGATTCTTTTTATGCACATTCATGACATCAAGGTTTGACTAACAATAATAAACACACAGAAGCCTTAAACCCTTACTTTCACAGCTTGGAGGCTCTGGCAGGCCCTGCAGTTTGTCGAGGTCACTGAGCACCAGCGCAGCCTGAGGGTCAGTGTAGCTCACTTCCTGCCACTGCACGTCCCGAGGTACAGCCACCAGGTGGCGGTAGCAGCCGCTCATCGACAGGTCTCTGCAGCACAACACGCCATTTCTCAATTCTTCAAACAGGCGGGCTCACAGTGGGATGTGGTCCCAAGCAGTCTACAGCAGCAAGAGGATGGGCCAACAGTGCTGTTGCTGTCCATGCTAGTTCGTTCCTTTGCGTCTTGCTCGGCAAAATAATAATCTCTGGGGTTTCATGTGCCAAAATCATGATGGGATTCTAAGGTGCAACAAAGTGGAGGGCTAAAGAAGTTTTCATTATCTGTTGTTTTTTAACCCTTTGCAGTCCAAAACCTCAACCAACCTTCCATCCGTGTCAATCCTAAATTGATTAAAGATAACAAAGCTGAAGTAAAAGAAGTTTCGCTACTCCTTTATAGACGATGCGTAACCCAGTGAAAATACGCGTGCGGGAATAAGCCGCGAAAGAACTTGTCCAGGAGTGTTCGCCCATGGACGTCTCAGATCTCCCAAAGAAGAAAGGGGGGCATTTTCTCAGGTGGGGGCACTTGCTTGGCATTCTACAATAGTAGAACACTTGTAGACAACTGAAAATGAACAAACCTGTGCTTCTGTTCACTGAAAGAATTCAGGGTGAGTCCATCTTCAGCCAGTATTTCTTTGTACCAATCAGCAACTGCGTAACAAGGCAGCAGTGCAGCACCATGTCACGCCATAAACATGTCATGTCACACCTACCACAGCAAACATTGCATTAGTACTCCGAGCCAGATCGCAACATGGACTAAGCTGGGGAACCAATCGACGAGAACGCAAGTGCTGTGCTTCACTTTGATAGGTTACTGTATTTCCTATCAGTACAGTCTGAGCAAAAGGAGGCTTCCTAGATCTCATAACTGATCCTCAAACAGCTGGTCATATCTGCTGAAGGGTCATTGTGAAAAAATAGAGGTGTGGCCATCTCGTGTTGCCACAAGGGGGAACAGTTCCATTGCAAATGAAAAGGAGCAATAAAGAAAAGAACAATGGGAAGAGGAGTTCACAGACTTGATCCAACTAACGAGGCGAGTGTCCACGTCGGCAACCTCTACTTATGAAGCGAAAATTGACGAAGACTGCCATGCCCTCTTGTTTTTTGAGCACAAGGAATACTAGCACCGTGACAGGAGGGAAGCTTTCCTACCTCAACAATACACTATGTAGTAGCTTTCGTTGTATGTATTTGTTCTAAGTGCTACAACGATTCATTGAGATGCCACCAGGCATTTGCACTGTGCTTGATGTTACTGGATGATAAATGTGAACAAAGCCTTTCCTTATCAACTTGTCAATACTTAGCATTCCTCTTTTTTTTTTTGTAATTCAACACTCAATCTTTTTAAGGATAAGTTTTTGTTTACTGCACAAAGTGTTGCACAAAGACAACATTTGAAGGGGCCCTGCAACACTTTTTGAAGTAGTTATGGAATGGGTTCATTAAAAAGCTCATTGCCTCATAAATTCACTGCTGCAAGAATTTTTAGAATCCGTCCGAAGCGAGCAGAGTTACAAAGATTTGTCGCTTGCTGCAACTACTTTCTCTTTTCTCTCGTCCTGATGAAAGCGCTGGAAGCTAAGCAGGGAGGGGATGGCATGGGGAAATAAAATACAGTGCGTCACACGTGCCTTTTGACGGTGAGCACTTTTTCTCTCTGGGACATTAAGCCCCACATATCAATCAATCACTTTTTCTCTCCTTTATTATTATTATTATTTTTTAATACACGGCTTTTCAGTGCGTTCACTTGCGCATGCAAAGACAAGTTGCAGCAGCCCTAGTAACAACCGAGCGCACGATGCTCAAACTAGCCAATGGCTGATACAAGGGCCATGACGAGTGACTTTTGAGCTTGTAGCGCCATCTGTCAGAAGCAAAGAAAGCAATTTTCGGCTGACTTTGAGAATTCATTGTGAAGTCCAAGCTGCGTGCTGCACTACAATATTTGGCACGCGAGTTCTCGGGAGCCTCGACTACCAATCGGCAGCGTCTTCTTACCATGTTCAAAAAAGTGTTGCAGGACCCTTTAAAAAATAACCTGCACCCTTCCCTAAGCACTAAAGCAGCCCCACACACGCATGGGTTATGAGCCTGCAAAGAGACAGCCATCCCTCTGGGTCACTTACTTTCATTCTGTGGGTACCGCACGCTGTGGCCAGGAAGTGGCAGCACTAACATTTGCACACTAGTCAGATTCCACAGTCTTCTGGACCGGCTATCCTCGGCTCCTCTTCACTACCACCTGCAATTGCCACAGTCATGACTTGCCAATGAGCAATCAGGCTTAAGATTATTTTTCAGCATTTTTTTTGAAGTTTTTCAGCTAAAATCCACCAAGTGAGATATATGCATCACACACAAAAAAATGAGGTTAAAAACTATACATGACATGGTCACTTAGCAATCTGCACTAGAAACTTTTATTAAACAGATATGAAACAGGAGGGGGTTGAAAAAACATATTTCGAAACTACGAAAAATAATCAGGATCTCAAGAAAGAGCAACCTTGCACGTACAGGTGTATAGACACACAATACTATGGTAATGTGAAAAAATAATTGCCATGATGATGCTTGTTTGAGGTCTATATACTGCTTGGTTTGCCTTTTCAACTCTGCTTCTTACACAGCATCCTGTGCATCCTGGACTAATGTGGCTTCTCCTGAGCTTCCTATTCAAAGAAACATATTTATTCACTCTCTTTCTTTTGTACAGTGAGCAGTGATCCGTGACTTTTATGTGATAGCTGACTAAGAGAGCTTAGCCTCATTCCTAGCACCATCGTCATTATTTAGCATTGTTATCATCATTTTTTCATTCACTTCCCTGCTGGCCATGTAATCTCTGTGACACCGTACAGACATGAAGATAGCTCCACCATTAAAATCTCTTCCTGGCGACACACTACCAAGACATCTGACGCCTGATGGTGAGGCTGCCTTGTAACAGTACTGCAAAGGTGGGGGTGTCATGCTGTAGGGTTTCACCCATATCCTTCGTGGACAAGCTGGCAACAGCCTAATCACGAATGAGCAGACCACGAACTGTTGACAAGCAGTAGACAGCGAGGCTACGACGAGGAACACGAAAGGCACACAAACCGGGTGTCATGAGCAGATCCCCTGGAAGCACGGTGAGGCCAAATCGTTGCACCCGCCGCTGAAACGAGCCGGTTCCACACGTAACTCTGGTATCCGTGCAGGTACAGCAGGCGCACATTTCTCGGAAGGGCAAGCAGGGCGCCGAGGTAGTTCGTGGCACCCCCTTTAGTCAGTGCGCCGCAACAGCAGCCCCTCGATGCAACCCCGGTGTGGCAGCTTCGCCAGAGCCTGTGCGGCGTCCTTCGACCTTGCCCACTCTTCGCGGCACTCTGCAAGAGCTCCTGCAATCATGCAACAATTTTCCAGTGAGTGAGATAATCTTTTCATAAGGACAGCCACTAGTGAGTAGCGATGCCCCTTAATGAATGCAGTAGCCGACACTGCTCATAACCCGACAGAGTGCTGTCTTTTTCATTCCTGTACTCAGTCTTCTTATCTACTAGACCGGGGCTTTTCAGGACCCCTCAGACAGATTTGGTGATTGCAAACTAGCAAGTGCAGAGCTTATATTACCATTGCATCAATGAAATATGTATATGAAACACCTGCTTGGCATTGAAATGTCTATAATTCTGACAGTGGGCCATGTTCCTTTCAAGGGCTCTGCGCTTTGAGAGAGAGTGATATTCATATTCACATGCAACATGCATTCCATGAAGCATTACTGACCAAGGCATGGAGTTCAACTCTTCATACCATACACAGCACTGGAAATGCACTGTGATGCACAAAAAAAGGGAAAAAAGTAAACGATGCATGGCTGGAGCAGTGCCACAATACATTAGGTAGTGCAAAGTAAAAGCGCATCATATGGGGCACGGTAGTCTCTGCTTTAAGCTATTCAGGAACTTTGGCCTGCATCCTGTCCGCATTGCATGGCCATGCTACAAAAAGCAGTATGGTTGAAAAAATGACACCAAACAAGGTACTCACCCAAATTATAAAAACTTTGTGTACTTTAAACAAAATGAAGAAAACTCGACATTTCGAGTGCCACTCGAACCCCTTTCTGACACACGATTGGTGGGAGTAAAAAAGCAGTGTTTATACTATAGCTTTTTTTTTGTTTGCTTCAGGCCAGGAAGTCATGCTTGTTCTGAATGATGTGTTGAAGTCCATTGAAATAGTCACTCAGCAGCGCATCTCCAGACCGGTTCACGTTGCCGGGTGTAGCGTGAATGCGTCGGGATTTCAACAAAAAAAAAGCCGCCTATGATAATTGGCCTTTACGTCAACGATGCTACAGCTTTCAAAGGCAATGCGATGGTCACTCATTTTGCTGTGCTCAGCTAGTGCACTCGTTTGTCAATTTAGATCGCTGACGCCGTCCTTGTGTTGTATGTGCGTTGCTAGCACTTGATGATTTGGTGCCAGCACTTCTTTAACAGATGTCAATGCAGACAACACGAATATACCTAGTCAATGTATGGCTTTTTGCAAAAGTGGTGCAGTACTTTTCACCAATAACATGCCACATACCCCCGTCCCGTGGCTGAAGCACCAGGTCAACTGCTTCCTCATAGCAGCCTTTCAGAAGAGCCCTGCAGAAAAATGGGACACTAAGTAAGAACCAGAATTAATGGTACATTGCTGGATGGCTAATTAAATAGTTTTAATCAGACAAAACATCCCATGCTCCGCACAATAAAAAAAAAAGAATACACTCGTAGGCCTGTAGACAACACAGTGAAGACACATGCCTAGGCGTCACACGGCTCCAAGGTCAGGATTCTCAATGGGTCCACCTAATAGACTGTCCACATCGGCCTCCACTGATTGGCTGAAGCTCGGTGAGCAACGCACCCCATGTTTCCGGTATTTATTCCCCCAACGTCATTTTGATGCCACGAACCTTTCGCAACTTATTGACACAAATGAGAAAGACGGAATGCGTTTCACAGCAACAAATTCTGCCTTCGGAGATGCACTTTTGGGCGTACACCTCGGAGGCTGTACGTGAACTCTCACCACATTAGCTCTTCAATAAGTTTTAACACAGCCACCCGACTGACACACCTGGAAAGTCGGTAAGTGTTTCTTGCATGGTTTTGAAGCATCTGAACACATTCATACACATGTTCACACTTGTCAAGTTTGTCCCATTACTGTACATTTTGTCCACTTTCTTTCTCTTTCCACTGGGAAAATGCTGGCGTGTTCAGTGCGTCGATGTGGCCAAGAGCGGCATGACGTCACAACTCACCGTTTTTTTGAGTAATTCAATGTGCTCTGCCGAAGTGGACAGTCCAATAGGGGGACCCATTGAGAATCGTGCCCTGAGGCCAGCATGAAAACTTTGCATAACCAATAACTTAGCCCTTAATAGATGTTCAAACAAACGAAACAAAATAAACCCAAACCATACAAAGCTAATTAATGCGTGTACATTAACTGTTCAGCCGAATAAGCAAGTGCATTACTTCATTTCTGTGTGGTAAGCAAGCACAGCGTGGAATGTGCAACAATTCATGTAGCTGTTCTTTCACTCATGAAGAACATTGGTGAAAACACCTGCAGCTTATTAACAACTTTTTGGTATTGTGGAATGGTATTGTGGAACTTTTTGGTATTGTGGACTAACACTAGTGATAGCAATTTTATCTTTGGTGCTTCTTTTTAGCATAAGTTAGCTCACAGCCATGTTAAAGTTTCCAGATTAAAGTCGGCACTTGGGTTGTTTAAACACCCTTCTCCCTTTCTACTTTCAGCGCATTGTTTCTCAATGGCCGTGAAGTAACACCAACTATAGGGCCAGCTTTCTATTCTGTTTAGGAGCAACATCTGATATCATCAGAGGAACTTTAGTATTTTTAGGTTATCACTGTACACAGATCACAGCAGCAAGGAACAGAAAAGGGGAAAAGGAAGCAGCGCTCACCGACCAATCTGGTGAGTAGCCACTGATGTGGTGCCAAAACGTTGAGTGCCGTAATAGTTCAGAAACCCATTCTTCGACAGCGATTTCATCGCCTCCTCGTGATCAGCTTTTGTGCCATCGATGTCTCTGAAAAGCAAAAGCACACAACTAGGATGAGAAACGTATTGAGACGTCCCTCGCTACGCCACCGATTACCAAAGAGAGGGAAGACCACTCAACCCCTTTTTATCCGGTTCCCTCTTGGATACATGTCTCAAACACTTCTCACATACAGGGATTCGTGCTGGGGTCGGGAAGTAAGAGACGCTACGACCTGTTCCTGTTTACTGATTCATTTAATTTATTATTAACTTAAAACATCGTATACCGCGTACATCAACCATCCACCCAAGTCCAGGTACTCCACTCCGGAATGCCCATTCGTTACACGGAAGGTTTTCTTTTCCCTTTTTTTCTTTATGCGTGGGTTTGAGAAACGAGCGAAAACATCTTGAAAGGACCGGGGTTCATGTCCGTGTTTGCGGGGACGTCACAGTATGATGAAAATGATGGTAAGCTATGCACGCACAACGCTGTTGTAAATAATTGAATTCCACAGTGAATGGCTATTGTTAGTGTACTAGTAGAAGTACTGTGCATGTCATCTGGTTCAGTGTCCTAGACAGGTGCACACTCACTTCAAAATGCTTGACCGGGCATTGAACATAATAACGTCTTGTTGCTATCAGTCACCACAAACTTGCTGTGAAATGCAAGATGCTAAAGTTTGAAAAACTGTCAAATCTATCGCTACAGTGGAATCTTTCATACAAGAAATCGACATCCTACTTGCGGAGCGCATTGTTATACCTTTTTTACAGCAAACAATTGCTGCATAAATTTTACTTCCGGGTTAATTTGGGTTAGCATGCAGCAAAATATGGGAGGGAGGAAAAAAAGAAAGAAGAGGGAGATTGAAATCTGCAATATTTTGACGTTCGCTGTTGTCAGATTTTGGCATGAAATCCAATTACGAGGCCTTGGCCTTCATTTTTCTGCTCTAATAAACCAATGATGTCTAATAAACCAATGATGAGAAAGTTAACAACAGAATTGTCAATAATTTACCAGTCTAATTACTTTCATGTTTTGAGTAACTGTCGCTCAACAATAGGTCCATTGTTTTTCATTGCATGGCATTCTGTGCAATCCTTCATTCTTCGTTGCTGGCCTCTGAATTTCTAGCACCATGTGCTAGCACTCGCAGAATATGACGACTGTGTAAACTGCTCTTTGTAAGGATGGGTCCGTTCATGGCTGTTATGGCATGCCATAAGCACTACAGCACGTTTTTATGCTTCTGGAAATATTTTTGTTGATTTTCGCCCCAGCAACCATCTGCAAAAATGTGCTCTTCCGCACATTCTAGGCACACTTCAGAATCTAACTACAAATCGTTTTACATTGCATGCTGCTATTACCTATCGACAAATTTCAAGTTCAGCTCACCACGTACGATAATTTGTCGTATCAAAGCCTGATCCTTGCAAGCTTCGTAATGTTACTAAACCACACTCGCAACCACAACGCTTTACCTCAAGACAATGGTAAACCGGTTCCCCTGCAGGTCACCTAGCTTAATGGCTGCATTTTCAAACCTGCACAGAATACAAACAGACAGACAATACTTTTCAGAGCACATACAAACAGTGTACATGTATTGGCTGTATTCATAGTAGTGCTTTAGAGGGAACAACAAAAAAGGCACTTTACTGCAAGAATTTCTTATTAGCGAAAGAAAGAGACAAAGCACAGCTATTTAAGGCAACAGTTCTGTTCCACAATAACTGCAGTCTTAATTACACTAACTCTGGCATGCACTGTATGCCTGGCAGACCTCCAGCAATATTCAAGCAAAGAACGGGACTTCATGTTCCTGAAGCTGCAGTGTGTGCTACGACACTTGCTGTAGTGGCTCACAAGTTTCTGTTCTTCATACTGTACCTGAAGTACTGAAGCCCTCCTGAATCGCTCTCGCACGCTTCCAGATGGCAGGCATCTCAGTTCCATAAGGCAATCATTAAATAATAGACAATCTTGCACATTTGAAACCAGCCATTAACTTTTTATAACAAATAAAGAAGCAATAGGCCTCAAGTTAAACAAAGCATATAAGTGTATTTTTTAACAGCAGCTCATAATGAAACTACAAACTTGTATTTATTAAGCACTATCGATGTAATGAATGGACCACCTTACATACACTGGAAGCTTACTAAGCATGTACAGAGAGTAATGGCTTAATTTCAGGGGACTCGCTATGCACCATAGCTATGATTCGATTACAGGCCAAGCTGAAGTAGTGTTCCTTAAAATATTGAATTCTGCTTTTATTGGGATAAGGAAGGAGTCTTCAACCTGGAGCCTGCGGGCAGCATGAGACTCCTGGCACGTCAGAACTGTCCCCCCTCTACTATCTGATGAACACCTCCCCAACTTTCCACGTTTGTCGCTGGGCAACCTTGATGTAAATATCACAGTGAAATAAGAATGTTCAGCATCAAAAGTAACACTGAAAGAGTTTTTTTATCATTATTATAGTTTATACTGATAAATTGCAGCCTTGTGACATGCATGCTGAAAATATACCCAATTTCGACTCCAGTTCTGTACATCACTATAGTCGATTTGACGAAATTTTCTTTTTGCCTGCAATCCCCCCTTCCCCTTCCTTCCCCTTCTTTCTTATGCCATGCAGCCCCCAGACCACGACGGTTTCATGCAACTCGGCTCTCCGCCTCAAAAGGTTGCCGACCTCTGGGATGAGGTAACTACAACCGATCTCGAACCCAAAATGTTGAGCTCAGCAGTACACCAGAGTAACTGTGGCTACCGCTCTGGGTAAACTCCAGCGAATGTGTCAGTGCATCTCCATTCATAGCATTACTGAAAGCCAAATTTTACTCAAGGCATGTCATTACCTTGTCCACAAACATTATGTGCCTTTGATCTTTGTTTTGTCAGTGTGCATGCACGTTTTTCAAGTGCAACAATACTGGCAGTTGCATGGGGAATGTGCCTTTGTGTACCTCGGCTATGTATTCAGGAATTCGTGCACTTTATTCATAAAAAACTGTGCTGACTACAGGTTTGCCAAAACATGCAAATGATTGTGGTAACCCCAAAACGAGGACAAGCTGGTGATGCCTGATGAACCGCAGGAAGACCACCAAGAGGAGGACAATGACAAGGACGGATAAGGTGCTGCCTTCCAACTGGTACTTTTTATGAGGAAATGCGCATTATAAGCATTGCTGACCATATAGTATACATGGCTTTCTGCTTTTTTTTGTTATTTTCTCTTTCAGTGTCACTTGTATATGCACGTTTCTGAAAATAAGCCAATTGTAATCCAGCACCTTGTTCATTCTTTTTCTAATGTCGCCTCGGTAGTTGTGCAGTGATCATCGTGATAATGGGTAGTACCGCCTCTGCACTACGCCTCACTGACTATGCGCACTACAGCAAGAACTAGGTATTGCATTAGTTTATCAGTCATGAGAACCGACTGCATGTTTCAGAGACGCAAGATTGGCTCACCCATTGCAAGTTGCCATTCTTGCCATGATGCTTCCCTTTAGTCTGCACTGCACAAAGAGCAACTATATATAGCAGAACACCTTCTTTCGGTTCCTTTTCTGATTGGCAGACATGACCTGTGGCTTTCACTGTACTGCAGAACTTGTAAGATCAAGTCTGAAGGCAAAATGAATCCTCTGTCTGCAAAGTGAACCTGTATGTTGCCGTGAATGTACTTTGTTCCATATCTATAATCATTGTTTATCTAATCAGTCTTTCTCAATCCATTCAACTTTACAGGGGTGAGGTACCAACTGTTCTTAACAGCGAAGCTCATCTTAGTCTAGGCTTTCCTGCCTGATGGCGTACCGCTGGTCATGTGACACAGCATTGTTGTGAGAATGAGGCCTTGTAGGCAGAGGAGGGATCCGCTGTGCCAAGACTGGCGAGGAGTGAAGCTTGACAAGTGAAGCCGATGTGAGGTGCACCAGGAAGGGGAGAGTGAGGCCTTGAAGAAAGTAAACCAATGAGAGGTGTGTTAGGAGGGGCAAGAGTGAGGCTCAGCAAAGGAATCAAGCTCTTTGAGAGCCGGTCGGTACTGCACTACAACCTCGATATAACGATATGTCTGTTACAACAAAGTAATATAAGAATAGTCTTGCAATAGATATAGTTTTAGGAACACATCTTCGTAATAAATTTTCAGCGGTAATGAAGTTAATTTTGTGTAAGATGCAACTTTGTTATAATGAGGTTTGAGTGCATAATGAGGCTTTAGTGTAATGAGGCTTTAGATGTGCCACTGACCTCACTTTTGGCGATACGAAAACTTTTACTGCCGAGCTTCGCACAACCTCATCATAAACCTTCAAAGAGGGGGCACATAAATTCCTGCAGAAAAAACAATGAAAGGAGTGAAAAGTGCCCAGCCTACGTGATGTTGCCCACCCAAAGACCCTGTCTTCGGTTGAGGCTCAGTAGCTTTTTCGCGGGCAGGCGGTGGCAAGAGACCCGTTGGCAGGTCTTCGCCCGCTTGTCCTTGGTTCCCGCATACCCCAGGCAGGATGGACGCATCCTGCAATGAACACAAGGCCACTCTGTATCAAACGTTCTTCACCTGCGAAAAATCACTCTACACTGCATGCCACACAAACACTTGGACTTTCTAAAATATCTTAGCTTGGTACAAATACCTTCAGCCATAGAGCATTCTGCAGGTTAGTGAACTGTGCTTCAGAACCACTGAGCTAAGCACTCAACAAAAGTATACTCATGCCTAACACCTGCGGCCAATAACAACCAAAGAATTCAGGAACAAACGCACCAGTGTCTAACTAAAAAAATAAAAATGAAGTAAAAATGTGATACATAACAGTGACCAGTCGTCGCCAGTTATAACTCTGTCCCGTTAGAAAACTTATTGTATTTTGAACTGCACTTCACCCCTATAGCCAACAGTAGGCTGTCATAGAGAACACTCACACTGATTCTAGAAAGCAATCCCAAGCAACAGTCTTTGGCAACTATTTTCAAATCAATGAACCACACCTTCATTAATTTGGGGTGAAGTGAAGTTTGAAATTCCAATGACCACAGGTTCAGTGCGCTTCGGCAGCTATTTTCAAATCAATTCTTTTAAGTAGTGGCATAAGCCACGCAAGAAATGTATCGTATTCACTAATGCACAAGGCTGCACTACTCTGTCACTGCTGTAAAGAGCTGCACATGTCTCACACCTGCAGCACGTCACCATGTGGGCACTGCGCGTGCTCGGCTGTCTGCCGCTGTGTTCTGGCATGCTCCTAAAATGCCTGCACACATCTTGGTTGTTGTAGTTAAGTAAATGGCCATCTGGTACGTCTCATGCTTTGTATGAAAGTAAAGCTTGTTGTGTGTCAAGCATATGTCTTATGAAAGAAGAGAAATTTTGACGGGAGCTCATTTCCTTGTTGGACGCAACCAACTGAATACAACAGACAAATAGGTCATGGGAGGGTGGGAAACAGTGAGTGTAGCGACAATCTTTAGAGTTTGTAATAGCACAGCAAAATCCAGGACACACAGCAAAGGAGAGGTCTGACAACTCACAGTGCAAACATCTAACAAAAGGCTCACTTCTGTTTTTCAGCAGCACCTTTAAGCCTTAAACATAGAATGACACATAAAAATTGCACTGAAAACTGAAATATACTATTTGTTGGAAGTTAGAACTATGCGTCATCAGACGTATGCTACCCTCTGTGCTCTCTTTCTTTGCTGCAGTATTACAAAGTGAAAATGACATACCAACAAGCCCACCTCAGTACCCTCACCAGACTTTAGGCAGAATAGCGGTTGCTTGTGTAAGAATTAAAAGAAAAGGCTATTGCCACTGTGCCACTGCAGCCGCGAGTGCCAGGGTTTATCTGAATGGCTGCCCGTAAAGACAGTCTGTCGGCTCAGTGTTACGTACCCAAGAAATGTGGCTATCCGATTGACAGCTTCAATAGTGTCCATATTCTCCTTGTACAGCACGAAGGTGGTGTAACTCGGCCGGCCTGAGGGCCACGGTGCAGCGCGCCGTCGCTGCACCTTGGAGCGGCTCACACGCACAGTGCTATCCGTAGCCGTGTGGCTCTCCAAGTGAGGCCAGTGGGCGCGGATCCAGACGTGCACCTGACCGCGTTGCTCTTTGCTCAGTCCAGCTACCGGAATGACCACAGGTTCAGTGCGCTGTCCATCAGCCAGCAGCTCCAAATGCTCCTTCGCCTCAGTGCTCACATTATCGTCTGCCCAACTAGTGTCCGGCTTCGGCTCGGGCGGAGGCTCCAGCGTTTCTAATCGCACCTACGCATCCTGATGGGTCGATCTCGTTCACTAGGAAGTCAGAATACCTGTGCGTAGCAAAAAAATTTTAAAAATAGGTGATGAAGTTATGCATGCACATTTAAATAGATAGCTCGCACAAGACATAGCGGGTGGAGCTTTTGAATGACTGCTACTCCACGATGATGGGTTTGATGACAAACAAGTTGTCGTTAACCAGCTTCAATGTATAAAGACAGATCAGGAATGCCTCTATGAGTGCATAAATAATGAACCTGCATGTGATATGTAATATTTTGTTAACATTATCGCGACACTGCAAACTTAGCGTCCCTCCATACCGGTGCTCCAAAACTGAGGTTTGAGTGATGTCAATGCAAGCATCTATAAACAACCAACAGCAATGCACAATAAAGGAATGAAAATAGGGGGGGTGGGGTAAGCTCCGAATTCTGTTTTGTAACAATTATTATTTTACAAAGCAGCTTTTACAGGAAGCTCTTACATCCGAGTTAAACTTATGAATAGCGATGGAAATTGTTCTAAACAAAATTCGCATTTTTTTAAACGCTAACAGTAAACCTAAACGCTTTTTCATTAATCTGGTTGTGTGTCCACCTCCGCTGTATGGCATCTTGCGAACGCTCTGGGCTGTATTTCCGAGTGTGTTAAAATATGCAAGGTAAGAAAGGGTCTGGCAGGCTATGGTGGCTACTGTCCACTTTCTTGCATTACTTCACGCATGCATTTGACAAGACTTAGTGAGTATCGGCAGGTATGTATAGCGCGCACACACGATGTACTGCAAGGTCTTACAAATGGCAATTTTACTCAAACAAAGCTAACAACTAAATGAAGGCAGCACACACAGGAAGCTACGCGTTAAACTGCACGCTAAAAACAAAAGTAGTAGTAAGGCTAAATCGTCGTGTACTGCACATGGCTACGATGAAACAGGCGGTATATACATAGCCCGAAAATCCCCGCAATTCGCAAATTACGTCTCGGCCTTCTATTGGAATGACACAGTCTTGTAAAACAAGCTATAGGCTCACACCACATCAGATCTGTTCCTAGACATCTCACCTCTGTTTCAACACGCCATTGAAACCTTTGTGTTCTCCGACGAATTCTGTGATTCCGACTTCTTCTTCAAAGCCAACCCGTCGTTTCTTTGAAGAGCTATCATTTTCGTTATCGGCTGACATTGTAAGCGACAGCAGTGGCACTGTAGCAGCGGCAGACAGCCGGAAAACATGCGTTTCTAAATGGCTTGATTTCTTGCTTGGCTCGACTTTTTAAGCATTCTAGCGTAGTGACTGTGGCGTCAAAATATGAATATTCGGCCGTGTATTTGGCCAACACTTTATGACAGCGTCGTTGATACGGCTTTAAAATGAAAGTAAAGAAACATGCTCTTTTTTTTTGGCGGTATGTTATTACTTACTGCGCACAGTAGTTGCAGTGACCGTACGTGATGCATGGTGGAGCTATGTGTGAGGAAGTACTTACGCTTGGTTTGGTTTGGCAAAGGCTGAGACCTAGCGCCGCATCGCGGGCTAGTGTATAGGTGTTCTGTGTCGTGGGTCCTCTGGACAGCCCAAAGTGGGACAGCCCAAAGTGGGACTCCGCTCTCCGCACTCCGGGGAGCGGAGCGCGGAGACCTGGATGTATCGGTTCCGCGAACCGAAGGGTTCTCCCAGAGCATGTGGTGTAAGGTGGCTAAACTGCCACATTTTGTACACTAGTTGGTTAAATAAACGTACCCTAACCCTGCCTTTCTCCACAATTACTTATGCTGAAACAGTGTTTTTTTTTTTTTTTTTTGCTAACGCTTCAACTGGCATTGTCTGGCACGCAACGAGCCTCGACCACGTGCGAAGCTGCACTGCAGTTACTAACTGGATACAGACACGCAACACACTGACAGTCTGACAGCCTTGTGAAAATTCTGCTTCAAAACACACACATTTATTCATTCGTGGGAATGTTTTTTTTCTTTTCATTTCATTTGTTTGTTTATTAGTGAAACCATGACCTACTACACTCCTGACCTGCCCAGAGAGCACCTCTTCCAGCGCCCACGTTCTAGTTCATACCTTCTGCCGCTAGGGCCGTCACCTACGAGCGGCGTGGCGCTAGGCAGCACCTGTTCGCTGTCGTCTGCTTCAGCCATCGCTGTGGCAGTGCAAATCGTTCTTATTGTGCATGAATTGTGTATGAATGTGTAAAATATGGCAAATAAAGCGATATGATTCCTCGTCAGAGTTGGCTGCATTCGTGTGGACGTTTGAAGCAGAAATAGAACCGTAAAAAAAGCACACAAAGGGTCACAGTGGCAAGCAGACGGGAACTTTTCTACAAATGAAGGAAAATTTATTATGAAAATATTTCTTGAATGAAAACGTAGTCCAACGAGATAAAAAAACTATTGTTAGGCATTCATTGTTCACACTGAATCACGATGGTTCCAGACGATACGCATACACAAATTGCAGAAGATACGCAGAAACACAGTAGGTCGTGTGCAGAAACTTGCAGACGGCAGATAGCTGCAGTAGTCAGCTCTAATAGTGGCCGCGTGCAGTTTTTTTTTTAGATGAGCTGACACCTCAAATGTAAGTATGGTGTATTGCTGCGTGCCATATTGCAAATCGGAACAAGGCAAACAAAGTAAAGTAAGTTTTCACGAGTTTCCTGCCACAGACATACGGGAAGAATGGATCGAGGCAATTGGAAGAAAAGGTGAGTCTTGTGTTTTTGAGAGTCGTTTCAATTCAGAACGAGTTGCAAGCTAGCAAGAAGCACCAGGGTGCTTTAGTAAACTTTATTTCCGTGTGTTATGCTAATTCACTGAGCTAAAAAACATGAAAGCTTTTTTAAAGTACCGCGGCTAATATGGCAGGCTCCACAAATAGTGCCAAGAAATTTAAATATAGCACACAAGAAAAAAGTAAATATACGAAATCTGTAAATTATGTAAAAATGCGTAGCGGTGGGTTGCGAGGGGTTCGAGCACCCTTCCCGAAGGCTGCCTCAACAAATGCCGCCGAAATCCATAAAAAAATTAATGATATGAAATATTTACGTGCTGCCTCCACAGTTTGTCTCTCTCTGTGTGTGTGTGTGTGTGTGTGTGTGTGTGTGTGTGTGTGTGTGTGTGTGTGTGTGTGTGTGTGTGTGTGTGTGTGTGTGTGTGTGTGTGTGTGTGTGTGTGTGTGTGTGTGTGTGTGTGTGTTTAGCGATGGACAACTCTTGAACACTGGGTGTCACTGAAGTTAGCGACCGAATTTGGTCAAATGTATTTCTCATCTCAAACCTCTATCTTCCCATACAGCTTTGTTCGTTTCTGTATAAGCTTACTTAAGGTAATTAGAAACGTTACGCCGGTAACGAAATGTGGCGATTAACTGTTCACTCTATATAGGGCTGGCAGGCGGTCGGGTATAATGACATAATTGAAGTCCTTCGTGCAATGAGCCCATCGGCTCTGTGAGGGTTAAGAGACCCAGCCGGTGAAACCGAAATGAGGAACCTGGAATAATCAGCGACAGATACTCTATTTATGTGCGTGCTGCATCTGAGATTACATCATGCATGACAAAGATTCGTTTTGGAGAATGCAAAAGAACAAAAACCACTGAAGTCATCGTCGTCAACGGCGGAGTCATTGTACAGGTTAGAGGTTTGCGCTCTAAACCAAGACCAAGGCGCTCAAGTGCGCCTCGGTTTCGGCTCTGTCGTATTGGGTCGCGCTTCGTTACTGAGCAGCCATTAGGAAATTCAGCTTTGTTATGAAACCTTGTATAGCCAATGAGCTCTTCGAATAAAGGGCTTCAAGTATGCCACTGGACTCGACCACGTACCATCACTAAACATCAATCGACGAATGTAGTCATCTAAAAAGACATTTACAAAGGCTGCGAGAAAATATGAAAATGCACTAAATGGGTATACAGGTACTTCCCCAGAATAAAATCGTGGCTATGCTTTTTCTTAACCTCCCCATTTGGCTTGTTACATTTTGGAAAAATTAATTACAAAAAAGGTGTTATGGACTGTTATTTTGCAATCTTGCTAGCCATGCGTATACGCCTTTACCTTTGATGAAGGTTCAGGAAAGCATCGCTGGGAGCCCAGCGACCGGTCGAAGGTATGCAGCCTGCATTTTACCGCTGAAGATTACAGAACAGTGACGAAAAGGAAGATGTTGAAGCCCACAGCCGTGCCTTCCTTATTTCCCGCTTCTCCTGATCCACGTGGGCAAGATCCAATGCCGCGGAAAAAGCGGCTAAAACGAACGCAGGGGGAAACAACGCTGGCACCCATACAAGTAAAAATACTGTAAGTAAAACTTGAAGTCTAACACAACAACGGATAAGAATAATGTTAGCAGTATTCCCTTATGCGTTTAGCGGGACAATATATCTGTCATGCTTCGCTATTTTTTCGGCTTAACAGGGGAACGTCCAACGCAGATTCTTCTCAAGAAGAGCGAGCATCAGCGGAGCCTGGGGAAGTATATAGTTCTGAAAACCCAATTGAAACTGCACAAGAGGCCGAGTGGTTGCATTTTCCATCAAGTCAGGACAACATGGAGGACTGTAGTTCAGTTATACAAGGGGAACACCAGAAGAGGCCAGTGCGGCGCTCCATGACGTCGCAAACGTCGATCGGTTTGAAGAAGATGCGCTCCCTGGTCGCGGCAACTAAGACGTTGCGGCGGAAGTGCAGCAGGCTGAAAGAAATGAACAGTAATTTGCATTCACAGCTAGAGAAGCTAAAGAAAGATTTTTTCGAGATGAAAGCCCTCGCCGAGGCGAATGGCGCTCTAACGCTGCAGGTACGCAGTTACGTCAGTGGACGAATGTTATATTAATCCTTTTATATTCGCACTTAATTTTAAATGACTCTGAACATAATAACAATTTAGGAGTAAGTCAATTCTATCAACATCACCCGTACTACGAGAGGACGTCCGGTGAGCGAAGGAATTCTCGAAACTATAAGAGATTGTAAAGGTGGCGATGCTACCCTTAAGTTCTCGCGCATCGGCTAGCAGTGACGTCATACTTTGACGGCCTCAGGTAATGTCTAAGACTGCTGTGTTAGTAGATGCAAGGTCTGAAGTAGCAAGTTTCAAAGAAATGTTCTCAGCCAATGCGGCCAAGTACACAAGGAGCGACGCAACATAAAGCGACGTGCACGTGTCGAAGATTGTTCGCCAAACTCAGAACATTAAACCTAGTCTTAATTTTTTCTGTTCTAATAGTCGTATGATCGGAACAGGAACGATAGAGAATTATCAGGTACTCATTTATCAGTCTATTAACTTAGTGTCCCTATACTTTTTTGTAAGAAACGTCAGAAAGGGGAGGATGGAAGCTTGCAGTAAAAAACCTGTGAACAGGGGTTGTTCCCATTCTTTAATCGCTGTTTACACACACACAAACACTGAAAATAATCATGAACCAACTCGCTTAATCAGTAGTTTTAGCAAAGTTGTTTCGAGGCGGCGTTTCGACAAGCAGGCTTGTTTTCTGAAAGACTGAAATACAATTATAGCCTTAAGGATGACAAGTCCGCTGTCATGATGTCTGCTCGAGAGAAACTCTGTTTATAGATTTTCTTCTTCATATAAATTTACGTGACATTTTAGTGTACGCCGATGCTGGCAATCTTTCTGGTCATACGAAGGTGTAGGCCTGACATAAGGACACGGAATAAAAGAAGGTTGGTGGGTAAGCGCGCACATGAGCAAGTGTTTAAGATACGAAGGTCGGTGTGTACCCCCTTGCGTGATTGGCGCACCCCGAGTTTATTCCTTTATCCTGCGAACAACGAGTTCAAATTTCTGTCGTCGCAAACAATTAGGGACATTGGACTGACAACTGGAAAGACAGTAATTTGCAAGCTGTGTTGTGTTGGTGCTATGGGCCGATCGGTTTATGCTCGTACAGGAAGCCACGCTTGACGCACATGTGATGTCTGCCTTATAAACTTGAGCGAGCAGCATTGCATTCAAAAAGGAAGGAATGGTTTGGAAAGTGTAAGTGAACAGTTTCCGCTAGTCCGTATGTGTGAGTCGGTGGCCGGTTACTGAACATGACGCAAGTCTGAAGTTGCGCAATTCATTAATGTAGCATAGCTGCAATTGAATGTCCACGTGGTGACATGAAACATCTATTATTGTCTTAAGAGTAAACGCATATCTTTTCTCGCGATTATGAATTGTTGAATAAGGAATGATGCCAAATGCAAGGTTTCGACAATCAGGTGCACTATTCTTTGTCAGGACAGCAACAGCCTCCTTTAGTAGCGTGTGTGTGAACGTTTGCTCACTCTCCCACAACATCTAAACTTGTCTTGACAAGGGCAAGTCCAGTACGTAAATGTCGAATTGTTGGATGCGCCGGCATTCCCTGCTCTACGATGTTTCAGCGGGTCAAGCTTCCATTCTCCCCTGCACTTCCGCTTTCTTCCAGTATGTTATCTTGCGCGTGATTTACGCATTTCAACTGCCCTTTCATCATCAGGAAATGCTGGACGAGAACGACAAGAAGGCTGAATTTTTGAAGGAGCAATTGCAATGCCTGCGTGAGAAAAATCACCGTTGGAAAGAGGTGACCATCAGGCAGGCCATAATGTGGCAAGCTAAATCACCCTGCGGGTACGAAATGTTGCGGAGGTCTGGGTGCCTCACCCTTCCAAGTCGCATGACACTGAAGCGTTACATTGGCTACTGTACTGGAGCAGTTGTTTCGTCGCTAATGAAGCAAAGGCTGCACACGGAAAGCACACACTTGTCCGAACGGGTACGTTACTTCGATCAGAATTATTTACAATATGCACGCGAATAACGAAGGAAGCAGCGCACGCGGCAGTGTTTGACTGATCAAAATACATGCTAGTATAGCCGAATGAAAAGTGATTTAAAGTGAATAAACAGGGACCAGACCTGTGGCAAGGATTACTCGAACGTAAGATGTATTGTTTAAGAGTATACGGCAGTGCGCTATGTTTGCTCTAAACCCTAATCATTTCTGTTAAATTATGGGTCATGTACGGAACAACAAAGAAGGTTATTTATATAATTAACTGTCTCCGCCGATATATAACGCATGTCTGTTAACAGTGAATTCCCCCCCCCCCCCCCATTTTTTTTGTTAGGAAAAAATGGGCTCTTTGATTGTGGATGAAATGTCTTTAAAGCAAGCACTGACGTACGAAAAAAAAGGAGACAAAGTCCATGGCCTAGTCGAAATGGGAGGCCTAGAAAAAGAAGTGGGCATTCAGAACGAGCTGGCCACACACCTTCTCGCCTTTGTATTTGTAGGCTTATCAACGCACTACACGTAAGTGAATCATCACTTTGTCTATCACTATACGTTTCGCTGTGACTGAAAGACTAACCCCACCTATAGATATAAAAAGAAAACGTTGTCTTTAATTAACCAATGATGTGCTATTCCGCGACCAGGGCTGAAAGTCTGGGGAGGGGCAGGGGGAGTCGTCTTCTATTTTTTAAGGAGGGCTCCCCCCCCCTTTCCCCCGGCAAGTCAACTTTAGCATTGTGCACTTATTTGACAAGCACTCGAGATGAGCAATTGGCTCTCCTCCTCTCTCCAACGGAGTGAGATTTTAAGCCCAGCTGACACCGACGCTACAGAATACTGCTAATTTTTATCTTTTTCAGGCTACCCGTGGGATATTATTTCACGCAGTCAGTAAAAGGAGACCACCTGCATCAACTAACACTTGAAGTAATTAAGTCCATCGAAGAAGCAGGATTCCAAGTGGTCCGACTTGTAGCTGACAACCACGCTTCGAACAAAAAGATGTTCACCATGTTAGGGAATGGTCGTATGATGCCAGTTGTGCCGTAAGTTGCTAAGTATATATTTTTGCTCTCAGCTCGCATTAAGCTGTGCGCAATGCCTAGTGTAAATATTTTTTTATATGTATTCGCAGTGTGCCCTCAATGTATGCATGGATCGAATCCCAGCTGCGGCTGCTGCTTTTCCGATGGAGGCGGAAATGTTGTAGGCCCGCGTTCTCAGATTTGGGTGCACGTTAAAGAACCCCAGGTGGTCGAAATTTCCGGAGCCCTCCACTACGGCGTCTCTCAAAATCATATGGTGGTTTTGGGACGTTAAACCCCACATATCTATCAATCAATGTATGCACGCGCATGCATGCCGTGTTTGAGTGAAAAAAAAAAACAAAAGACTTGGTCGCACAAAAAAAAAAGCCTGTATCAGCATCAGAGCCCCCCCCCCCCCCCTTCTTTTTTTTTAATCAGCGCTGCCATATAAGAAAGCCGTGTCCATAACAAGATTGCTATCAACAGTACAATCGCTGTAAATAGCCCGTCTTTACAAATCAATTGACGTTACGCGTTTGCGTAATGTATGCGCACCTGCATGCGACTGTATGAATGGGTGAGTATACTTAAAGTTTCGGAAGATTTAAGGTGTAGGTAATCTCAATAAAACACACACACAGACCTGCAGGATCATGGCATGAGTGGAGAAATTTTATAATAAGGTAATAATTAACAACGCACACGTCCTTCGAATGGCTAACATTTACATTACTTTGGTAAAAAACAGAAAACCGTATATGCAACTAATTATTCACACCGCAAACGCCGCCTTTCTCCAATTTATTTATTCATTTTTTTTTGTTGTTGTTGCAGACATCCAATGGATATGAATCGGAGGCTCTTCCTTTCTTTTGACCACTGCCACATCCTGAAAAATCTCCGCAACCAGATGTTGTCCACCAAACGCGTTCTGTTCAACAATGGGCATTACTACAGCCCCACGTATTTGAGAAAGTTGCTGGACATAACAGAAAAACAGTCGTCGTTCAAGCTTGTTCGGAACCTTACGCAGAAGCACGTTTACCCGACGAACTTCGAGAAATTAAGCGTGAAGAGGGCCGTTGAAGTGTTCTCTCCACAGGCATGTATAAGAAAAGGTGTAAACCCATTTAGCGTTAGTGTCACACACTCCCAGATTCTCTGTATTCCTTGTAGACATCACAATGCGTGACGCACACAGGTCATGCAGGAAATGCCTTTTCGTTAGCTGTAAATTATGTATGCTTCCTGCAACCTGTATTACACAAAAAAATACATCTAATTGAGCTAGAATCATGCTCGCAGTTTTCTATCAGTAGTGACGTTTATACTTCTCAAATTCTTTGGCGCGCTCGGGCAAACTTTTATGCGCTAATATTACGCCACAACTCATTTTACATCATATTACGTCAAGTGAATGTTCATGCAGAAGCAGAAAAAATTTTGCAGCTTTTCGTTCAAATGAAGCAGTACAAAAACTGCCTTTTAATAGTAATTCACCGCAAACGATACGTGAATATTCATGTTAGTTTCTGGTTTATTTGTTTGTAGAACCCAAACGGAAGCAAATGGTGAAAATGTAATTCAATACGTATATAACTGCTAACATATTTATCAGTATGGTCACATAAAAACATGCACATGAGCTGCTGCTACTGCTGCTGCTAACAGCGCATGGTTATCTGAACATACAATTTCCCTTTCTTAACGAATGTACCTGCGCGTATTGCTTACCACACAATAATTACGTATCATTAGAGCTTCTATAAATATATGTTCACTAACACAAACTCACTTAAAAGTGCACGTTATTGATGACTGCAGTGCCACTTGTAACTCGTCTCACTTGCTGTATACGAACGTCCAAGCTTAGAAACCTCTCTCTAAATAATTCCGATCATTTTTAATATGTCGCGTCTCCTTGGTTTCTAGGTGACATCGGCCTTACGATACCTCTTACAATACGGCCGCAGATTTGGCATTTTCGGGTTTGAAGACTGCCTGCCAACCATCGAGCTGATGGAAATGATATTTAAATGGTTCACCATACACAACATAAGAAATACAACCTTCCACGTAGTAAGCCGGGACCAAAACAGGATGCCGTTCAGTTCCCCAGATGATGACAGGTACATTCCATTTATCCCGCTAGGTTTCATATTTTCTACAATAAACTGCTTTATTTTCAGGTTGATATGGCTGGAGCAGGAATTTCTGCCCTTTTTCGCAGCATGGAAAGCCGCGGCACCACATAAGAGGGCATTCATATCTCTTGAAACATACGAAGCTCTCCAACTGACCACAATGTCCACAGTACAGTGCACACAATTTCTCATCCGTTCAGGTTTCCTATACGTGTTGACTGCCAAATTCTCCAGTGACCCTGTCGAAGCACTTTTTTCCACCATCAGACAGCTTCAAGGAAGCAACGATCAGACAGACGCCCGTGCTGCGCTTTCATCACTGCAGAAAGTCCTCGTGATGGGAATGATGCACTCATCACCAAGCGGCAGTACAGAGCAAACAACGTCTCCTCTTGGATCGCCCAGTGCAAGGCAGGCGTCGTGCTCCACAGCAGTAAAGCAAGCCGGACAACCTCTGGAAATGCACTCGCTAGTAAACCAGAATCAAGGGTCGTCAGGCGAGTGCGCGGCATCGACATCTGCTACTATAACCCAGACGATGCGGCCACATCTAGAAGCCCTGCAGACTTGCCGTGGTGCGCTTTTCATATCTCGTTGATTCCGTGTAATGGAATGATTTACATTATTTAAAAATTATTACACACCGTCCAACAATTCCCCACTATACGATATTATGCATATATTATAAACTCTGCGCTGCTTACTGTGTTACATGCAAGCCGCGTGAGGCAGCGTTTGCGTCAGTGCACGATGTAGATGAAAACATGCTTCTCAATCAGTTATACTGTGTATGTATGTAACGATAAGTCCATGGTACAAGCAGGTACTATGGCTTACATTTAAAAATATAACATGCTTTCACCAGGCGCCCACACAACTCGACTAACCGACGTCCCTTTCCCGCAATCGGGGAAGAAATTTTCGGCGGTTTTGAATCGCTGTCATAACTGGCACACAGATGATGGCATGGCTCGTTTGCGTTCGCCTTACTCTCTTGAGATGCTGTCCCTTCCTAATCCCGTCGTCTTTCTCTTGCTTCTTCTCCTAGATTTTTTTTTATTTTTAAACGTTTCTCCCTCAGTTTTTTTTATGTTGTTGTTTATACTATTCTCCGGACTTCTTCCCTCCTGTCGTGACAAGCTATAAATCGACGCGGAAAATGTGTAAATATTATTATACCTTGAAAAAGACGGGGCTCTCCCGACGCAAACGTCGGCTGAATGAACAGTTATCTTGATGATATGTGGGGTTTAACGTTCCAAAACCACCATATTATTATGAGAGACACCGTAGTGAAGGGCTCCAGAAATTTCGACCACCTGGGGTTCTTTAACGTGCGCCCAAATCTGAGAACGCGGGCCTACGGCATTTTCACCTCCATCGAAAGTGCAGCCGCCGAAGCCGGGATTCGGTCCCGCGACCTGCGGGTCAGCAGCCGAGTACCTTAGCCACTAGACCACCGCGGTGGGGCAACAGTTGTTATCTGAAAGCGCATTAACATCCATATATATATATATATATATATATATATATATATATATATATATATATATATATATATATATATATATATATATATATATATATATATATATATACATATATATATATATATATATATATATATATATATATATATATATTTCTCATATTTTGTATACGGACACGTGTCGGTTTAATCATGCATGCTTATCTATATACTGATAAAATTCTTGCACACTTTTCATTTCTACCTTCCCACAGGTGCCCCACAGCCAGGCATAAGGGCCAGCACGCTTGGCCTTATAGCGGGCTTCCTGGTGAAAGCAGCTGAGGATTGCATTACTTGCGACGACTGCATCGGCAAAATCAAGGCTCCCAGCTCATCTGGACCAGCTACTGCTGTGATATTTAATTTAGACAGGGGAGGGCTTTCATACCCAACGATCTCATTTCTTTCCTTTGTGAGCACTCTAGAAAGGGCCGCGGAAGCATTTGCGCCATTGGCCATTTCCAAAAAGAGGCCGATGGCACTTTTTGTGCAAACTGTGCTACCTGCAGTGGCCTTGAACCCTCTTTTCAGCCATAAAGGCGCTACTAGCGAGCACCGAGAAGCCATGGCGCGGCTAGTGTTGCAAAAATTTAGCCGTCCTTTCTTCTCAAACTACGTGCGGGACAAAACAGCCAAAGAAGGAAAGAGAAAGAGAATAGCCGAAAAGCCAAAATCTCGCAAGATTTTAAAAGTTTAGTTGCATGCCTCCATTGTATCATGTACGCGCCCAGAACCTTGCTAGCACATTTTATTGAACTATGACCCAAATGCACGCAGCTCTGTACGCGTACATATGTTTTTCTTTATTGCAGACACAAGCCGTCACTGTGTGCCAGCAAGTAGGATATTCTTCGAAAGTGCAGAAACTTTGTTTGAAACATCAGCTTTAACTGGCATATTGTGGCACGCATAAGTAAAGCGACAAATGTGTTTTGTTTCATTTTGAAGTGCTGTAACATTGCTCGAATCACACGCATACACTCGCCAAATTCTTTTAGCAGAAACCTTGATATCACTTTGAGGGATCTGCTTTTCATTGACAAACGAGTATAATGGCACATTTTCAGCATGTGTACGCGCCCCAACTGCGGGTGTCGCCCTTGGGCGCTATCAATCAAACATAACCACTAGTACAACAAAGGCGGTACTATTCCGCCCTAAAAATAAGTCTGTTAATGAAAACATACATTTCAAGTATGGCGATACTATTATTGAGTTAGTAAATTGTATAAAAATTCTTGGAGTTACATTTTCGAGCAATATGCTTTGAAACGATCGCATTTACAGTGTGCTGGGTCAGTTATCTCGCGTAGAGGGCACGGTGTACAGTGGCAAAACTGTTCTACTATACAAGGTAAAATTCTTACTTTATAAATGACTGTTCTGTTGGCATCTTGCTTATTGTTTCTTGGTATGAAGGACTACGACTAACACGCGCTTACAAAAACTGTACCTGATGCAAAAGACGTATATTAGAATAATTTTTTACTGGTCGTATGATGCTCGCAGAAGTGAATTGTTTCAACAGGCTGGAATACCACCCCTACATCGTCTCTACGATTTTAAGTTAGCATTGGTGGTCAGGCGTCAATTTCAAGAAAGTCGACATTATTTGTACGACCTCTCGAAACTGCAGCCAAATAATTTGTTCGAAACATGACATAAAGAAACATGGAAAATAAAAACTTCGAGAACAAACTACTCCACAGATAGGTTGTTCTACACAGTTTCTACGTTAATTGATAAATATGTGAAAGCTGGCATAGATTTCTTACTCTGTACCCGAACTCAATTGCACGATATACACATGTATAGTTTTCAAGATTTCTTTGCAGTTGCTACATTGTTATCATGGTTGCTATTTTTATTTTTAGAATTTGAACTTGATATTTTTGTAATTGTTGCTTAGATAACATTGCTAACTGTTTGCCAGTGCTGTCGTGCTAAAGGCGTCTGTGGGCCTATGTCAAGCTGCCTCTTTCGAAGAGCAGCTTTTACCTGCCGCTGTCCTTCATCAAACTATTGATGAAAAATAAAACATTATTATTATTATTATTATTATTATTATTATTATTATTATTATTATTATTATTATTATTATTATTATTATTATTATTATTATTATTATTATTAACTATGCTCGACAAGATGATGATAATGATGACGATAAAAACTTTATTGGGGTCGCAATGTGTTGCCCTCGATAGGCACATCACTGCCTTTACCATATCGTCTCATCGCACGGACATATAAAATCATAGAAACGCGCATCGGCCAGCGCTCCCCGTTCCAGCAGACAAACTCCCGTAGCGAAATTTGACGCACAATTTTTGTTGTGTAGGTCACAGTAAGAGTTAAAGCTTCAATTCCTGTGTCTCTCCTTGATATGCGTCCGTGGGCGTATGTGCATTATTCTCTTCTATCAATTGACTACAAGTGTAACACCTGTCCAGGGCGAGTGTCCAAGGTAAGTGCTCAACAGGGGCACTGCGTTTCACCTGACGCGTCCTAAACAACCTAAAATCAGTTTGATATTCTATTACCAATGAGTACATTATTAGTCAAAAGCTTTATGAATACTAAATTGAAGTTTTTTTAGGCTGGAATGGCAAAAACAACCATGCAGCAAGACATTTCTACGCAAATATACAGCTTTAGAAGTCAATCAACCAGTATAGCCTAACTACTAAAATGTAACACATAGCACACGTTAGCCTTTTCAGCAAAAAACAATCACACGTATAGGCAGTTTGTCACAGAAGCAGACGCATGGTATCAGTCCGTCGCCCTCCTGCCGGCCGCACAGTAGCAGACGAACAGGTTATAGGTAGCGCCACCTACGGCGAGCGATTGAACGAGAGCGGGGACACGCGCTCCCATAGGAACCCCGCTATCTGAACAGGTCAGGAGTGTAGTAGGTCATGAGTGAAACTACATCTGGAAGCAGCCCGGGTAGCTCAGTCGGTAGAGCGTTAGGCTTTTAACCTAACGGTCCAGGGTTCGAGCCCCTGCTCGGGCGTGAATTTTTTCTTTCTTTTTTGAGGTGTACGCGTATCGCGTTCTAGCCACGAGCTGCTTCTGAGAAAGAGACAGAGAAAACAGAAGAAGACAGTTGCCGTCTGGCAGGTGTTCTGTGGTGCCGTTTTAGAAGCCGTGCTTTCGTTCTCGCAGTGGCAAGACCCAATTAGTCGTATTCGAGGTATATTCTTGCATAGCGATTCTCTAACGGCGAGTGATAATAATAACCGTTAAAATATTTCTACGTAACATGCGAAGCACATGTACGACGAACTGGTACAAGGTGTGCGAAAAGTCCTGCCCAAATTTCGTACATGGCTGCTGAACCGAACTGTACCTGAAGGTGCACGGGTTCGGTCCTGGCTGCAGCGATCGAATTTCGATAGAGGTGAACTGGTAGAGGCCCATACTGTGCGGTATCAGTGCATGTTAAAGAACACCATATGGTCTCAATTTACGGAGCCGTACACTACGACGTCTCTCGTAATCATATCGTGGTTTTTAGACGAAAAACCGGGTCGTAGCCGAGGGTGGGGGCGGGTGGGACTGCGTGACATCTGTTGTGACATCTGGCGCATAAACTGCGTGACATCTGGTGGAGTTTATTTACGTACAGACCTACTGGAAGGCCGAGGAACGCCAGAAGAGCGAGGAACGCCAACAGGCCGAAAATACAAAACAAACGCAAGCTCGGGTCGCGCGTGTGCACCAACGCTGTGGCTTGCCGTTTCTTGCTGCTTCGCCGTCGTTCGCATAGTTCCCTACATTGGCCCCCGGTGAATAGCGTAGCCAACCTGGCGACTTAAGGCGTAGTCACTATAGCGGGGTCGTAATACGGCTTCAGGCGACTCACATGCACAATTTCTCGGCCACGACGGCGTAAGTCATGAGACTGTGTCAAAGGCTCAATCTCATAATTGACTGGTGACGTACGGGCGAGAATGCGGTAGGGCTTGTGGTATCGAGCCAGTAATTTCGACGAAAGGCCAGGAGTGCTCGGTGGAATCCAGAGCCAAACGAGAGCACCAGTCGTGAAAGTAGAGAGATGTCGGTCGGTGTCATGCCGTTGCTTCTGGTGGCCTTGGTCCTCGGTTGTCAGTGAACGGGCCAATCGTCTGCAATCTTATGCGTACCTGGCAACATCAGAAATTGCAGTGTACTCAGAGGAGTCGGGCGTGTATGGGAGGATAGTGTCCAGCGTGCACGATGGTTCGCGTCCGTACAACAGAAAGAAAGGGGAGAACCCTGTTGTCGCGTGCTTAGCGGTGTTATACGCATACGTGACGAATGGAAGGACAGTATCCCAATTGGTCTAGTCTGCAGCTGTGTACATCGTCAACATATCACCGAGAGTGCGATTAAATCGTTCTGTGAGGCCATTCGTCTGCGGGTGATATGCTGTCGTCATGCGATGAACCATGTTGCACTGAGCGAGCAACGCTTGAATGGCGTCAGACAAGAAAACACGCCCCCGGTCGCTCAAAAGCTCGCGGGGAGCACCATGTCGAAGAACAAAGTTGCGCAAGACGAAAAACGCAACTTCCCTCGCGGTTGCTGCGGGTAGTGCTGCCGTCTCCGCGTAACGCGTGAGGTGGTCCACGCCAACAATTATCCACCTATTTCCAGAAGACGACGTGGGAAGTGGTCCGTATAAGTCGATACCAACGCGGTCAAACGGACGCGCTGGACAAGGCAGAGGCTGAAATGTACCGGCAGGGCGTTAAGGTGGGACTTTACGTCGCTGGCATGCAGTACAAGCACGTACGTACTTGCGGACAAATGTGTACATGCCGCGCCAGTAGTACCGCTGACGTAGACGGTTGTACGTCTTGAGAGCGCCAGCGTGAGCGCTTTGCGGGTCGTTGTGGAAAGCAGTACAGATTTCCGAGCGCATGTGGTTGGGTATCACCATGGTCCTTCAATACTGAAGGACCATGGTATCACTAACAGCCACCTCCGACCTTCAGACGTGTAATTCCGCCGATAGAGGAGGTCGTCTCGAATAGCGAAATGTGTGGCTTGACGGCGGATAGTTCTTGAGACCAAATTAGCTGACGGATCAGTCAGAAAGGTGAGGAGTTGGGAAATCTACACATCTTTGCTTGTTCCGATGCCATGTCTGTGAAGTCGACTGGTGTTATGACAGCTGAAGAAGGTGACGAGGAGGTTGGGTCAGCCAGTAGCGGCGAGCGGTACAGTGCATCAGCGTCGGAGTGCTTGCGGCCGGATCGGTATACAACACGAATGTCGTATTCCTGTAGGCGAAGCGCCCAAAGACCAAGGCACCCCGACGGGTCTTTGAGCGATGATAACCAGCATAGAGCGTGGTGGTCCGTGACGACTTCGAAAGGGCGGCCATATAGGTATGAGTGGAACTTCGTCAAAGCCCAGACAATTGCGAGGCACTCTTTCTCCGTGACGGAATAATTACACTCGGCTTTCTTGAGGGTTCGACTCGCATAAGCGACCACGTATTATTGGTATCCTGGTTTTCGTTGAGCCAATACAGCACCAAGACCGACACCACTGGCGTCGGTGTGGACCTCCGTAGGTGCATTGGGGTCAAAATGACGTAGTATTGGAGGTGATAATAATAACCGCCGAAGCGCGGTGAAGGATTCGTCGCACTCTTTTGACCAAGCAGAAATGCCTTTGGAAGTTGTCAACAGGTTGGTATAACAACGCTGATTAATTTTCATTGCCCGGGTAGTTTAGTCGGTAGAGGGTTAGGCTTTTTAAACTAACGGGCCAGGGTTCAAGCGGGCTGTTCTTTTTAGGGGCGAGGCTCCTTAAGGCGTGGGTGTGTACATCCTCCGATGTATGTAGTAGTAGTAAGTAGCCACCTGTGCATCCCCTGTGGCACATACCCGCTCTAGAGTAGGTATGTGCCACAGGGGATGCGAGATGGGAGTAGGCGGTACTTTGCGTGTTCTCTAGATGGATGCACGGACGGAAGGACGCATGGACACGTGGATGGACGCACGGATGGTCGCGCGGACGGACTGAAGCAAGAACGAACGCACGGACGGGCTGACAGACG